TCGTTCATAGTTTTTTCTCTTTTGGCAGGCTTCGGAATATTTCACGAAGCTTAGTTTTCTTGGGTCAATGATGCCATGATTTGTGATGTGTTGATGCGCGTGATGCGCGTGATGCGCGTGATGCGTCTCTCCACATGACTTCTTGGATCATGCTTCGTAGCACGTGACCGAATGACTTCTTGCGTCAGGTACGCGTCGAGTTTCTACGCTCGCGCGTTTATCTTTTAGAATTAATATCTTTTAATCCATAATAAAGTGAGACCCTGGTTTGGTGTAAACTCCAACACCCTGTGCGGGGGTGTTTTTACTCTAGAACACTCGGTAGCGTACTATTTCATGGTAGTGTAGCCTTTTATTAGACTTCGAGTATATTGAGGTGGTTCGGTCACGAACCGACCGCAATTCCTACTGTCTAAGGCGTGCACATTTCTCGGATGTAAACTTTAATCGACTAGACCGGGTTGCGTCTAACGATCCTTATGATCAATGTGACTGTATTTCTACTATAGGAGGTTTTATAGGAGAAATCGCTAAAATTCGCATTTTTACGGGTGTATTGTTACACTCCGTATCAATGTCAACAAACTCTCCCAACCCCTTCGCCTTCAACACGACCTCCGACCGTAACTATACAAATGGCTATATCTGGGTGTTCAGAAAGGCTGCTGTCGATATACCGTGCGATCTTTACAATTTCTATCTTCAAGAAGGACTGTTTGACAAGTCCCATACCATTGGTATGTTGTCTACTTATTTTCTTCTTCTCTCCCCACTGATAACACTCCATTAGGTGAACCATATCATTTTCAAGGAAAGCTTTGCGATAAAAAATTCAAGAGCCAAGTTCCTGTTTACTATCATTCTCACCTTGATGCCTTTACGGTAATTACGGCGAAAGTCCCAGATGACTGGAAGGATGGTCCTGTTGTAAGCCCTTTTCTACACTACTGCAGGATTCTGACCATTCACTTATGTCTTTTTAGGAACACTTTATAGATTTACGAGATGCAGGTTACACAACAACGGTAGGACCAGCCCAGTTTTTTGAATCCAAGCAAAACAAGATAGACCCAGCCCACGCCTTAAAGGTTTGCATCAGACGAGGTAGACCAGCCAATGTATGTCGCTATAATCCTATGTTTCTATTCTTTTCAATTCATTCCATTAGATTTCAGATGGTCTTGGTAGGAAAAGGAAGACCCCTACTTATCAGTCACTTGAGAAGATGCAACCTTCCAAGAGAAGAAGGACCTCTCTTGAACACTGTGCAGACAAGGAAAATACCGAACAACCCTTGACTTCCAGTGACACCACTACACTTCCACCAAGAAGGTCCATCCGCTCACACAAAATATAATATATTTGTACTAAAATAGTGTCTTGTCAATGTCTACATTTATTGGGGATGAACTTTGTCAAGAAGAAAATAAAACACATTTTACTGTCAGTTCACTTGACAACATGGTGTTGAGGCAATCCAGTGCTGTTGGGAATGGGTTAGCAAAGCTCGCTGGCCAAGGAGTAGTAGTGACTCACCCATGGCTCTCATCAAATGACACATCCTCAGCAACTCCACTCTTAATGACCACATCAAAGACTACCTCATTCAAAAAGAAAACCTGGCACATGGTGAATGGAATGAGGTGAGCTGCTGTTATATTGTTGGGTGTTGAAAACTGGTGGAGAGCAATGGCAAAATTTCAAGGTGGTGAGATAAGAAACTGAGAGGTGGGAGGAGGAAGATGAAGGCATCAGAAACAGCTTCACCAGCCCAGTCCATTGGATACAGTGTAAGTGGAGTGTTATAACAGTTATTCCACTCTCACTATGATACCCAGCTCACCAAAATTTGTTACAGAACATTCTAAAGCATCTCAAGAACCCAACAAAATTATCCCCATGCATGTTGTAGCCCAGTGTTTTGCCCTACTCTCATAACTAATTCACTGGCCTCAAACAACAAGTTCTCACGGTGCTTGCAGTGCCTTTGGTGTGTGTTGCAAATGTTATAACAGTTATTCCACTCTCATTAAAACACCTAGCTCACTAACAATTCTTGAAATGCATTCTGAGGTACTGTGAGACCCCAACAAAATTATCCCCATGCATGTTGTGACCCAATGTTTTGCTCTACTCTCATAACTAATTCACTGGCCTCAAACAACAAGTTCTCACGGTGCTTGCAGTGCCTTTGGTGTGTGTTGCAAGTGTTATAACAGTTATTCCACTCTCATTAAAACACCTAGCTCACTAACAATTCTTGAAATGCATTCTGAGGTACTGTGAGACCCCAACAAAATTACAAGTATGCATATCACAACCAAAGATAAGTAAAAAACACAGTGACATTAATCAATACCAAAATTCCCATCATCCTCATTGAAGTCCATCCCATCCAAACACTCCTGTGCCATTTTTATTTCTTCATCATCATTCAAAAAAATGCCTGCACCGAGTATTGTAAGAGGAAATTCAATGGGTGAGGTGGATATTGTCATGTGGGTGTTTGAGTGGAACACTAACAATGCATAGTCTCATCTGTCTTGCTCTGTTTGGTGGTATTTTTGGAGGATATCTATATATGTCGCACCAAAATTCCTGCAGTTTTGATGAGTCAGATTATTCTGTGAAGGCACAAGTAAACTCCGCAAGTTGACAGCAGGTGGTTCGCAAGTTGACCGCAGGTGCGCAGATGCACGCAAATGCGTCTCGCAGGTGTATCGCAGGTGATGCGCAAGTTGCACGCAGGTGTACGCAAGTTGCACGCAGGTGTACGCAAGTCTCACAATGGGTGCTAATACTCGCAAGTGTATCTCAAATGTGTCGCAGGTGAGTCGCAGATGTATCGCAAGTGTACTGCAAGCTGAAAGCAAGTGCATCGCAGGTGGAACGCAGGCATGCGATCGAGTCCGCACATGTTTGCGATCGAATCTGCACATGGTCTCAAATTTGATTCCGGCGATCGAGTGCTCAGTCATTATGACTGTGTAGTAAAATTTTCACACTTGAATCTCTTCTCTTCCGTCTGGTAACATCGAAAATGGTTCTGGTAAGTTACTACCCATTATTCTACACAAAACCTCTTTCAAATGTTGGTTCAAATCATTTCCAGGGTTTCTTCAAACATATATACAAATACTTTGTCCCGGATGAACCGGAAATGAGTCGACGACCCACGATTCAATCACAGGGAGACCTTGTACCCCTGTACGATGAGCAGGGTGAGTTCATGTCAATTGTAATTTTGTTCTGGCTATATAATTCAACATAGGAGAGGTCACTGGCTATATTCTCAGACCTAGAAAGACGTTAGATGAGCCTACCAAGCGGCGATTGATAGGTAAGCCGTTCTGAGTTTAACCACCATTCTTAAACTATCTCAGAACCTCTGCTAGCTGTCGAAGAAAAGATAACGTCGGTAAATCCACCCCGAGCTCCTTTACCAGTTCCTCCACCAGTTCCCCTCACAATGAACACGTCGGAATTGAACGCTTCAGAATTGAAATGGGATGGGTGGCCAGATGGAATATTCCAACGCGAGTTTACTTTCAGGGAAGTTAGCGACCTCAACAACCTCCATGTCCATTGGGCTTCGAGGACACACGGCCATCGTGGTGGCGACGATTTCGCAGATTCTTGGACTGGTGGAAAGAGGCGACATAAGCAATGTTTGGGAGTAATCGAGTGCGATAACCCTGACTGCTTCATAACCATTCGACCGCAGACAAGTCAACAAGGTGTAGCAAAGCAAGTTAATGAACGCTGCCGATGTGGAGCTGTTCTATTCCATCACAAGTGCGACGTCAAGCTCACCCTCTGGACGTATTCGAAGGGAGTTTGTGTCGTCAATGATGGATTTCACCAGCATCGAAGACCTGGCCATATTCTTCATATCTCCAAGGACGAACAGGTTCACTTCCAGGCATTGGTCAATGCACACCCTACTGTTGGACCTCTGGGGTTGATCGTTGGTATTCCTGGCGTAACTGGTCCAGGAGAATCAGTCGCTGATATATCCGATATCTTTCTGAATGCGGGGCGAGTTGGAAAGGAACGCCTAAAGCTCACAAAAGGCTCTCATGGTGGTGGCGATGAGTTCCTTGCTGCATTTGCCAAATTTTCTGCAGAGCACCCTGGCTTTGTGATCTTCTCGCATGTCGATGTGGTTACTGGGATTTCGGTACAGTCTGCCTTTATGCGGAGCCAGATGGTCAAAGAGCGTCTTGTCGATGGACCTAATAATGGATTTGTGAATGATGGGGCTATGGGATGGTGGAAGGAACGAAACTCACTGCTCATGGTCACCTCTTCCTACTGTCCTGACCTTTTCTGCTGGGTTCCCTGCGTTCTTTCATATACCAATGGCGCATCTGGTGAACATTTCAAGTACCACTTCCTTGCAGTTTTCCAGAGTATCGCACATGAAGCTGAGTTGAGGAAGTTTCCTGTTATAGATCAATTATTTGCTGGGGTGCGTCTGAGCCATCGTACTTTTCTGAACATATTTCTCATTTTTTTACACCTTTAGGTCATGGATTTCAGTGAAGCGGAGCGATTGGGCTTCACTTCAGCATTTATTGAGTTCTGGACGCTACGAGGAGACAGCCGCCCCCGTGAAGAGCTTTTAGCGGCAGGGGAGAGCTTATTGCGAGGATGTCAGGAGCTTTTTCGAGCGGCTGTTACACGTGTTGCGCGCATTAATGGAGCAGTGCCTCCGGATCTGAAGGATGCATTCACGGGAAGAGCATTAGGACTTCTTCAAGCCCCAAGCACTGACGAATTTCAGCGTCGGGCCCAACTCATTATCCGTGATTTTCCGAAGCTCAAGTCTTGGATGGAGTGGTGGATGCGTCCAGCACATGCGTCAATGCTTTTCAAGTCGGAGAGGACAATGGATATTCAAATCTGGAAATCTTTGCCAGCGACTAACAACGCTGAGGAAGCAATGCACTGGAAGCTTTATAGTGCATGTGGGAGGGACCACCGATTTCTGGAGGGGATGAACGCGCTATATGCAGTGGCTACCCATTATCAACGGTTGATTGATGGAGTTTCCAGTGAGTAAAGAATCTACAATGTTATAAAATGCCTCGACACCTATGCTAATTATTTTTAGAAGGTGCATTGATACGCTACGGTGCAGCTGAGCCATGGAAGGCCAAGGCTGCTGCTATTGGCCGAACAAAACCTACTCGAGCACCAAATCCTGACGCTAAAAAGCGCAAGAAGAATGATGGACGCCCACCTGATACAATTAAGGAGCTTCTCCTGAGACCGCCAAGGAAGGATCCTTCTAAAGTCACCGCGATGAAGAAGGTTGCTTCTAAGATCACCATTGAGTCCAACTTTGGACCACCCTCCTACCCCTGGAAGGCAAATTCTTGTTGGCTTGACGCTTCGCTTCAGGTTCTTTATGTTGCAGTAACAAAGAAGTTCACCGAGTTCGGAGAGGTCTTTGTCTCTCTCGAGACAGGTTCTCCCTTAAATGGGCTTTATCTGGCCATCAATCAACGCTTTGAGCTTGATCCCGAGGATGATAATGCAACTACTGCTCTGGGCTTGCAAAGGGACCGCCTCCGACTTTTTCTCAAACAAAATGCTGTGATTGAGGAGCTGGATCAATTTGACTCGCCTGTGGTGCGTCTAGAAACTGTATAATAATATACAAGACTTATCCTTTTATGTAGGCTTGGTTACCCATGCTTGCTCGCCTTGAGTACAAGAAGAAATACTCACTTGCTGTCACATATTTCATGACATTCGCTGTCACTCTTAGCCAATGCTCGGGATCCCCAGAAATTGGTAGTGGACATACCCAGGTCACAAGTACCCTCCGACGTGTGCCATTTTTCCAGGTTGGAGCCCATCACTCCAAAAAATATGATGGACTCATCTCCAAGGTTTGCGAGGCACGCTTCACTGCGGATAAACCTCCAACCTCACCTCGCACCAATTGTTGGCGGGTACATGAAGGGCATCGTCTATGCTCTGGCCAACGACGTGATCTTGAGGAACTGGTTGTTTCAATTCCTATAATATTAGGCATTGAGGTTGGCGACGAAACGGTGAAATCAAACCATCCTACCCATCCAGAAAGACAACAATGGGACTTTCCTCCGACTATCTTCCCAGATCCGAAGGCTGCAGCAAAGAAGGCTGGAATAGTCTACGACCTTGTTGGCTTTGTTCTTGTCAATGTTGGAGGAACGCACTTCACCGCCAGATACGTATCTCATGATCAAAAAAAGGTCTACACATATGACGGATTAAAGCACAAAGGATACCCAGTCGAAGAGCGAGCCGCCTCACTCGAAACACATCTCACCGGCCGTAACATCGAACTTCCAGAGGGTTATTCGATCTGGCAGGCATACTATCGCCTTCGAGGAGGAATCAAAGCACAGAATAAATTCTTCGAGATGCGAACAAAGGAATATACCGCCAAATATCACCTGCACTTCTCGGAACGGACTCTTGGTAACCTTCCTACTGCTTCATATCACTTTTATGGATTACAAGAAATGCCAGCAAAGGATCGCACATGGATTCTGAATCCAGAAAAATTGGGAACAACGGAATATATTCCAGAGAGACCGCTGGCTCTGGAAGATGGTCCGGAATCAGAGGACGAGACTATTCCCCGCAGAGTGGTGGAAGGACTGACACGTCCAGACTCTCAAGAATCACTCCCTGACTCCGAGTTTGATTTAAACTGCCGCTGTGGTGCCACTGGGGATGGGAACATTGTCTATCATCAGGACGATGGGGAAGTTGTGCAGTGTGATGAATGTGGAGAATGGTCGCATGTTGGCTGTCAGCGAGATGGAAGGGCAAGTGATCTTCCAAAAAAGAAGACTTTTCTTTGTGATACTTGCGATCCGAGCATCATAAAGGAGATGTTCTCAGGAAGACGGAGTAGCAGTTCATCAAAGAGGTGAGTCAATGGTTCTGAGAGAAATTTGAAGCGACTCACTTCATATCAGAATCATGAATTCCCGTACCTTGCATACCAAGCAGCTGAAACAGCGCCTTAGGTGAGAGCGGCCACCAATTGCCTTCTGGTAGATCCTGATCACTTATCTAGACCTGGCCGTGGTGCACTTGTTCTCAACGGAACGTTCTGGTATCCTGCTCGCGTGATCCAGAGGGATGGCCCTGAGGCCTGGGTCGTACGATGGTGGCGAGGGTGTCAGTTTGAGAATGATGGAATCAAACCTGGAAGCACCAGTCATGTCTCTCTAGGGGGAATCATAGATTCACTCTGGTTAAAGGGTGAAGAGAGGCGTAAAATAAGAGTGAGTTGTTTAAATTTATTAAACGGAAACGAACTCACCAATCTTAGCTTGGAAAGTGGACACTCGCACATGAAATCCCGACTGCAGAGGACATCCTCTCTGACCCATCGACAATTTCCTACACAGAAGATGTCAACAAAGCTCTTTCACCACATGCAGGAGTTTTACACAGATTGCTGACAGCACCGAATAGTTCCAATGCCGAAATCTCAAGCAATCTCATACCCGCCAAGAAGTGGCTTGAAGACAAAAGTAAGGCATTTGAAAACACCCTCATTCCCTATGTAGGAACCCTCTCCGTCATGGAGAGAGCCCAAATCGCCAACTGGTTCGAAACTCATATCAGCAGAGACAAGAGAATTCGGGTAGCCTGGTTGGGTTTCTTACCCATAGCACATGCTCATACCCTCTTCATCGCACACCGAATGACCAAAAACCCCACCTTCAAGACGTATAGCGAGGTGGAGATCCTTCATAGGGCATGGGACGTGCAATTAACAAGTGTTCCGAAGATACTAAAGGAGATTGACGTTGAGAGGGAATGCTTGGAGAGCTTGGAGGAGGAAATGTTCGAAAATACTGACCGAACTGGCGTTTCAGGAAATTTCCAGTGGGGATTGGATGCAGGACATCACCAAGGGGGTTGGGATCCCTCTTTTGATGTGGAATCAAGTGGGGATGGGAAGAAGAGAGCGGGGAGTGAGTCTGAACGAGAGGTGAGACTCCGTCACTCAAGTTCCGGACATTGACTAACCTTGATCTAGTTCGGACCTAAGTACATTCACTTTGCGAAACCAACCCTAGTCCCAGACCCCGACACAAGTCTCAAGCAAAAAACTCGACCAAAACCACGTCCAATAAAGAAGAAAAAGAATGATAAGAAGCCTGGGCCGGTGGCTGACTAGACTAGTCATAGCCTTGCTCACTTAAAATTGTATCTTTCTACATAAAAATAGTTTTAGTACAGACCTATAGGTACGAAATAACATATCCTAAAAGAATCAGAGAGATTTGGATAGTACGTTAAACTAGAAGGATAATTTGGTGCTTGAGAAACACAACATCAACACGACATGGTACGCTGATGCTCGCAGATGCCCGCAGATACCAGCTCACTAGGTTTAATTGGCACGCAACTGGATTGGTATGCACGCAAGTGACCGCAGATATATATTTTCGGTTCGCAACTGGCACGCAACCTGTGTCCGCAGGTGTACGCAGGTGTCCGCAGATGGCACGCAGATGGCACGCAGATTTTCCTGTGCCCCTACGTGCCGGGACGCGTTCCTTTGCAGGTTCGAACGACCACTCTAATCTCGGTTGACGAGATCAAAGGCCCATGCTTGGTCTAAATTGTTGCTGTCTGGGAAGAGTGCAAGCTGAAACCGAATCAGACCAATGTAATTCGAGATGATCTGGAGTAACGCACCTGGGGCGGGAAAATAAGGATGGGCGAAACTGCGGCAAGGAGACCTTTATCAGGAACGCGAATACTGTTAGTTGGAGTGTCAGCTAAACAAGCAGCGTGAATCACGGTGGTTGCGGACTGACAAGTAAGGGACAGGCAAGGGCTTCTGTAGCGCAATTTCAACGTGCGATTCACGAGTCGGGAAGTCGGTAAGAGGTCCAGGTATAATCCTCTTGCCCTCCTCCGCTTCCCCTTCATAAGAAAGGGAACGCGAAGGAAAGATATTTGTGGGGATCTGGATGGCGACCTTGCCATTGGGTAGGTTTTCGAGTCGCCACTATAATCACTGGTAAGAGACAAACCAATACCTCATCAGAAAACAGTGTTTTACTTCTTGGTCTTTTTCAGGCGCTCCACCTGCAGGAAAGACGGTAACCTGTCCATCGTGGAGGGTTAAAACCTGAGTCTGGCCATGAGAACCCCACTGGGTGATACGGTAGACGCCGTTAGGAAGAATAGTCATTGTGATCGAAAGGCACTGGCTGGGCAGAATGAAGAAATGGTTGAAAACATGCCCCTCTATATATGCATTACATGGGAAATATAGGCTATATGAGGACGATCGGCAGGTGAGGAATGCGGAGCACCGATTTCTTCGTAGTGGATCTGGGGTGCGAACATTGCAATTGGCTGGCACGGATTGGGCACGGATCAATTGCGTTACTCTCATCACAACAAACATGCTTAAGCTTCTTGATATGAGGCTACACGACGACAGGATAAACTTGTAGCAAAAAAAGAAAGTAGACACCGGAAATTTGGCATCGTCTTGCATCGAGGTTGAAGATAAAATCACAATCTTCCATTTGGTAGTAAAGATCTAGACCTGGACGAAGTGGCTCTAATTAACACGCCACTTGCCTCACTCAAGTGGCATTCGAAGTTCCTGTCAGACTCATTCGAGCGTCATATGTACGACATTCAAGTCAAGTGATCCGTATTCTTTCGTTCTTGCTGTCATTACAATCTTTATTTTTAGCTAAATCCTCCGGCTGCTTTATCTTTCTAATCTTCCATTTAGGCGTATCTGTCCTCGCTCTGTCAACTGTGGAATGGAACTCATTCACAAAAGCCTTTTTCTTGAAGGAACAGGGGATTCCCCATAGACTTACCCTAGCCAAGATGCGATAAAATGTCGGATGATCTGGCATCAGTACCCTTTCACCATTCGTATCTTTTGATGTTACTGGGCTCCCAGAAAAATAAGAATGAGATTGCCCCTCGAACCAGATACAACTGACCACCCAGCACCCAGCGCTGTCGAAATACAAAGTTCAAGTCCCAGGTGGAAAACGGTCCCAAGCGGGACGAAACCGTTAAGCAAAGGGGCGTAGCTGTAGTTTTGCTGAAAACCGCCCCTGTAGACGGCGGACGCACGAAAACTTCAGATCAGAAATTCTTTAGGAAATGAAAAACAACGACTCGGAGCCGGTCGATCACCTCTTGGACACTTAAAAAGGCATGATCCACCGTCATGTGTCCAGGTCGCACAGAAATGGTTAACACTTGAAACTGGGGATAGTAAGTAGCCTGAGATGGAATGAATACAATGCGGGACCAAAGAAGTGCTGAGAAGAGGAGACAAAGTCGGAGGTTGGTCTTCAAATGTCCATCAGTAGCAAATGTGATCGCCATTCGCATGAGCACATTGACACTGTATCGGGAGCCCCTGCAGTGGGTAATGGGGCATTGGGTGTTTTCGGGGTGCTCGACACATTTTCCTATCCAGGACTGACGGAAAGGGGATTTAACAGCAGATGGGTCCACGCCAAAGCCCAGTGCTCGCGCTTAACGCGAACTGTCGATCGAGATGACTATGGCGGGGCCATCGTTAACGTCGAAAAAAGCGCTAATCAAGGGAAACGACGGCAGGAAAGCTTTATTTCGGCATGAGTTTGACTTGCGTCATCGTTGTGGGCGGGCTGAGATCAGAAGAGGGTTGGCATCTGTGTTGAAGAAAGGGGAGGTGCAGCTGGCACAAGGGCCTGAAGAATGGGGCGGCGTGTCGCCTGTCATTTTCTAGCTTGAGAAGGGCAAGGTAACTCAGTTGGAATGTCATTATTTGTCGCATCCCAATTCCGACTAGATGAAATCAAACTCACTAATTGCCCTTGAAGACTATTTGTCCGCTTCCCGTTTTCCAAGGTCGAGAAAGCTAGATAGCGAAAAATCAGCGAAGGCTTAGCCGTTTTTGCTGCGGGATCACGATCAATATTGGAGAGAGAGTAGCTTGAGGTCACAAACCTTGAATGATCAACAATATGTGAAGTCTTGTTCGATTATTAGGAGGTTTGATGACTTTAAAGACCAAAAAAACTTTAGAGCCAATTCAATGCGCATATATGGGCCGAAACGTGCCCAGTTTCCAGCTATTGAGCTCCGCATTGAGCTGGCAGTGGATTTCACATATACGTACCGACTGCACACCTCAAAACCTGTATATTGAATCGTCTTCCTCCATTTTACTAGGCACAATTCCCGAGCTGCCAGTGTAGTAGTTCCGCACTCATAGTGGTTGGTGGCCGAGTAATTTGGCCATCATGATCGTCGTCGTGCACGAAAAGCCCGGAAGGATTCAAGAAAGTTTGCCGGACCAGAACTGGAGAATGTAGAGGGAGAAGCAGTTTGTAGGACAATTGCCGCCTCAAGTTGAACCGTAGATCATGGTGATGACAGCGCACATCAAAAGGACATGTGGCTGTGCAGGTTTTTCGTCGCAACTTCGAGGTTCAGTTCGAATCAGTTGGGCGACGGACAGGCACATTGGATCTTCGATTCAAGTAAGTTGATCTGTTGAGCCTTGATTGAGTTTATAGATACTCAAATACCATAGACCAACTTACATAAAAGTCAGGAATGTGCGGTTACAAAGAAGAAAGCAAAAGGCTTCAAGTTTGGTCAACGCCGACGTTCCTTAGATAGCTACCTTTTCAACCTCGCAGCGAAGATTGACAGCGCGCACTATGGCCGCTCAAACACGTGTATACGCTTTTGATTTGAAACGCTGGGAGGGGTTGGGAGGAAATGGTAGACCCAGAGGCGTAAGGACACCAAAACTGCGCGCGAATGCCACCAGTAAGTTCTCACTTGTGCTTGAAAAGAACGAGAGGACTCACGTCATCCCTCGTCATCCATCCCTCTCATCAACCTAGGCGACAGCGCCATTCATCGACTTCAGTGATAAAGTTCTTCGTCTAAATCGGCAAATGGGGATGCTGCGTAGTATCATGTGTCACCCGAAATTTGTTTCAAGAATTGGATGGAAGAACCAAGAGGTCTGAACTTCGTTACTCATGTGCATGGTTAGTCATTGTTTTGGTCATTCTCAGTTACATAGCATGACCCTTGCCTTTTGCTCATTGTGTGAAGGTCACCACTAGTTGTGGGATTTGAAAAGCGCTTGTATCGATGATGCAATGATACCTGTCGACTAGCGACAATCATCAGAATCAGCCAAAATCACTTTTCGTGAGGAGATGATTTGTCAGCTGAACTTCGAATTAGATCACGAGTTTACAAATCCCAAGACATATAAGTATGCGACTCCACGCGCCGTCACCATCTCCACCACAATGACAGGAACATTCTCCTACACTTTCGATACCGCAGCTTACAAGGGTACAGCTACCATTAACACTGGGTGAGTCACGTTCTTACACTGCCTGGTTTGTGGATGCCAATACGTTGCTATGCAAAGTCTTTTCATCGACGGAAAATGGGTAGAACCGGTTGAGGGAGGGACTATCGAGTGAGTACTTTTTACGTCGTGTAAGAACAGCTATGGTGATCCTTTTACAGCGTCGTCAATCCGGGTATACCATCTGCTATCACCTATGAGACGTTACTGACTGCATGTTCCTTGTTCAGCGACCGGAAAGGTCATTACCAAAGTCTCAGCTGGCTCCACCAAGGACGTCGATATCGCAGTTGCGGCCGCGAAGAAGGTTTATCAAGCATGCCCTCAAGCTTCTATCCACTTGTCATCTGACTCCTATCGGTAGGCATACAAAACATTATGGGGTTTGAAGACTCCTGGTGTCGTACGAGGAAAGTTGCTGAATAAGCTTGCCGACCTCATTGAGAAGAACGCTGCGGAGTTCGCCGCATTGGAAGCGTTAGATGCCGGTTCGTTGGGTTCACGTTCGAGAAACGCGGTCATTTATGTGTTTTACAGGCAAGGTTTACGAGAAAGCTAAGAGCCAAGACGTAGCTGGTGCGATTGCCGTCATCCGTTACTATGCTGGCTGGGCGGACAAGATTCAGGGAAAGACCATTGAGGTGAGCTCAATCGTAAATGTCGTCAGTCTGCGCCAGGCAAGGCTTACATGCACCTAGACAAACGACAAGAAGTTCGCGTACACCAGGCATGAGCCTTACGGCGTAGTCGGCCAAATAGTTCCATGGAACTTCCCTATGGTACTTTTAATTCACCTCTTGACACAAGTTGCTAAGCTAGCCTTCGCAAATAGGGAATGGTTTCTTGGAAAATCGGACCCGCCCTCGCGACAGGAAATACTATCGTTCTCAAACCTTCCGAGATGACCCCGTTGACTGCCCTCAAATTAGCGGGTCTCATCAACGAAGCCGGCTTCCCTCCTGGTGTCGTTAACATCGTAAACGGCTACGGTATGCTCTTACGTCATGTCTTGACGGTTTTTACTGAGGGATATAAAGGTCATACCGTCGGGCAAGCCATCAGCGAGCACCCGCTCATCGAAAAAGTCGCCTTCACGGGAAGCACTTTGACGGGCCGCAAAATCCTTAGAGCCTCTGCAGAAACTAATCTCAAGGTCGTCACGCTCGAACTTGGCGGGAAGAGCCCTACCATTATCTTTGACGACGCGGACATTGACCAGGCGGTCAAGTGGGCTTCCCATGGAATCTTGTGAGTGTGGTGAACGTTGACATTTATGGGCTAACAACTCGCAGTTTTAATATGGGCCAATGTTGCACTGCGGGTTCGCGCATCTTCGTCCAGGAGGGGATTTACGACGAATTTTTGAAAAGGTTCACCGCTATCACCAAGTACCTGGGTGATACCACTGGCGACCCGTTTACACCCAGCACGCAACACGGACCTCAGGTTTCACAAATCCAGTTCGACGTAAGTCTCGTTTGGTTTCCTCTATCCTCGTTCAATACGTTTCCAGCGCGTGATGGGGTATATCGAATCCGGAAAAGAGGAAGGCGCAAAGGTACACATCGGAGGCGTGCGTCACGGAGAGGAAGGGTTCTTCATCAAGCCGACGATCTTCACTGACTGCCATCAGGGCATGAAGATTGTCAGGGAGGAGATATTTGGGCCCGTGGCGGCAATCATCAAGTTCAAGACGGAGGAAGAAGTGATTGAGCTGGCGAATGACACCACGTATGGACTGGCGAGCAATGTGTTCTCGGAGAATGGGAGCAGGGCGATTCGGGTAGCACACGCTATTGAGTCTGGCACTGTTTGGGTACGTTGGGCCATTTTTCGTTGGTAGTAGTGGTCTGAACGAGTGCTTTAGGTCAACTGTGCGCAGATGAGCGATGTGTCAGTTCCGTTTGGTGGTTACAAGCAGTCGGGGATGGGGCGTGAGCTGGGGGAGTATGCTTTGGATACGTAGGTTCCTTTTTCTCTCTTTGAGAGCGTGCAATGCTGAGTATGAATCAGGTACACCCAAGTAAAGGCTGTTCAGGTTAATCTTGGAGTCAGGCTATAGTATCACTCCAGCGGCCTTGCATCTACAGCGAAGCGGTTCGCCTATTGATCTAACGAGAAATGTATTTCTAGTAGGAAAGAAGGAATTTTTGCATTTGTGGCGGCGTTATCTGGCGCCTCTATTGTTTTTTTCTTAGGCCAGGCATCGTCTCATTTGCCGCTCAAGTCTTACAGTCCTTTGCATATTTTTGTGAAAATCAAAACGTTTCCAAAACCAGTCACGTGGTATGTGCCTGAGCCAAACAAAGCGGTTCGGGCTGATTTCTGAGCTTCGACTATGCCTCTCCTGTGCCTCCCTGTCTCTCCGGCAACCTCAAGGAGTGTATTATTCAATGGTACTATATAAACTAGGGGGAGATATGTAATCTCCCCAACTGCTCTATTGGCAATGTTATCCACAATCATATTGTAATTATAGGGATTTTGGTCAAGTAAGCTTATTTACCCGTCATGCAGGACGGCCTTCTGCCCTCACCAGTGAATACCTTTCACTTATCAAAGATATAATTGAAGAGAGTCTGTCCCTTTACTTAAAAGAAATGCAACAAAAGCTCTCAGATGTCTGAGAGGTGGTTGCCAAAATATTGCTAGCACTCCAGGATATTCTCAAAAATTATCGAATTGAAGTCACAAGCCATTATGAGCTGGGTGGTGGATGGCGGATAAAATTTTGGAGGTCCAAAGAATGCGAGGAGGGGAGTTGGAGGGGAGTGGCGAGCTCATTGTTTGGCTCAGGCACATGTCACGTGACCGTTTTCGAAAACGTTTTGATTTATGCAAAGGACTGTATCACCCAAGTATCACCATTGTATTCACTTATTCACTTTTTACCATAGGATGAGTCTGGACGACATGGAATCTGGGCGCGTTTCTTGCTTAACGACCCAAGCAACCTGGGCTCTATAGCGCCTAATGTGGTGGGCGTAAACAATTCCTGTTCAATGTGACTAAATTTGACACAGGCTTCCACGTACATAGGACGACGGGCTCTCACACCAAGCGCCTTACTATAAATTGGAGTTATTTTTGCAGACAATTTGCATCCTGCTGAGGTGAAGCCTCAACGAGTCTCGAAAGCTCAAGGAGGTGTACGTAAGTGGGCTTCCGCGTATCGGGCAAGGTACGCCCGTGGCGAAGATGTGTCAATAATTGCTGATGGCCATATGGCGTCGGATCGATGCCGGCAGCACAGTGCGGTCACCTTTCTTCCAAGACTTGCCAATGGTATCTCATTGACAAACAATCATCGCTCTTATGCCTTCTTACGCTGAGAGTCACAAAGTTCAATTCAAGACAAGGCGGATTGTCGTCGAACCAGTTTCTCCAGTGATTTTCCGCTGATTGACTTGCTTTGCGAAGGCCGTGTAAGGCGGGACATTCTTGGGCGTCAATGCTAGGAGACGTCCGAAAGGCGGTGCGAGGAACATATTTTACGAAACAGATAAGTAGATGCGCGAACAACCCGCAGTCGCTCAAGGGGGTTAGTCCCTCCTTCTTTTCCCACCACTTGACCGCCCAGTGACCTTGACAACTCTCCCTCTCTCCCTCTGCGGTATGTCACTGGCAGCTGAGACGACAAAGAGGGTATCCAGCCGCACAAACCTTCAATCGACTCTCCTGATTTCTGGTGGACATATGATGGGGAGAGCAAGAGCCATGACAGATGTCGGCCAGTCGCTTACAATAATTGGAGAGTTGGAAGAGCAATCGTGTTCTTACCCTCACGGCCCTCTTGCACCTTTTGTTCTACCGCTACGGGCTGAATCTTTACCACGACTGCACGTATCTATCCCGACATTCAAAGCACCATCACATTCGGATTCTGCGACGCCCCAATCTGAATCGCCGCTGACGCCGGCGTCGCTCAGCTCCCCGATAGCAGGAGTGGTAGACTTGACAAATCGCGTCAAGACTACATCTTCTGGTCCCGTCGCTCATGGGGGCTTGTCTGATATCTATAAGGGTGTGCGTTATGGATCGGGTTCAGGAGAGGAAGAGGGGGACGAAACGATCCTCGTGCGCATCCTTGACATTGGTGTATCCGTTTGATCGTCATGACATACAACCTCAGGTGGCTATCAAGGTCCTCCGTATTTTGTCCATTAAAGATCGGGATGACGCCCGTGCCCGGAAGGTAAAACCAACGAACATACTTGCAGCATGGGTTTACCTGACAGCCGACGCGTTTATAGCGCTTAAATCGCGAAGTTTATGTCTGGCATCGCTTGGAGCACCCTAACGTGGTCAAACTTTTCGGAACGTCTTATCATATGGGTGGAAGGCCCGCGATGGTGATGCGTTGGTATGAGAATGGGAGTGCTGCTGAATACCTGAGCAGGAAGAACCCAGCAGCAGACAGGGTTGCACTCGTACGTCGTCTTGTAAAATCTTCTGCTCCCGATCTATGCTCATAATTCTCTCTTTGAAGATTCTGGACGTTGCAAGGGGCCTCGCGTATCTTCACACGAATAAACCACCAATAGTTCACGGTGATCTCAAAGGCGTATGTATTTTGCTTCATACTTTTGAACTTCTAGCTCATTGCCACGGAAGAATAATGTTCTTATCACTGATGAAGGGCGAGCGGCGCTTTGCGATTTCGGTTTATCTAAAGTTATTGACGAGTTGGGGGGGTCCAGTGGGTACACTTTGTCAAACCCGGACGTCGGTCCCCTTCGGTGGCAAGCCCCAGAATTTCTTGAAGATGAAGATGCGCCCATGTCACCTTCATCGGATGTCTGGTCATTTGCTTGTACCGCCTTTGAAGTAAGAACTTATCTAAACTTTCTTCATTTTTTCCGTTCAACGCCGCGCATTGTCAGCTCCTCACAAGTCGTATCCCTTACGCCCACCGTGCACGCGACGGCCTTGTCATCAAGGATATGCAAAATAGAATAAAACCACCAGGACCAGCTGATATCCTTCTTAATGCTTTTGACCCAAGGATCGGGACCATATTAGATCTTTGTTGGTCATTTTACCCTGAGGGCCGACCGACAATGACCACCGTAGTGGAGCACCTGGAATCCACCTACGAGGGCCTTTAACCACTCTTTTCGCTTTGCTCCGCTATCAATGCAACCAAACTATCTCGCTTCACCAAAGAAGTAGGATTACATTCTAATCTTAAAATCTTATACCTTACTCCAACAAAACTCTGACCTACTACTATGACTTGGACATGCCTTCATCGCTGTGCGTCGGTATCGTTACATACGTTCTCCGAGATCACCATTTGTCGCTAAAGACGAGGTCCTGTGCCCAGGAATCCCAACCATTTTTGACGCAATCTTTGACCCTCGGGCTAGATTGTGACTCGGAGGTTAGTGCGTTGGGGGCGTTAAGAATAAAATTGGAGTAGATTTATCATATTTATTTGATATTCATATACTCTTTGGAAAGCCTTTCAATCTTATCAGCCAATTATCAGCGATGCAGCAGCAAAATATCTAACGCCAGATCTCATCTCCTGTCTCCTGCCACCCTTAATGATAAAAATGTAGCTGGTAATTGTCATGTTTCAAAAGGCATCACGGAGGGTAAATTATGGCGAGGATGAGGCGCATTAGATGCGGATCCGGAGCGTGGACTGACGGGTTTGTGGACGGATCCTGGCCAGTGATCGGTTGAAGCAAAAACGATCAGGTTATTATGCGGGCAGCTTGGTGTTCTAAGCCTTCTAGTCCTCTGTACAGTAGTAGGGGATAATTCCGCGCCAGACTGCTCTCAGTGGGATAGAAACCACCCTTGAAATGTATGAATTACACACTCGAAATTTTCAGAAATGTACGTAGTCAGTGAAACTGACGAACGTCGAAACCCAATGTAAAGTTGAACATCGCCTTTTGATGATGATCGATGATGGCTGAGAAGGGGAGCAGACCGTGAGAATATACACGCTGCTCTTCAATTTTGCTTCAACTTGTCAAAAGCCTTCTTCATCAACACCATCAGTGCTGGATCACCCAAGAGTAACCATCCGTCGCCTGCGACCAAAAGCATTCTAGGTAAAGACCTGCCCACTTTGGTTGCACGCAATGCTCGCGGGACGGCATCAGGCTCCGTACACATGTGCAGTACTTTTCGCCTTTTGGGAAAGCCTCGATTTCGAGCCACTTCCGAAATTGGCCTCCCTACGACCTTCATTCAAACCAGGGATCCCATTCTGTGTGAAATCGCGCAACCTCTACCTCCTTTCGGTACATAAAGATTAGGTAGCCCTCCTCCGCTGTGGGCATTCGTCTTATATCAGGTAATGTATTGCGATGCTGGGATGAACCGCCTTGGTTGAACGCCTTCTAATCCCGATCACCCGACGCGTACCTACCTGCCATTGTGTACTTTGGAAGGCAGGAACGCACTCGACCTTGATCCGAGGGTCTGGAAGGACAAGGACCAGAAGCTGCCGAAGCACATAAAAGCCAACTCGACAAGGGCAAGGAAAGGACGCTCTTCTACCTGACGCACCTGACTTCCCTAATACCATGGTTGCTTCCACTCGCCTCTCCGCGCTGGTTGCATTGATAGCGTTCCTGGCCCCCAGAGGTATGTTTGTGAAATCTGCTCCTTGCTTATATGAACGCACGATTCAGCAGCTGTCACCACTACGGTTATCCCTCCAGCGTCGCAAGGTCAAGTAGATCCCGTTGACAATTCCCTCGATCTCAGTGGTACAACGACTGATACGGATGCCATTGTTTCGACCGTTTCTGTTGTTTCCCAAAAGAGCGGTCCGACGGATGACACTCCCCCCAACCAACCTGTTCCAGCAACGGTTGTAACCGCTGTTGACGGTCGGCTCACTGAAGCTGGGTCGGGGGAGACAAGACGTGGCATTAGCATGAGATCGACGTCAGGAGAGTTTTCAAAGCGAACTACCAGCGGTTATGAGCTCGTTTTCTCTGGCACGGGAACGAACTCGGGGGACAGGGATGCTTCGATTCAAGGCACTGCGTATCTCACTTATAAACTCCTTTCTAATGCGACATACGACGTTGACGGGTGCCTTGAATTTTGCAGTAGTGTGAAAGGCTGTGGTACGTAACTTTGCAATGGTGAATCTTTAGCCAGACTGATGAACGAAACAGTTTTTGCAAACATTTATTATGAATTCAACAACGAGTTGCTCGACTTTGTTTTTAATGAGAAATCGAACTTGAAATGCGCGCTGTACGCCGATGTTCATACTGCGGCCGAGAAGACCAATTCAGGAGGGCAACAATCGGAGCCCTCACCTGCGGGATTAACGTATATTCAGCAGAGTAGTGGCTACGCTTCTACGACGCTTGTCGATCCCCCTACGCCCGATGGGTACGAACTCGTCTTCGGCCCTTCTAACGGAGCAAACAACGCACCTGGCGTCAGTGATGATTCTCTCCTGTGATGATTATTCTAACGGCCTTCGTTATCAGTATATGGGTTTCGCGTTCCTCGAAAAATATGACGTGAATGCTTGTTCGCAGCTTTGTAACACTCGTAACGCTGATCCAAATGGTGGGGCTTGCCAATACTTCAATATCTGGCGCGCTCTTGTCAATGGTATCCCAACGACATACACTTGCAGCATGGTTCGTGTCCAAAACTCAAGAAGAAGGCTCCATTCTTATCTTATTTCTAACCGCCTTTTGATAGTATTTCCTTGTTGCCGATGGGTCGACCGCCGTCAACACTGGCCAAGGAGATCTTCAGGTTACCTTCTCTCGCGGGTACAGACGGAAAAACTTTGTCTTTGATGGAGGATTCGAAGGCTACACGGCCTGTAGCGACTTCTGCTTCACCAGTTCGTATGCAAACTGGATCGGTATCAGCGTAGATCCGGGCGATCTCGACGCGTCCATCTTCTTTTTCGCACCGTACGCACATGCCGGTCATGGCTCCGCGCTCCTTGGCTCAGCCTTTGACCAAGATGGGTTGCCAGGGACTCTTACCCCTGCAAGTCCATTGAAGACCGTCGCTGGACAGCATTATACGATCACCTTCTTTCATGCCAGCGTATATAGCGGCCGAACGCTTGAAGCAGCTGCGTTCGTTCAGATTTTATGGAATGGAAATATTGTTTCGACGATCACGCCAGGATATAGTGCTTGGACCTTCTACTCATTTGATGTAGTGGCGAAGGGGAATGATGTTCTCGCCTTCCACGGTGGAAGGGCTCCCGCTTGGTCGTTCCTTGATGACATTTGCGTTTTCCTAACGTAATGTACCTTGACGACTGGTCTTCCTAAGATTTGACGAGTAATTTTACCAGTCAAAGGACATTCCGAGCTTCTTAGCGCTTTCCCGATTATAACTATCCGTACATAATTGGGCTCTTCCTTTTCCACTCGTTGTTTTGTTATGTATATTCATTAATTTATCGATACAGCGACTTCAGTGAGATATAGATCGCGAATTTTCATCAGTTGTTTTTTCAAATGTAGCGTAAGATCATAGTTTACTTGTCCACTTTTCCCTACTTTTTGACTTGTGACAAGCCAAAAAGCTGAAAAGTAGCAAATATGAATAAGCTCGCTTCTGAGGGTGACTGCCTTAGCTTTTCCGCTTTGTCTCACTTTTTGGCTGCTTTTTTCCGGTAGAAAACACTAAAGTACTGATGCTAAATGATGTCTAAAATCTATGGCTACCAAAAAATTATACTACGGAAGGCAGGTCAAGCTTAAAAGTAAAATTTAACGTCAATCGACCGTTTCAAAGAGGATTGCAAGGGACAAGAATTTTTAAGTATCATGGTATGCTTTACCCCGAGATTTTCAAGTTCATCGCGGCGAAAGTCCGCTGTTGGTCGGATGAAGTCGAAATCCTATTGGTTCGTTGGTTTCGTCATTGAATTCGATGTCGGTAAATCCGTCGGACCACGCAGATTGCCTCACGGTCATCTGCGCTCGGATATGTAGGAGCACCCTGCTAGACAGCAGACAATGCAGAACACGTTCTGGTCTATATGATACATCTTTCAGCGAGGTAGAAAAGGAATCGGGAGCGAACCCACGATGCCAGTAGATTTAGGTAACTATTCTGTACGATTTCTTAGGACTATACAAGAGGAAATGATTTGAAAACCTACGGGGAGTTTGAATACGACGACGACGTTGAGAGTTGACAAAGCTACTATCAAATATGAGCGATGTTGTGGTGGCAATTCTGGAGTCTCACCGAAAAGGTAGATGTAAGACAAGATGCCTGCTGTCAGATTAGACGCAGATTTCAGGATGCGACAATAGGTGCACTGACCGTCCCGAAAAACAACTTCATATAGTGCCTTATCTCCGCCCAATCTGTCTAATACGTAGGTCAGAGGGGAATGGATAGTGGGCAACGCTACACACAAGCTTCTATACCAGGAATTATCATCAAAATGAGGATGACTGGCGAAATTTAGTTAGAAGGCGTCGCTCAATTTTAACATACAAGCAAAGGCAACAAACCAAATTCGTAGCTTGTCAGGATTACCCAACACATATACAGGATGTGATTGGAGTCGGAAACAAGACAGCCCAAAAAGTCTGGGTAAGGCTGCGGACCAACTAGACATAGATCACTTCAGTAACTGATTTAGAACGATGAAGCTTGCCGTTCTTACTCTTGAGGTCTTTGAGAAAAATGCCCATAACAACTAAATTCGCTATGATTGCCGTCCCGCACAAAGTCGGAAGAAAAATGGCCAGATATTTGTTCCTATTCCAGACGGCCCACGCCCGTAATGTGAGGATGACTGGATTATGTCGTCCGTCAGCCGAACGACTTGTTACTTATTGTTAATGGAGACACACGTTCTGAATTGGCAAAGCCAAGGATTATCATCCCTTGATGATAGCATGGTAAGTGGTAACTAGGAGATGTTGGATTGGCGTACAACTGCGGATACGGTACAACAGGTGACAATTTTTCGGAGTCAAGTTTGATCCCGTCTGGTCTAGGCGGCGGCGATGTGATGAGTCAAATAGCGACGTCCGAGATTGAACGAGTTCACGTACGATGAAGACACAACCATACAGTATCTATGAAAGGCATGTACCTTTGCGACAGGTACGCCATCTTCATAAACCCCCACCGCGATGACCATACCAAATCTACTTCCATTCCAAAGGTGATCATGTAGTCGTACAAGAACATGGTCACACTCCCGACTATGTGAAGTTGTGGCTTGAGTAGCCGTTTCGTATGGTATGGTAGAAGAATCTGCTTACCGTCGCAGTACTACAGATTCGTGAGTGAGCTATTGCCAAAGATGAGGTCGTAAAACGCACCGTGACGATTCTCATGGATTCCAGGGACTGAACGAGTTGAGCGAAGCCCTGGAGGTCGGTAGCCATGAGGGGCAAAGCTGGCGATGTAAACTCCAACGAAAGCACCAGGATCGCTCAGAAGCATGTCCTGGGGTTATAAATGAGAAAGAAATTGCATGAAAATGAAGAAGTCCAGCATGTTATTTTACCTTGTGGTCACGCCGCGTGGCAAGGAGGAGTCTGGCCCTGAGGCCCTGAACCGCTCACTACATTGTCCACCGAAAAGTTGGGTTGAATGACCTCAAATGACCTCTGCGAAAATTGCGCGGTTTGTCCTCAGCATCAGATTGAACTTACCATTATTTGTTGTGGGTACATAGAGCAACAAAATTGAGCAGTGCCTGCCAAGCCTAAAACCTCTTTTCCACGTGGTTATTTGTCCTCAGGGCCTCAGGCTGAACAGTGGTAGATAAGTATTGTTCGCTGTCAACGGAAAAGCAACCAATGCTTAGCGTGCTTGAAAGACGATGTGGATGATGCGCCGACCCCAACCAGATCACGTATCATCGGGTGCAAGCCTACCTGTAACCTACCCACACGACCAGTAATCTGGCTAAGGTCGATGTTGAGGAGAGAAGCCATGAGGTTGTCCTGGCCCGACTTGGAGTAGAACGTCTGTTTGCCTAAATATGGGAGATCATTGGATCAACGCAGAGAAAGGCTGACGCCGGTGAAGAGAGCCAGGGTTGCGAGAGTTTGCGATTCCGGGGGTGGGGGAGGCGGCGACTAGGGTAATTAGGACGGCGGCGACGAAGAGAACTTTGAAGAACATTTTGACAATAAAAGAGAGCGTATGCTGATTTTTTTTTGCAACGTCTTGAGAAACCATCTCGGACTTCTGGAACAATTGAAAATGGGAGAATAATTTCGCTCCCCGTATATTGAGAAGAGATGAGATCGCTGAGGGTTTATTTGACGACTGCCCGAACCGGAACCGACACATCCGAGTCGAAACTATGGCGCAAGTATTTCAGACCTTGGCTAGACATGATCATCTGGGATGTCCTGGACTTGATATTTCCCGTCGACTCCGATTTGAGCAATGGTGGTCCTGCGCCAAGATTATGTACTTGACTACATGGTGCTGCTTCAACAAGCCTGCCAAGTTTGCAAAGTATCAGGCATCCACACACTTCAAAGGCATAAAACGTGTCCTCCATAAGGCTACATTGCCTGTCTTCCATAGCGTATCAGCATCCCACACGTCACTTATATTTCTTGACATACTGAGATAGGCCTTGTGTTCAGCGACCCTTCAAGAAGTCGAGGGAAAGCTAACCTGTGAAAACAACGCGGCGATTTTGCGCCGATCAACCACAGATAATTTTCAAGGCGCAGGGAGGGAAAGAATCCAACATAAATTTGGGATTGGCGGTGTTCGGTTCCCCGAGGCTGTCGGGTGATGTTTGAGCGGAACGAAGCAGGTTGCATATCATATGTTCACGTTCAATCTAATCCAATATGCAAGTAATTACTTACGTTTTTGGCCGTTTCTCTTCATGTCAGGATGATTGTCACGGCATTGCTGGCTCGATGAGCAAGTCAGGTTCTATAGTGAGCCAAGAATCAAGTAAATTTCGACGTACTCGTAGACGGTTAAATCAACGACAGCGGTCATGGTGTCCCAGAATAAGGAAGATTATGGTAGAAATTTGAATAAAAAACCATTGCTTCGCGCCTCACGAGCTTGAGTCCTGTCGATTGGAACACTTTAGCCAGAGAAAACAGATTTGGCTTGAGTTTTGAGAATGAGATCGTTCTTGCAATGGAATTCGGATGAGGTGGGAGTCAACGCACACCCTTGTCTCTTAGGATGTCAGATTTTGCGCACCCCTTCCTGCATGCTGTCGGGTGTCAATAATATCAACAGCAGCGGCATGGGTGCCCCTGGGTTGAAGTCGAAAGTGAGGACCGACTCACCATTTGCATTTCAAGTTATTAACGGACCAATAGTCATTCGAATTCAACTATGAACGTTCGTTCATAAGTGCCCTGGAGGAAAATTTACCAGAAGCCGCTTCCTTTTTCGTACTTTCCTGAGGCATTGCCTGAGTCCTTCCTCGACTAGACCTGTGCTGCGACCGACTCTTAAGGTAAACAAGCTCTAGGTCGCAAGGGAATCCTTTTCGTGAATCGCCCATCGTTGCCTTGTTAAGAAATTTCTCGTTTGTAGAGATTGATCAAAGATTGATGTCCTTTGTTGTGGTATGGTTGTGGCAAGGTTGTGGTCAACGTTGCGGATCGAACGGCGGCACAGCCACACAACCAAGTTTGTTTGCACGGACCACCATCATCGTCGTCACTAGTTCAAACATTCAAATATTCACTACTGGTGGTACCAGTCATCGTCAACTGCAAGCATGCTTTTCAAACGAAATACAAGGTTGTTATATACGCTGGTCTTGATTTCGCATTCCATTAGGAAGTCAATACCGGATTATCTGTGAGGACAGGTGGCCTCACAAGAACGACAAGTATTCTCAATCATGTTACTATTAACTAATATCAGTGACCGCAATTGCTGATGAGAAAAACTCAAGGACAAAATGCTTTACCGTCTGGGATCTTTTGGGATGCAAAATTTTCGAAGTTTTGGGAACCCTGTACGTTTCCTCCATTCAAATTCAAACTGACGAGCATCGCATTTTGCCGACGCCATAATACATCATTCGTCCTATTTTTCTCCCCACATCTCAAAATAGACCCAGTGATTTGTCGGCTCAACATCCCCGCTTTTTGCCCAAGGGTCGACGGCAGCTCCCTTGTGATTCTTCGAATTTCAAGGGTTCGGCTGCCGCCATTTTTCTTGGGAAGGAAAGTCAATCGCCCTTTTTGGGCGTCAAGCGATGTCATGGGACCTCCCCTTTTGTCAAAGGAGTCAGAAGCTTGGAAGCGAAGTGGAGGGACACCATTTTTTTTTTCGTCAAACAATTTGGGGCGTTTCAAGGTGTAAGAGAGAAGGAAGCGAACGGTCCGCCTAGGCGTAGCAAAAATCTATAAAAGCAGGAGCGACAGTCCTTGGTTCTTCAGTCGAACACCCGACTTTTCTTCTCCTCGCATTCTCCAAAACACCCCAAACCCTCAGCATCATTCAAAAATGTTCTCCAAAGTCCTCCTCGTCGCCGCCACCCTCGTCACTTTTGTCGCCGCCACTCCCGTCCCCGGCGGGGTTGATAATTCTTGCAACACTGGCACCCTTCAGTGCTGTTAGTCTTCCTGATCCTGTCTCTCCGTCCCGTCCTTTTGAATATCTCTTTACTTCTCATTTAGGCAATCAGACGTTCTCTTCTACGTCGGGAACGGCCACCCTCTTGGCCGCCCTTCTGAACCTCAATCTCAGCCAGCTCACTGGCCAGATCGGCCTTAGCTGCACTCCTATCAGCGTCATAGGCCTCGGTCAAGGTGCCAGCTGGTGAGTAATCTTGCACATTTTTTGTTCTCGCCTCCTTCTTATGCGATTTCATTCACCAGCACTCAGCAACCCGTCTGCTGCAGCGGAAACACGTACAGTTCGTATTTGGCTTTCGCCATGATTTCTACTTCTGACTGGAGTACTTTCCAGATGGCCTCATCAACGTTGGCTGCTCCCCCATCAACCTCTAAACGCCCTATCGTTAACTAGTTTCTGTCTATGGACTACTCCTCACCCGTTGTTGCACACTTTCCCTAGCTAATCAGCCTACCAGTTTATTTTGAGCGTTGGACATTGACTATCAATCAAGAGCTAGTGAAAACCTGAGAGCGCAATCGCAATGATGCTGTCGCCTTGACCAGGCAAAAATAAGTATACAAATGTTGTGTTGGTCTTGTGTCAGGAAATTCTCGCCAGGGCAGCGGCACCATTTCAGAGGAGCGGTGATAAACGGTACTGGCTAAGAACAAAAAGTAATTAATTAATCAACTGCAGAAAATGCGCTTGGAAAGTTCCGCCTACCCGTTTGATGAGTTACGGCAATGATATTCCAAGGAGTCCACAACACGAAAAGTAATTTTTGTTCTATTTTTGTTGCCGGCTTTTTGGGAGGACTGTACACTCTGAGTGACCCGTCGTTGATGAACTTGGACGGGTAGAGTTGCTTCATCGAGTAACGCGAACCATGATCGGGACGCATGGTACTTTGATGGTACCCACCTGCCGCCTACCTTTGAACATTTGATATGGGTGTTTGTACAGTGTCCGTATCTGAATATACTTATCCTCAAATACTTGAGTTTCTTGTGAGTTTCAGGAGGTTCAAAATAAGGGCCAGAGATGCGCTTCAAAAAAAACTGGTAATATGGGGAGGTAGAGAGGGTGACTCTAGTCGAAACTGAAGAAAAGCGACCTTCATTCCCTAGCCTTGGATTATCTATCCGCTGAACTCAGCTTTACGCCTTCTGCTCGAAGTATCAAGCCAGCCAAACAATGCCAAGCAGTGCCAATAAAAACGACACCGCCTTTTGTTTTCAACAACGACGTCAAACCGCAACTCTAGATGCAATGAACCTTCCTGCGTGGGTTTTCTGGTGACGATAGCGCCAGACTTTTCTTGATTCTCTTCGAGGTCATCGTGACCAATGTTGATACCACTTCTCACCACCGAGGGACCTACCAATGCGGGAGCTAAAGCTAGCTCAGGCTTACAACGTGCGACCACGTCAAATCGCAACTCCAGATGCAATGAACCTCCCTACGTGAATTTTCTGGTGACGATACATGCCAAACTTTCCTCGATTTTCTTCGGGGTCATCGTGGCCGACGTTGATACCACGTCTCACCACCAAAGGACTTGCCGATGCGGGAGATATAGCTCAGGCTTGGTGAGTTCAACCAAATTCCGTTCGCAGTACGCGAGATTATCAATGATTAATGAGCCCTTACATTGAATTGAAAGGAATTCGACGCTTCAAATAGGGCGGGACGCGACGCTCTTTCTCGTCTTGATCAATTATCATGTAAAGCACTTTGTCTATGAGCTTTCCTGATCAGCGATTGGACGCTGGGGATATATGCGCTTTGACTTGGTCTTCCTGTAGCTATATGCGTGCCAACTTCAGTCTCAAGAGGAATTCGCTTTTCAGCTGTCGACTTGTATGATGCGAAGGTCCTTTGCATACTCGTGTCGCCAAATTGGTATTCCGCTAGGTCTGCGCTCGGTCTTCGATATTCTACATTTTCTGCTTCATCAACCCGCAGGACTTGAGGAAAATAAAAGGGCGCGGGAGACTTTCGAGTATGGGGGAGCTGGTGAGTTTGAACCTATTGAGTTGGATCGGATAATCATGTTACCACCTCTCAGCTGGGATAACCTTGTTTGTTACATATATGCTGGACTGTGGCGACCCGTTGTCCATGCTTTGCAGGCCCTTCCATTGAATCTCCGCTGCTCCCTATACTGAGGCCGTTTAGCGTAGGTCCGACGAAGAAAGTCTTTTGCGCCCACTTTGCGACTTGGGAGGGCATCATGCATCAAGGACCGGACTCCAACTCTTCCGCAATTCTGCTCCTCTTTATCATTCAACTGCCTTCCTCTTCTCTCCCTCTATCCTCTAGTTTCGCTAAGAACTACAGCGCAAATATGTCCTCGTCTTTCGTCTTCCTGCTACGGCTCTTTCAGGTCGAGACATTGCTGTTAGAGAAATCTTCTACTTCCTTGTGTCTACGCCGCTCTTCCGAGGGGGTTTCATGACTGTGGCCTACAAGCCGTGGTGTTTTTGACACATGGTACAGCATGCCCTAACTAAGGAGGTAAGTCCGGAGGATAGGTATCGCGTCTGCGCGCAGCTTTATTCCCCAATTCCGGCATTAACTGAACTTGTCACAGATTTTCCTTGGATTTCTTAACTTCGTATCCGATGTCCCGAGGTCGGGCGAGCGCTACAAAGCAACATACCATATCACCTCAGTCGACCACGCCGTAAGCGCGTATCTTCTCATTGACTTTCAATAATCAAGTTCCTTTTTCTCCTGTTGAAGGGATTACGTTCTATTTTCTTGACATCTTGCGATTGCTATGGTGCAGCGTAGTGGTCGCCTATACCCACGTCGTAAGTCAATGTTCTTTCATCTGTACTTTGTAGCTGTGGTCCTTCGTTGTATATGCCCTCTCTTTATCTGTAATTTTCATTTCGATGTCCGTCAATCGAGGCCGCACGTTGAAATTATTTGTGACTGGGTGCTATAGCTAGCCTACCGGTAACCACTCTTTTTGAGCAACTCTTTACACTGCTGTTTTCAAATAAACATTGGACACTTTTGGCAGTTGTATCAAATAAAAAAGTTCATACAGCGAGGTGAAAATTTGGGCACCGGGAAGGTGAAAATTCGGGTACGGGGAATCGAACCCCGAGCTGCCGCGAGAGTTTCTAGATACATTGCTTGTGAGAGGCGGCAATGTTAACCGTTACACCATACCCGACTTGTAGGAGGAGGGATGTTATGTTAACCGTTACACCAGGATAAAACTATCCGGAAACCCCCCTTTCTACGTGAAACCCCATGGTTTCTAAATTGGTTGGGCAGAAACCTGGGGTGTTGTCAATAGCCGACGATCAAAGATATTTGATGTCCGACGTCCCCTGGCTGCGGCTCACTCACTGCCGAAATGAACATGGTTTTGTGTATATAGCATTTTAATTTGTCCGTAGTAACCCGGTGCTCAAGCTGAGAGCGTGTGTTATTCACCAATAGTATCTAAGATATTGAAGGGTAATTCTGGATGTGCTGGACTACTCAAGAATGCTAAGGGCAAGGGACTGTCTGAGGTTGAACATGTGTGGCCTTCCAAGTTCCTGGCAACATACCCCACACTTTCTTTTACGTGCATTTCGTACGGGAATACCAGCTCCTCCACCTCGAGGGCGACCTTCCGCCACCCCATGATTCCGATGTGTACAAATGATGGCTTGCGTCCTCCACGAGGCCACACGAGGTTGTCAGTGGAGAGGACCCAAGTGGTGGGCATGATAATAGTAGGCAGACAGTCATTGCGTACACATTCGAAGGTGGAACTGAGGCCAAAACGATGGTGGCGAAGGATACGAGCCTGAGGCAATGGACTTGCTGAGCAGACGGCAGGTGCTTGGCAGGTACTCAAACAATCTCCGACGTGGGTTTCTAGCAACATGTCCAAACAACATTTCATAGTGGATGGAGGGGGGATTTCAAACCAACGACGAGAGACCCCTGGGTTTCTAGCGGAAAGGGGGTTTCTGATTAGATAGATCCGTTACACCATACCCGACTCGTAAATGTTTGTTGGTTAAAAGGTAATAAACGCCACTGGCGACATGTGCAGTTGTAATTGACCGGAGGTATTGTAATAGGTCAATGACTTTCTGGAAATGACGAGTGTCGACATAGGTACTTTGATCAATCGTCTATGAATCTGGAGTAATGAAGCTGTAAATGATGAGTACAACAAAGCTTGTTTGCACGGACCACCATCATCGTTTTGTCATCGTTGTCACTGCTATCGTCAATTGCAAGCATGCTAGCCAAAGACAATAATACGCGTGGGCTGCGATTCACATTTCATTAGGACGTCAATACTGGATCATCTGTGAGGACAGTGTCAGTGCTACGGTCAAGCTGCAGTGGCCTTACAAGGACGGCACAAGTATTTTCGTCATGTTACTGATTCTTGCGCTGACCGCAATGGTTGATCAGGACAACTCAAGGATAAAATGGTCTACCAAGTTTTACCGTCTCGGATCTTTTGGAACGCAAATTTTTCGAAGTTTTGGGATCCCTGGACAATTCCTCCATTCAAATTCAAATTGACGAGCATCGCATTCTGCCGAGGCTATAAAAAAATCTTTCGTCCCCCTTCTCTCCCCGCGTCTCAAAATAGGCCTGGTAATTTGTCGGCTCAAAGTCCCCGCTTTTAATATACAACTCAAGGGTTGACGGCAGGATTCTTCGAATTTAAAGGGTTCAGCAACAGGGCTGCCGCCATTGACATGATTGATCAGTCGACATATTTCTTGGAAAGGAAATTCAATCGCCGTTTTGGGCGTTAAGCGTCAGGACTTGCCCTTTTGTCAAAGGAGTTACAACGGGAACTTGGAAGCGAAGTGGAGGGACACCAAATTTTTTTTCGTCAAACAATTTGGGGCGTTTCAAGATGATGGGAGAGAGAAGGAAGCGAACGGCCCGCCAAGGCGTAGCAAAAATCTATAAAAGCAGGAGCAACATTCCTTGGTTCTTCAGTCGAACACCCGACTTTGCTACCTTCACTCGTTCTCGCACTTTCCAGATCACCCCAAACCCTCACCATTCCTTCAAAAATGTTTTCCAAAGTCCTCTTCGTCGCTGCTACCCTCGCTACTTTTGTCGCCGCCACTCCCGTCCCCGACGGGGTTTCTAACTCTTGCAACACTGGTTCCCTTCAGTGCTGTTAGACTTTCCGATCGTGTTCCTCCACCCTATCGTTCTGACGACTCTATCTTTTTGCCTCTCATTTAGGCAACCAGACGTTCTCTTCTACGTCAGGAGAAGCCAACCTCTTGGGCGCCCTTCTGAACCTCAATCTCGGCCAGCTCACTGGCCAGATCGGCCTTAGCTGCACTCCTATAAGCGTCATAGGCCTCGGTCAAGGTGCCAGCTGGTGAGTTATTTTTCCCATTTTTTTTCCCGCACCCTTCTCAAGCGATTGCATACATCAGCACTCAGCAACCCGTCTGCTGCAGTGGCAACACGTTCAGTGCGTAGTCCGTTTTCTCTTGATTTCTACTACTGACTGAAGTAATTTCCAGATGGCCTCATCAACGTCGGCTGCACCCCCATCAGCCTCTAAATGCCCTACTTTTGGACTATTTCTTGTCTATTGAATATTCCTACTCGTTGTTGCACACTTGCTCTACCTAGTCAGGCCATCTGTTTACTTGAGCATTGAACATGGACTATTCAGTAAAATCACAGAGTGCAATCGCACTACCGCCGCCTTGACCAAGCAAAAATAAGTATACAAATCTTGTGTCAGAAATTTCTCGCCAGGGCTTTGAAGACATCGGCACAGGTGCGGTGATAAACGGTAGTGGCTGGGAGCGAGAAGAACATCAAGCGATTAATCAATCAACTTCAGAAAATGCGCTGAAAAGTTGTTGGAAAGTTCTGCCCGCCCATTTGATGAGCTACGGCAATGACATATCACTCTACTGCACATAGATAAATTCATGAGAGACGGCAATGTTGGATGTTACACCATACCCGACTTGTAAATGAAAATGCGGGAGGGAACTTGTGTAGAAATGTGGGGGATGTAAGTATGTTAGTCACACGTAAATTGATCAGGAAGCTTTCCAGATTCACATTGAATTACTTGCGACTGGATGATTCTTGCGAGACTCGTAAACCACTATTAAGCTTTGGAATGCGGTCATTGCACCTGTTTTCAAAGCAACATTTACCTGGACCGTTGGTAGTTAGTTGCATTACTGTCATGTGACCATTACCGGGTCACTTTAGCTTAAATTGCAGATTGCACGCCTCCCTCTCATTGGGAGCACATAAAATTTTGCGAGTGAGTAGGAGGAAATATATATATATTGTATCTGTAAGTTTTATTCTGGAGGGATGCTTTTGGGTAGTGTTAAAATGCCTTGACCCATTTGCCCTGAATTGGTCAACACCCATAAGCCAACCGTAAAATATTCTTAGACACCTCATATTCTCTGTATCTGATTTAAAATTTTGTGTGCGAGTTACCAATACCTCCACTGTAAACTTTCAAAAATATTTGTGTCAATAGAGGCTAGCACTGTGGAGAGAAATGGTCGTCAATTAGATAGACTTGCTTTGATGGGCAAACTTGGCAAAACAACAATGTGACCATCTTATCTCCCTTATATCTCAGCTCATGCTCAACGTTCTATCCAATAAATCTCCACACACAGCCGCATGTACGTTGTCAAAGTCTGTTCAAAATTTCAAATGCATAGCATGGATCGTTGTGGTGCTATAGCTTGTTGACCTGTTAGGGTCACATGACAGTAGTTTTTTAAAAAGTAACATAAGTAACCAAAGGTCATTCGGGTACGGGGAATCGAACCCCGAGCTGCCGCGAGACGTAGATACATCGCCCTGTGCTCGTGAGAGGCGGCAATGTTAACCGTTACACCATACCCGACTTGTAAGATGACTGTAGAAGGGAAGCTATGTGCGAGTGTGTTTTTCCGATGTACGTCGTTGCCAGGCGCAGTAATGGCCCGTGGAAGGGGGTCGATGAGTTTGTGGGAAATGATGAGTGTTGACGTACTTATGTAAATGCTACGCCCCCTAACGGATTGACAGGAAAAGAAAAGGATCAGTCGTACTTGGGACTTGGAGATACGTCGCAGGAGTAGTAAGACTCATGGAACTTGATAACTATAGACTAAATAGGTATAAAAATTTGAATAAGGGTATCACCAAAGCGCATCATATGCGCGCATCGGTACTCAAAGGTATACTTGGTATCTTACTCACGCACAACAAGCACTCCACCCCTTCCCATCCCCATCCTCCCCCCTTTCCCCCAACCGAATCGCCTCATTCCCACTCGCCTCACTCACTTCCTCGCGCTCGTCCCTCAACCTACCCACCGCCTCCTCATACTCCCACCGCCCCACAACCCTCCTAACAACATACCCAAAAACATCCTCCACCCCCTCTCCCGTCTTCGCAGAGGTGAAGAACAGCTTGGGCCCACGCTCGGGAGCCTCTGCGGAAGTGTGTTGGTGTTCGCGGGCGAATAAACTAGGCGTCATAGTCGCCACGCTACTCGTACTCGCACTGCCCCCCGATAAAGAGGAGGAAGACGAGAGACCCAAGAGTCTACGTTGGCGTGGGGACCAGGAGGGTGGTGGTTCGGGCGATGATCGTGCGGATTCGTAGATGGATGAAGAGGGGGTGTGGTAGAGTGTTAGTGTTGTGTGTGTTGTCGTCATTGTGTCGGTGTAAAAACGGGATGAGGAGCTGGAGCGTGGTGTTCCTCTGGGACGGTGTTTGGGGGAGGAATCTTGGTGGGGTGCGATGGCGATGGGGCGGGGGGAAGTGGAGTGCGCGTCCTCTGAATCATCACCATGTGGAAATGAGATTTGTGGAATGATGACGTGCTGTTGCGGCGGGGGTGGTGATGATAAGTTTGCAAAAGGGGGAACGAGCTCGTCGATAAACTCCAATGCCTCCTCTTTGCCAACGAGCCTGTTAACCCCTTTATCTTTATCCATCTTGTTCCCCACAACAACGCAGCAGTATTCATGCACGTCCCCATCCTCCACAGGCGCCTTGTCCTTAAAATCGTTCCACCATTTCTTGAGTGCGTGCATGGATTCGGGGGAGGTGACGTCAAAGATTAACAGCGCTGCGTCTGCCCCGCGGAAGAATGCCGATGAGAGGCTTGAGAAACGTTCTTGGCCTGCTGTATCCTGCGCGCATACAGGAAGGGAAAAAGTAGGTAGGTTAGTTCCGGGGTTGGATGGAAGGAAAGAGATGGACCCAGATCTGTAACGTGACTGATTCGTCTGGGTTTCGTGGGTGTGGAACCGTCTTCGTGATGAAATCAGCACCGATAGTCGCTCTGTACCCCGTCGAAAAGCGGCCAGAGATGTACTGAACCATGTCAGACGCTCGTTAAATGTAATTACAAGTACAAACTCACGCACCTTTCCTCTGAGGCTAGTCTTGCCTACGCCAGAAGCACCAATCACTACGAGCTTTATTGTAGGCATCGACGACACGGAAAGAAGAAGAAGAAGGGCACAGCCACATATAGTCACGTCACACCCTGCCTGAGCGGAGTGTAAAAACTAAACCTTCGTGACTCACACTCATCGCCTCGTCACACGCCAGCAGGAAAAAGAGAAATGTCCTCAACAGCTGGTTTATCCCGTCGTCGTGTCGGCGGACACTCTTCTTCCGGGACTACAGCTGACGACGATGACACCAGTACCCCAAGTCTCAGTCTGAACGGAGGAAGTCGGACGAATTCGCCTCCTTTACCTGCTTCGAGTTCACACCAAGGTTCGCGGGTTATCTTTGCGCTTCTGGGTTTTTGAGTTTGGCATGCTCACCAGGTAGATACGTATAGGTTCCGGGATCCAACATGCCGGCTCGGCTTTTGAGGGAGGCAGTAAAGTAGCGTTTGACCCGCGAGATCTGGCGCAGGATGCTGGTGAGGAAGCTAGGATTGGGGGGAAGATGCCTAGGTTGACTATCATGGAGGAGGTTTTGCTTTTGGGGATTAAAGATAAACAGGTTTGTTTCCCTTCCCTGACTTCTTCCTTGGTCCCACCCACCAACCAACCCCTTTTGATGTCGATCTCAACCGCAGGGCTACCTCTCCTTTTGGAACGACAACATATCCTACGCTCTCCGAGGCTGCATCCTCATCGAACTCGCCCTCCGCCGGCGCATCGCCCTCGTCCGAGACCCAAACAGACGTCGTCTCCCCTTGGCAGAACGGATAATCGAAGTAGTGGATGATCGTCAGACGGGGGAGACGATTCTAGATGAAGCGCTGAGGATGATGAAGGCTCAAGAGGAAGTGGAAAGGATGGGTGTTAACGCTTGGATTGATCTCATGAGCGGTCAGTCCAGTTCACGCGGGGGGGGCGCTTGCTTCCCCCGTTCCCCTTTTCCTTTCATCACGGGCTAAAGCCCCTCGTAACAGGCGAAACATGGAACGTCCTCAAAATCGGGTTCCAACTAAAACAAGTCCGCGAACGCCTCGCAAAAGGTCTAGTAGACAAAGGCGTCCTCCGCACCGAAAAGCGAAACTTCCTCCTCTTCGACATGGCCACCCACCCCCTCTCCGACATCCGTACCAAAGAATCCCTCATCACGCGCGTCGTTTCCATACTCACTTCCACTACCTCCGCAGTACCCGAACGCGCGCTGGATAAGGAGGGAACGCAGTGTAGAGTGATGAGGGCGGTGTGTTTGGTGTGTGCGGCGTATACGGCTAGTGTGCTTGATAATGCGTTTGGGAGGCTGGGGTATGAGGAGAGGGAAGGAGCTTTTGGGAGGTGTGATGAGCTTTTGGGGGAGTTTGTTGTTTGGCCTCTTGGGTCTTCTTCTTCTTCCAACTCGAATTCGTCTTTTGGGGGGGGAGTGACGCCTGCTGGGAGGAGAAGGCACGCTTCGAGGATCGCTAGTGGAGGAACAAGTGGCGGTGGGGATGGGAGAGAATCCATTTTGGGACTTGTACAGGAGGTTAGGAAGGAGATGGTCGGTGGGGATGAGGATGTTGGGTTTGAGCTTGTTGTGGCTGTTTTGGAGGTGTTGAGTAAGCTTGATTCGTTGCTTTGACGTTTTTTTTTCTCTACTTCTTCTTGTGATATTATTCTGTCATATACCTCTTTTCTCTTTCCTACACACGGATTATGATTCAGATTGTTGTGTAAAGACTCGTCTCCCAGGCCTTGTTTCTTTTCGGTCAACCGCGAAGGCGCAGGATTCTGTACGAGGATACCTATTATGACAGCCGCCTCCTGGAATCTACTAGTATGATACTTACAGAGTGCGTTATGATTTATTTGTGTGCCCGAATGGATTAGCACTTGGAACTCAATCATCAGCGCTGAACAATTCACATGAGTCTTCTTTAAAGCTCAAGTTCGGATTGACGTTGTGGTCACGGTGTGGCTGCAGACCAGTGCACTTGGCATCGCGCTTTTCCTCCTCATTCTTGGTCATCACTGTGGTCTATGCACATAAGGGGGCGTCGAAAACTTGGGGCTGTCTTTGGGTAATCAAATTTCAAAAACATCCCGCTCACGCTGCCTAAACTCAGATAGTATACTGATGTGGACGCTCGTTCGTCTCTCGTAGACTTCGACATTATGTGGAGTCATCACACAAGCATGAAGGAAACGCTCAGTTTGAGATATTGCGTGGGCGGATGGCGATGACAGGTGGTGATTACCGTTTCTCCCTCCACAACGATCCATGGCGTCCTTCTCCAACACACCTCCCGAAATCATCGAAGAAATTATCAACGCTCTAGGTGATGATGTTGCCGCCTTAAAAGCATGCTCACAGACCTGCTCATCACTTCTCCCGTCATGTCGCAAATGCCTGTTTCGAACCATCCATATCACTCCTCGTGACCATCCCCAACGAAACCTTCCACGCCTCATCACATCATTCGGTACTCTTCTCGACAGAAATCCAGGAATTTCAGATTACGTTCGGAACTTTGTGCATCGCATCTGTACACCAGATCTCGACGATGACGATGTGTTGAGGGTGCTGGGGAGACTTCGCCGGGTGCAGTCTTTCAAGCTGGGAATGGGTGACCGCGTAATAGAGTGGAAGACACTACGTCAACCGTTTCGTGATGCTTTACTGCGCCTCATCCACTTGCGCTCCATTTCCCGTTTGAAAATATCTGATATCCAAGATTTCCCGATTAAAACTTTATGTCCTTGTGCCAACTTGGTCGACCTCACTTTACTCTCCGTCTGGGGTTCTGCAGCTGGAATTGACGACGATGAGCAGGGGGAGGGGAATTTTGTCCCGGAAGCCGTTGCACCGCAGCTTCAATCCTTCAATTTCGATTCGTGGAGCAGCCCATATGTTCTTCATCTTCTCAACTACAGACGGTCCGATGGCATTCCTGTGCTAGACTTTGGTAGCGTCCGGAGGTTAACGGCCGAGGGACAAAATGAGCAGGATTTGGTGGTAATCCAGGCGTTGATCAAGGCTACGCAGAATCTCGAAGTTATTAAATATAGCGGTACGTATGCATGCACTCAAAATGCGTCGTCATGGATCTCATATGCCATATCTCACTCATCAAATTTAGTGATCGAGCTGATCAACGGATACGCAGGTCTCGCTGTGGCATTAATGAACACCCCATCTCTATCAACCTTGCGAAAGTTGTGCCTTAGCCACGAAATTAATGGAGAAGGTCAAGACCCCTTGTGTGGGCTCCCCGAGGCGCTTAGAGGGCTCTCCGGGCGCAACGTGATTGAAGAAATTTACCTGGAAGTTCTCGTTGATACGGACTGTCAGTGTAACACTGGGACCCTTGAATGGGGAAGGTTGGATGCTGCACTCGAACATGGCTTCCCAATGCTTCGCCATGTTTTGCTTGACATTGCAGTTTGGGTATTCTCGTCTCATAATGCTGGCGAGATCTTGCGGGCAAAGTTGGATGAACTTCCGGCGAAGTGCTTTCCGTGGCTATCTAAAAACCCGACAGTATTGTTCAGTTTTTCTACGAGAATAGAGTGGGTTTAAACTTTAAACCACTCAATCCTTACTTAAATTACCATAAGCGCGACTGTCTCATACACGCTTATTCACCGTATAAAAACCAGTTGAGACTCGGAGGTCACGCATATCATTTCCACCACCTTCAACGATTGCACTCAGCAAGATTGTGACTGCCCTCCATTTGATTCACAACGAGGTAGTAACAGAATAATGATGCCATTCCCCAGAGGACGACGACCAGTATACGATTTTATTTTATTTTATCTCAAGATTCTTCAATTCTGGTTACATATATTCATTTTTTCGTCTTACTCAGTGTCGTTCGAGTCAGGGATGATAAACTTGGATGACATTAGGTTGATAATGTTCAAATCTGTATTCAGTCCTTGAAACTGACAACTACAGCATCTACGAAGCGTGACTATAATGGTTCCGCAGGCACCACGGATTTTTCCGACGTGACTCTCCATAGACACCTAACTTCTAAGAACGTTTCTCCCTCCTACCACGACAATCCATGGCGTCCTTCTCCAACACACCTCCCGATATCATCGAGGAAATCATCAACGCTCTTAGTGATGACATTAACGCTTTGAAAGCATGCTCACAGACCTGCTCATCACTTCTCCCGTCGTGTCGCAAATGCCTCTTTCGAACCATCCATATCACTCCTCGTTCCTATCCCCAACGAAGCCTTCCACGCCTCATCACATTATTCGGCACTCTTCTCGACACTAATCCAGGAATTTCAGATCACGTTCAGAACTTTGTATACCGCATCTGCACGCCTGATGTCGACGATGATGATGTGTTGAGGGTATTGGGGAGGCTTCGACGCATACAGTCTTTCGAGCTGGGAGCTCGTGACCGCGTTATATCGTGGAAGGCACTACGTCAGCCGTTTCGCGATGCTTTACTGCGTCTAATCCACTCGGGCTCCATTTCTCGTTTGGAAATAGCTAATATCCATGATTTCCCGATTAACGCTTTCTTCCCTTGCGTCAACTTGGTCGACCTCACTTTACTTCGCGTCACGGGTTCTGCAGTGGGAATTGACGACGATGAACAGGGGGAGGAGGTTTTTGTCCCGAAAGCCGCACCACGGCTTCGATCGTTCGCTTTCAGTTCGGGGAGCGGCCAACATGTTCTTCACCTTCTCAAAGACAGACGGTCCAACGGCAATCCTGTGCTGAATTTTTGTAGCGTTCGGAGGCTGAGTGTCAAGGCGGAGAATGAGCAGGATTCGGTGGTAATCCAGGCGTTGATCAGGGCCACGCAAAAGGTCGAAGTTATTGAATACACTGGTACGCATGCATGCACTAAGGATTCGTCCTACTGAATATCATATGCATCCCACTCACCAATTACAGTGAACGGGTTAATCAACGGATACGCAGGTCTCGCCGTGGCATTGATGAACACCTCGTCTCTATCAACCTTGAGAAAGTTGCGCCTTGAATACGTCATTGTTCAAGACGATCGAGATCCCTTGTATGGACTCTGCGAGGAGTTTAGAGGTCTCTCCGGGCGCGATAACGTGATTGAAGAAGTTTCCCTGGAAGTTGCTTTTCAAAAGGGTCATTGTAACGCTGAGACCTTTGAATGGGGAAGGTTGGACGCCGCACTCAAACATGGGTTCCCAATGCTTCGCCACGTTTCCCTTAACATTGCGGTCGGGGTTCTCTCATTTTATGGTGCTGGTGAGATCTTGCAGAGAAAGTTAGATGGGCTTCCGGGGAAGTGCTTACCGTGGCTATCTAAAAACACGACAGTGATGTTCAGCTTTTCTACGAGCATAAAATGAGCTTGAGCCTCTACTTACTTGTATCGTAAACGACACTGTCTCATACGCACTTCTTGACCTTATAAGATCGCTCGTAGAACACCCAACCGCCTGCCAGTGCGTCCAAGTTGCAATCGAAACCTGCATCGATCCCACTCAGCAACGTCGTGACTGCCCTCCATTCAATCATGCACAACAGAAGAATAAGAGAGCCATTTTCCCGAAATGACAGAGGCTTCCGGCTAAACCTCTTCAATGAGTTGTGATTTGTGTGTTGAATTCTTAATGTTTATATATTCATCGGTTGTTCTGGGAAATCGGAGGAGCATCCATTCATAATTCATTAACGAATGGAGTTCCGTGTAATCCGAGCGCCGGAAACGAGTCTGAGTTCGACGAACGGTTATTTTCGAGACTTGAAAGCCAACGGGCTTGCGGAGATGATATGCCCTTCAAGTTGAACAGGACTGTAAATGATCATTTGCAACGATGTAATGGGCATCACACCTTTCAAATCGATACAAATCCTCAACTACGGTACGCTATCCAGCGGACACACCTTCCCCAAGCCACATTGACCAATCTATGGCAACGAAGATGTGGTGTAGAGAGTGTCGAAGTTCCGGATGCAGGAACACAAGCGACCTTGTGCGGAAAGCCCTTGTCTGTGCGATGAACCCCCCAACTGCTAAATTCCCCTCGACAGAGTGCAGCGTTTTGTCGGCGTTCAAGGTTCCGTGGGCTATTCTCCGGGAAACTTCGAAAGCTGACGAGGTTTGGGATCAGGACAATTGACACTGAGTCACGGTGGACAACATCCCATCATCCTGATTCCTGACGTTCCCATGGCCAAGAGTAACTTTGTGAGGGACATACGGAGTTGGTAAGCGGAATAGTATACAGGATTTGTGTGCATCTTTGCGACTGACTTGGGCATTAGGGCGCATTCCCATCCAACTTGAACTTGATCGAAGAATCCCCCGCCAGTCAACCGCCAGTTCAGGTCCTTGCGCAGCACTTGTTGAAAGTATTAAATGTCTACCCTGAGCGCCCTAGTAAGTGTCATCAATTGCAACAATCAGATCTGTAGGTGACTCACCGGTTTGAAGAGAACATCAGAGGAGTGAACACATCGGAAATGTTTCAATGTTTGGTGCCAAATTGTTGCTTCGTCACCTCGCCCAAACCTCGCCACGTGCCTGTTCGTCGTCGTCGAGAAACTGAAAGCGAGCGACACCACCTTCAACTACATGAACACCCCAACGATACTCAATCGAAACGCGATGGACGGAACAAACGACGAGTACCAGGGGTGTCGGGTTCAGTGCGACCAAAGCGCGACATGGCTGGCTGGGAATACGCAGTTTCCGCATGAAGAGTTCTATTAGGTACTCATTCAAACGAGCATGTCTCCTGCTTCGTCGCCATCTCGCGGCTTGTTAGATTCAGCGGCTACTGTTATGCTTCAACTCCATACAACGAGACCAAGGGCGGATACAGTGGGAGAGATGTTACATCTCGGTATTCGTGGCTAGAGTGAGTTCCAGCTCTTGTCGTCGTTGTCTCTTTTGCTCACCTGTTATTTCGAAGCTGTAGCCTGGACGTTTATTCCTACCTGCAAAACCCTTTCACGGTGACTTGACAAATTACTGTCTGCCACGCACTCTCCAGCAACCTGTCCTTCACTCCAGTTCGCACTGCGATGGAACTGCCTCCTTCACGGTCAATGCGCTACGTTCATATGCAAACCGTCTCTCTATACCTCCACATCGTCGTTTTGTTCCTTCTGTGGCGTTTCTGTCTGGCGTCTACGTGGATGAACACACTCATTTATACGTGCCCATTGCTTCCCCAGGGCCCTATCTCTCGCTTCTGAATACATTGGTGACGTCTTAAGCTAGCTTGGTTGTAGCCCTGCCACGTTTGCCAGATCTCTCACTGGTCGACTCCTTTGCTCCTTTATTTGTCTATCCGAAATGGGTGGGCTGATGGCTAGGCGCGAATACGCCACCCCAAGTTAAGATGGAACTTTCAAATTCCGTGCATATACTCACAAATCATCGTCTGTTACTCGATGTTGGGCGCAAATATGATTCGTATGGCTATATCCGTCGTTTTCTCCGGCTCCTATTCCGCTTCGCCCTTAGTTGAGGCGTGTCCTTCGCTTTCTATCTTGTCCTTCCCTCCGATTTTGTTTTGTCGGGTCTGAACTTTTTGCTCGGATACGCAGTCCTGGTTACGACTCATTGACTCGAACACAGCCGCGAAGCTTATTTGTGCTCAAAGTCCACGATGTAACAAAGCTCCCTCCATCGCTTCGGCACAATCCAGGGGTTGCGCAACGTGGCGGGGAGGCCTCAGGTTCTTCCGTTGCAATTTTCCACTCCTGCGTCAATTCAGATTTTGTTTTCTCAATATTTCACATTTCTTACCTCGGCTGCGATTATTAAAACTAAACCGATGTTGATTGATTCGTATTGTTTTTTATTCCCTTTGACAGCTAACTGCATAATCGTAGACCATATCTAAATTTTACTTTGTGCGCTTTTATTTGTACAAACAACCATATTAGGTAGAACGCCCTTCCAAGTTGGCAAGTTCCAACCGCTCCACCCTTATGACGTGCGGGGCGGGATTGGAGTGTTTGGAGCAACTACCGAAACGGTGCTAGAATGTGGAGCAATAGGCAGCCCGCGCGCATATGGGCATCATGGTTTACATAGCCACGGCCTAAAACGGATGTTTATGCACAACCAAAGGCGCAAAGTGAAATTTCAGATGTGGTCTACGATTATGCAGTTAGCTGGAATGTGATTTTTAAATTTATGTTGAAGGTGGTTCAAAGGCATCTGAAGAACGTTATTATTATAATAAGTCATAAGTCACAAGTGATTGCGCGGGGTCGATTATCGGTCCTCGTTGGAAATGATTAATGAGGGTTGAAGCTGAAGCGCTGAAGGTTCAGTTAGAAAAATGGCGCATTTGCGACCTTGGTTGTGCAGTTGAGAAGGTCCGGATTCAAGTAAGTACCCGGATTTGCATTGTTGTTGCCTCATTGCGTGCACGAATTTCGGGATGACTCGGAGCAGTTCCAAAAATGGTAATGACTCCATGTTTGATGCATGACAGTGGCCGCCTCGTGGTGTTTTCATTGATATAAATAGCCTTCGATTGTCAGGCTTGAAAACTATCACGAACGTATACCCCAATGCCTCCCCATAAAATGATGTCAGATGTTTTCCCCGAGCTCTCTGCTGTGCGCGACGCTATCTCGAAGGATCAGCCTTTCTGCACCGGAACCTACTCATTGACTGACAACTCTGGTCGTCTCTTCTTTCTCTCTAGCGACGGAACGTGAGATAACCCTAATCCCCTTCCGCTTGGGGAGAGACAATCTGATTTTTTGTTTATGACAGTACACATTGTGTGGACCTCGCCAACGCGAATGATCCTAAAATCCACACACTTATCGCAGCTTGCGAGCGCGCTTCTTTTGGCCTGGACAACAAAGACGTTTCAGATGAAACGTATCGCAAAGCTTGGGAGGTGGATAGCTCGAGAATCTCGACGCGTTTCGACATTGTCAATACGGGAATCTTAGATCACGTTTATGCTAAGCTCTTGCCGGGATGTCCGGACAAAATTCGACCGGAGTTAGAGAAAGTGAACGTTTACGGTAAGGGCGATTGAGGAACACCAGTGAAATAGAACACTTACAATCACATCTGCAGGTCCTGGATCGTTCTCCAAAGCACACAAGGGCACTCCTCGCAGTGAGGGCAGCTTCAGCTCACTTGTTGTTGTTTTCCCTATCCCTCATGAAAGCGGAGCCCTGCAGCTCCGTCACAAGGGCAATGAGTGGACCTTCGATTCCGCAGCTATAATTTCCGCTATGGAAACCCCTTCAATTGCATACATCGCATTTCACAAAGACGTCGAGCAAGAAGTCAATATGGTCACTTCAGGTTTCCGCGTCACCCTCACCTATAACCTTTTTGGGGACGACTCCATGCGGGAACCGTCTCATCTGTCAACGAAGGAAGACGAAATGGCCCTCCGCGCGTCTCTCACTGCCCTTTGTGAAAATCCTGATGTACTGCCAGATGGCGGTTATCTCGGTTTTGGCCTCGAGTTCATGTATCCGATTGCCTCAGGGAGACCTTGTTTCGAAAGTATAAGGGAGGTCCTCAAAGGCAATGACGGCCTAATCGAACGCGTTTTGTATCAACTAGGTCTCAGACCCCAGCTGAAAATCATATACGAAGTTGAGGTGATCCGCGAGAAAGCAGGCCGTTCCTTCAGAACTCCCATTCAGGTCATGTTGAGAGACCTTGAAAAATTCCCGAATTGGGCGATCAAAGAAAATCTCGTGGTCGATTTGGTCTCGGAAAAGGTGGGTGGCAGGGTGGTTTGTAACGCTGATGATGAGGACATTGATGGAAATCTGGATTGGCATGGCTTTGACTCAACCAAGATACTGTGGATCACACCACATACGAAGCTCTCTTGCATCAAATCCGCATACGTTCCCGCCGCGTTTGGGAATGAGCCATCGCTCGGCTACACTTATGGCAACCTCTGCCTCGTGGGGACGAGACCAATGTCGAAGGAAGATAAACCGATAGGTCCGAAGGGGGTGTCTCAACGTCTAGTGGCGAAGAGGCGTTAGACACGAATGAGGGTCTTGTTTGAAGTCGAAATACTCAATCTGACGCTTTGAATGACCATGCACCACGCAATAGATAAGAAACTTCTACAATGACCGAAATTGAAATTGAGAAATCGATGATCACTCGGCGTGCGAGCAGCTTGTCCCAGATTGGCAATCCCGCCCCTGTTAATATTATGAATGCTACAGTGGCAGTGCCACTGTTCTCCATCACTTCGATTGTGCCGCGAGACTGAACCCTTGCCTCATGGTCCATTGCACGAGTTATAAACACTGAGAGTTTTTGTCGAACTTTTGTCCAAACCCCGCACATTCGCCAACTCCCCAACAAAACCCCATCACTCAGGTCGAAAGATGTCCACGGTCCTTCCCGATGTCATGGCTGTCCGCGACGCCATTGCGAAGCAGCAGCCATTCTGCACCGGTACCTACCCGTTGAGTGAGGATGCTAGGCATCTATTTTTCCTCAATAGCAATGGAACGAGGTGAGATACTGCCCGGTTTAGAGAATACACATCCTGATTTTCGTCGCCAGGGCACACTATGTAGATCTTGTAAACGCGACCGATACCAGCCTCCAGACCCTGCTATTGGCTTGCGAACCAGCACCTTTTGGGGTTGATAACAAAGACATTTTGGACGATACGGACCGTAAAGCTTGGAAGATGGATAAAGACAACTTCTCAACCCGCCTGGATGTCGTTCATACTCGAATTTTGGACCGCATCTGCATGAAGCTCATGCGGGGAAACGTGGAGAGGAAGATAAGATCAGAACTGGACAAGTTAAACATTTACGGTGAGTGAGATTAGAGATCGTTGATAATCGGATACTTTGTGATTGTACCACAAAGGTCCTGGATCTTTCTTCAAGGCCCACAAGGACACACCTCGTAGTGAAAATATGTTTGGCTCCCTGGTGGTTGTTTTCCCTACTCGACACGAAGGTGGAGCCCTTCAACTTCGTCACAAAGAAGAAGAATGGACCTTCGACTCCGCGGCCATAACTTCAGCACAAGAATCCCCTTCGATCGCCTATATTGCATTTCACAGCGACGTCGAGCACGAAGTCTCCATGGTCAGGTCGGGTTTCCGTGTAACTCTAACCTACAACCTCTACATCGACGACGATTCGTCTAATCCTTCTCTTTTGTGCTTGAGGGCTAATGAAATGGCTCTTCGGACGTCTCTATCCTCCTTTCTTCGAGATCGCAATTTATTACCAGAGGGCGGATATCTTGGATTCGGTCTGGAATTTCAGTATCCACTCGCCCATGGGGGAACTAAACTTGACGACCTGATCAATTCCCTTAAAGGTGGCGACGCAATGATCAAGCGAGTCTTGGATCACCTCGATCTCGACCCACAGCTGAAAGTCATTTACGATGGTACGATGTATGGATTGGAGGAAAACCCGGGTGAGAATCAAGATTCGCAGGATAACAAGAATCGGCCAAGCCATCGCTACTCAAGTGAAGTAGTTCAAATCATGTTGGATGACATAGATCGCTTCCCAGACTACGAACTCCAAAGTAGCCTCGTGGAAGCGTTATCCTTGAGAACCGTGGGCGGGGTAGTGGTTTGTGATGCGGACAAGGCAGGTGTATTTTGGGATGAGCGCGGGAGGCGCATCCAAGTGGGGAAGGTATTGTGGATAACGCGGCGCACAAGGTTCTCCCGCGTCAAATCCGCTTTCATCGAAGTAAATCATGCGTCACTCGGCTTCACTTACGGGAGTCTCTGCCTCCTGGTACCAGTTTCCGCTTCGGGGAAGAGAGTGAAGAACCGCAAAGAGATTTAGCAGATGTGGGAAAGGGATGGAGGATGATATCGGCCAACGTTAAGCTGGTTCGGCTTTAGAGGTAGCCTGAGACTTGTACAACTCTTTTGGTAAAAATCAGTATGATTTCGGGGTATCTCAGTCTTCACACCGTTTCCTGTCACTCAACAACAATTTTTACAGCATCTTTGGATTATTGAACTTCAGCAGTGCAAGAATCAGCATGCGACTATGTCTGGGTAAAAAAAACCGAAGAATTGTACTTTCGATCTTTCAAGGACATGAAATCACTGTCGTCGGGTAGCTCAACAACGACATGAATTTGATACGAACAAGGCAACTTAGGTTTGTCAACTTGGCAAGCCTGGCACTGGTGGAATGTGAATGCATGCGTCAAGAATCATGCTGTCTGCTCAGAATGAGACGGGCGTTCACTACGCCACAGTTCGGGGAAATAGAAGGCTTGGTAAGAATTGAAGATTTGACGCACTTCGTGGGAGGGAGGGAATTTGAAGCATGTTATGTGCGCTATGCTTGTGTGGTGTGGATAGTGATCACATCGTGCCCTAGGCATGACGAAGGATTGTCGAAGATTTATACTAATCAGTGCTAGCGAGCATGCATGTTCGTCGTATATTGTTGACTTAGTGCGGGGAAGTAATACGGCTTTGGATGTAGTTCAGCGGTACCGCAACTAGCATCGGTACGACTTCTGATCCCAGTGACATATGCACACAATTTCCTTGTCCACGTCTCAAAATAAAGGAACAAACTTAGGTTAGTAACTACAAGGCGCCTTGATTATTAACAGGCGCCCAAAAGTCGACCGTTCGAACTACCAACGTCTAAGGCGTTGATTCTTATCTACGTTGTTTTCTTCGTTAGAAAATATTGCAATTGACTCGAGGTTAGAGGCAGAGCTCGGACTACGTACCAAAGTACCAACTCCTTGATCGTTTTGTGATTGTTCTTCCTAAAAAAATAAAGATTCCGTATTACAAGTCTCTGAGAGCCAATTCAACCTGCAATTTTTTACTATCCTACAGTTGAACGATCTCCCTAGTATATTTTAGTCCATTGGTAACTGCGTTGGGGGTTATTTTGGAACAACGGTAGCTCGCTCCGTGTTCTGGATTCAAACGACGCATGACCTCTTTTTCAACTGAAGTGGCTAGCCCAAATTTTCGAGACTCATCCACTTGGAGAACCTCAATCGCCGGAACTCATGAATAATAAAGTATTTTACCCTTGGGGTACCGCTATAAAAACGAAGTAGATCATGAAGTACCCTCCTCAGAGTGCTTTTCAGCTTTCTACTTTCCTTTGAAACTTACAAAGATTCAACATATCCTCTACTCACCGCTTCTTGTCAATTCTCGCTCTCGTTAGTATGGCCAATGCTTTCAGTGGGCATGGTATGCATGGTGTCACATATTTTCTGGCGTATAGCTAACACGTCGATATTTTCTCCAGCGACCTATTACGCTCCAGGAGTATATGGAAAAAAATAAAATCCAAATCTTAACTTATCATGATCCTTCCAGTTGGGTGCCTGTGGCAAGACGAATAAAGCCAGCGATCATATCGTCGCGCTCTCAGTCCTGCAGTACGGCATTGGCAAGGGGGGTCCAGGATTTTTATAAATCCTATGGGGTTGAATTTTTTTCTAAGGCCTCGACGACTGGACTAACTGACTAGGGTGGGAATATATTTCCTTATATAGAAACATTACATCATAATGACTATATCCCAAACTGATGTCAAACGTCTCGCCTTCGTTTGTTTCCTCTCCTCTGCTGCGCTGTTCAAAGGTGGAGAGATCACGAGGTGATGGTAGCAGCAACAAGGGGTCGCCGAAGCAAGGCGAGCCCCAAAATTTATAGGCTGGGGAGTGTAGGCTACACTACACATACAAATGTCCAATGTCAATACAAGTACAATAGAATATAGTCCATTTTAAAAGAAAACAAGAAGAGGGAGTGGAGGGAGGGCCAAAGAAAATCTGAAGAGATTCTGCGAGAGGCACGATACGTGAGTATTGAGCTGAACGAGGCCTTACAATGCTTCTTACAATCTAGCAGACGAAGTCTGAACTAGAGGGATGTAAGAATGAGGATGACGCTCAATATGACGAAAGCCTCACCAAATGCGCAGTGATTGGAGAGCGTTTGTAGTAAACGATAGGCGGAGCCTAGGTATGGAGATCACTGACATTTGGATGAGTATGCGGCGCATAAAAAAGAGAGCGCGGAGCGCTTACCTGTGCTGGGTAGACGTGGTCTGAGAGAGAGGGCCAGCACAGGAGAGGGAAGCGACATCGATGACTTCTCCTAACCCAGCATCTGCCAAACTTTGGAACTGAGTCAGGGATCGATGTCGCAACCATGGTTGATGAGCGGGGCTCAAGGGGAAAAGACTCTGCGGAGCTGAATCTTTTCCTGGCGGAGTTTTGAGTTGGCGCAGAGGCCTACGAAATGCCTCCTTACCCTTGGAACCCGCCATTACGACGACCTCTGCTGCGCTGTTCAAAGGTGGAGAGATCACGAGGTGATGGTAGCAGCAACAAGGGGTCGCCGAAGCAAGGCGAGCCCCAAAATTTATAGGCTGGGGAGTGTAGGCTAGTGAAGTGGTGTTGATGTTGTTGTGGGGTGGTGGTGGTGAGAGATGATGGAAGCAGGAAGCGTAGAAATTTGTTAACAGCGCCTTAGACGGAGTCCGATGGCGGCCAACTGCTGTTCAGCACGAACAGTGGGATTGTCTCTTATGTAGATCTTCCATGCTATAGAGGACCAGCAACCAATGGCTTGTATTACATCCTCAGATAGACCAAGGCTGGCATAGAATGTGGCACCCCCTGCACGCGCTGAGTGTCCGCCAAATTCGCGACTGAGCACAGTGAAGAAGCGAGCGTCGAACCATGAGCGAGTAGGGTGAGAGCCGTCCTCTCGTAGAAAGAGAGCAAGGCGGGCTTGGTGAACAGAATCACGTCGGTCCACATATTCTCTGAGAAGCGAGATGGGGTCGGCGACTTCCTGTTGTGAGAACAAGATGTCAGTACCACGGTAGAACAGATCTCCCTTGTGATAAGGAAGGTGATACTGGGCCCGTCCTTGAGAAAAAGTGAGGGAGGAGCGTTTGATGATCTTCCTCCAATCGAAAAGGTCTTTTGAATTCTTCTGGACCAGTTCACCAGAGCGGTGGCATGCATAGAAGAGGCAAGAAAGTATGGTTGCAAAGAGGAGATCGTCATAAGACCCAGACCCACGGGCAATATGTAGAAAAGTTTGTAAGTGTGCAGGACGCAGAGGCAACTTACGACGGATAGGGTCTGCGCGGATTTTCTTGGATCCTCGAATAGTAGTTGTGACGAGTGGGTGGGCGCGATTAGCGTCAAAGTTAGGATATAAGTCAGATAGAAAATGTCTGACCCCTGAGAGATATTTTGGGCCAGAGGCGATGAATTGGGAGGTGTAGGCGATGTAACGAGCTAAGGTCTCGGGGGTGGGTTCAATGGACAGGTGATGGTTCATGCAGAAAGAAATGTAGTCTCGAGCTCCTGTTGCGTAGCCTTTTGCTGTTGATTTTTCGATAGCGTTGACCTGTAAATGAAGCACGCGATTGTCGAGATCACGTAGCTTCATTGGTGGGCGAGTCCGGCGTAAAGGCCTAGACCCGCCCAGGGCGCTTAAAAGCACGCCCTCCATCGCGCCGGCAGGAGGTCCCGTGGTGGGGAGAAAAGGCGGACGCGGTCAAAAGGGAATTCAGGGATGTGTCGAACACGGAGATCGATGCCTGACTCAATGATGACGCCGGCTATAGCCATTAGCGGACCATTGTGCAACGCTTCAGAAACACGTAAGCTGTTGAAGATGGCGACTGAGTCCAGGCTATCAGTGTGAATGAGAAGACGGCGAGGAGGTGAGGCAAAAGAGGCGACATGGTGGATGGCGGACATAATGGCCACTAGTTCCAGGAAGAAGATGTCGATCTTCAGACCAGGGGGACATTCCTTGAGCCCGTACATGAAGCCTTGATTCCCATATACGAAGGACATGCCGAGAGTTAGACTTGCATCAGTCCACACCTCAAGATCAGCTGCAGAGTCGTCCCAAATACCATCATCTAAGAAGCGAACACCAACTGCTTTGGGGATGATGCTGACAAGCCAGGTGAGGTCAGATACAACTTCAGCATTGAGGTGTACAGCGCCAAGAGGCCGAGATTTTCCACTGGTCTTGTGGTAGAGGGCTGAGAGAGCAGGACGAGCCCATGGTAGAACGTTTAGAAGCCAATTGAGGTGACCAGCTAGACGTTGCCATTCACGAAGAATGGGCTTTCGGTTGGGTGTAGAGAGGAAGACATTGATTTTGTCGACAATATCAACAAGGGAGCTCGGAGGAAGAGACAGGGAGCCTTGGTTAGCGTCGACCCAGAAACCGATGATCTTCAGGACATCCCCGTGTTCTTGCTTTTTATCCTCGAAAGGGCACTGGATCGCTTCCCAAAATAAAAGAAGTTGAACTTGTTGTCGGGGGCGGAGCTTCCCATGATACATGATCAAATTGTCTTCGAAGTCCCAGCCGAAGAAGTCGTCCATGTAGACGTGAAGGCTGAAGATGCCCAATTTCCGAATAGCCAGCCAGCACAAAAGCCCAGAGACAGCGCACCAGCAACGTGGAGATGCACGGTTTCCGAAGACTAGACGGCGGACAATGTAGAGCTTACCCTCAACTACAACAACTTGACGAAGTTGCCATAGAGGGTGTGCTGGCAGGTTAAGAAATGCAGATGCAACATCTGACTTGAAGGTTATGATTCGACAACCTGGGTTGTCTGTGTGGGCATCGCGAAGAGATTGGCCAAAAGGGTGCATGTCATCATAGCGAACCTTAGCTTCAGATCTTGGAATGCCATCGTTTATCCCAGAGCCTGAGTGGTCAGTGACGACCCGAGCTTTGCCATTCTGCCAAACAACGAACATGGGGGACATCTTCATCCCTGGCAGGAGTTCTGAGTCTGAGAGCTCATTGGACCAACGGCCAGCCGATCTTTCTTTGTCCCGAAAGTTGCGGATGGCATCGAGATCACCTTCATCTGTGGAATAATTGTCGATGACTTCTTCCAGTTCGACCTTCCATTCTCCATCATCGAGAGGCCAGAATCCGTCTCGAAGGCCTGTCATGACCGATTGGACGAAAGGTTGATTTGGATGATCAGTGAGCATAGACTCGAATTTATCGACGTTGAAAGGTGTGTCGACTTTGATGTGATCTCGCATAGCGAGGAGGGAAGCTTGGATCTTCTGGTCTTGCAAAAGATGAGCAGGTGGTGAAGGGAGAGGAGGCGCGGACTCGGTGTAAAGGGCAGCAGGGGAAAGGTGTTTATTAGTTGAGTTAGACCATACGTATCGACGTCGGAAGCGAGGTACATCTATGAGGGGGGTGTCCAGCTTTCGCTTCAACCCTGAGCTGATAGTCCTAGGCCCTTCCCTTGCCTTTGCTGCTCTCTGGGTAGCCTCCGCTAACTCCCTTTCTTTGTCGAGCTTGGAGGAGAGTGTTGCAGACGGGTTCGTCTTTTGCTCGATGTTGGCCTTCGCACTCGCTGCAATTCCCATGCCTGCGCCCATTCGGGCAAGGGGCGTCGCAAATGCCCATGTTCCAATTCCTGCAAGGAGTCGACGAGCGCTTCGAAGGAGAGCTTGAAGAAGGCGATGGGTTGCTGCGCTTCTTGGGAGATGGGCTAGCGCTCTGGAACATGCGTGCAAGAAGTGGCACGTTAAGCTGAGACCGATCATCCATGCGAAAAGGACTCTTCGCATAGCGATCCCGAGCTTCGACATCGAAAGCGATGGCAATCGACGGGTCATGAGGTACTGCACGAAAGAGATCAGTGACCATACGTTGATAACTTTGGAGTTCCGAAGAACGGTGACGATAAACCAGAACAACGGCTGAGCTCCAAGCTCCGAATACGCGGAGCCATTCGGATTCGGATCGAAGGGAGCGCTTAGCCGAAGCTTGATCCTTCTTGACAAGTGCATAGCCTCCTCCAAAGTCCCGAGGCTCGTCGTTGTGGTCGTACCCTTTGTCCATCGAGGCAAAGAGTTTCTCAAAGTCAACAAAGTGATCCTGAATAACTGAGCGCCAGATAGAGCGGGGGACGGGATCAGCAAGCGGCTGTACTTGCATAAGGTTGACAAGGGAGTCGATTGTCTTGTCTGTACCGATCGCCTGCCGTAATTTCCAGGTCTCCTCGATGTGGGGATCGGATATGGCTGAAGTCGAAAGCTCGGCCAGATGCGGGGCAAGAGCGAGCACAGTAGCGGGTAAGGACTGGGAAGACGAGTGTTCGACTCCGAGTAATTTTGCGAGATCGTCGGTTGAGAGAAGAGTTGTAGCATCGTCGTGGACCTGTGAGCTTGCCAAGCGGGAGAGCTTGGCATTGAGGACGGCCCACACTGCGGTGTCGACTGCTGTGCGACGATCAGCGGCTTCGCGGATGCGTACCTCCTCCAGGAGTGCTTCGCGCCGAGCTCGAAATTTGACTGCCTGAGCCTCGTCAAGACCTTCAGGAGTCGATTCTCGGACTGCTTGTTCACCAGACTGAGTGTCTGGCTGTTGGTCAGCCTCTCTGTCTTTCTTTTGCTGCTCCAGACGTTGGGTAAGTTGCTGAAGGTAGTCCTCGCCTTCAGCTGGAGAAGCGCCTGCATCTTGAAGACGTTTAGCGAACTCCAAAAGGGGTAATTGCCCTTCCACGACGTCGGAAACGACACCCTCAAGAGCTTGAGCACGTTGCCGGGTTGCTTCGGCAGTAACATCGGTCATCGAGAGGAAATGTCAGATGAGGGGGTCGAGGGCGAGGTGTGACTTAGGAAAGGAGGTTGGATGGCGAGGGAAGCGAGCAGTATACCAAAGAAAATCTGAAGAGATTAATCTAGCAGACGAAGAATCTGAAGAGATTCTGCGAGAGGCACGATACGTGAGTATTGAGCTGAACGAGGCCTTACAATGCTTCTTACAATCTAGCAGACGAAGTCTGAACTAGAGGGATGTAAGAATGAGGATGACGCTCAATATGACGAAAGCCTCACCAAATGCGCAGTGATTGGAGAGCGTTTGTAGTAAACGATAGGCGGAGCCTAGGTATGGAGATCACTGACATTTGGATGAGTATGCGGCGCATAAAAAAGAGAGCGCGGAGCGCTTACCTGTGCTGGGTAGACGTGGTCTGAGAGAGAGGGCCAGCACAGGAGAGGGAAGCGACATCGATGACTTCTCCTAACCCAGCATCTGCCAAACTTTGGCACTGAGTCAGGGATCGATGTCGCAACCATGGTTGATGAGCGGGGCTCAAGGGGAAAAGACTCTGCGGAGCTGAATCTTTTCCTGGCGGAGTTTTGAGTTGGCGCAGAGGCCTACGAAATGCCTCCTTACCCTTGGAACCCGCCATTACGACGATCCCCTCTCCCCACTGTACTTGCACGAGTCACACGTCCACCCTGGAATTCTGCGCTCGATACCCACACATACAAGATGATACTGTATAATGTGTAAGTTCTTTATCGCTCCACCTTTCCGCTACCCACTGCCATTACCCACTGCTTAAGTTCGTCTATCGCCACTGTCTTCCCTGCCAATTTCTCGGCATCATTCAATCTGCGAAGTTTCAAGGTCCTGATTTCCTCTGTCTTCCTCCGCACGATGCTAACCAAACTACCGATACTATGGTATACCAGGTGGGCATTTTCGTGAACACCTTTGTTCATTCGGTCGAGAATTCCCTGCAGGCGAGAATCACTTGCCAGCTGATAACATCCATCGCATTGCTTTTGGTGGGTCGACAGATTTTCACAGCTTCTTGCATGCAGTGTTAACCGTCCTCTCCGTACTGAATAGTCCCAAGGATCCCCAAGTTCGTCATGGAGACCAAATGGGTACGCTGAATGAGCGGACTTTCCCTCAGAGATTTCGACGTGCACCCCTGGACATGGGCGTTTGCCTGGCGGTGGTACTTTGGGATCGACTTTTTGATTTCTGGGACCATCCATGGCCATCGGCAGTGCGTTAGGCAGGGCATCCATTTCGTCTGGTAAAGCGTCGACATCGATTGGTGATGTACACCGGCTGATGGATTCTTCTTCCGATATAAGTTCGTCCAGAATGACACGTGTATTACATTTCGTGGTCGATGGGATGGGAGACTGTGGAGATCTTCAACAAGGTTAGTGAAGTTCCAAGGCCTCAGACAACGAGAACTCACACATCGTCAATTGCCTGCAGCAGCCGCCCCACTTTCCCTTCAAGAAGAGCTCCTTGTATATCATGCATGGAGGCTAGATATTCAAATAACCCGTAAATCGCATCCAGTCCTTTTACCCCCCCGTTTGACTAACGTTGTCATTTCTACTCGTGATTTCTGAAGCTCCGTGTCTAGAGGCCGGTTCCACACCTCCCAAGCATCCTCGCCCTCGGGAACTGACCCCTCAAAGTTTCCAGAGAACCGTGCAAGAGGACACTCATCACCGGCGAGCTCGATTGTGTCTGGGAGTCCATCAATGCGTGCGCGCAACTCTGTCAACAACGCGGCAGCTTTCGGACACGAGATTTGACGTGATGGAGCCTGAGAGGGGGTGGGTGATATTGATATGGGTGCTAGTCCCACCTGCGAGCCCAAGGCCGGGAATGTAGTTGCTGGCCTTGAGGTCTGAGGCTTGACGAGTAGCTTTTGAGCCGAGGCAGATGGCCCAGAGACTGTCGTTCCTCGCGGCGTGAAAAACTGACACGCTTTGGCCTGGGTTTTCGCGAGAGCTTCTCATGCCACCTTTTTTTGCTTATTCTCCTTGCATGCTCGACTGGGTTTGTGTCTTTTGAAGTAGTTTGCGAGTCCTACGGAACCCAATTGAACTACTGTCTCACAATGAGGACATATTACGGTTCTATCTTGTCTGATGTCGGCTTCAGTCTGGGTAATATTTTATTAGTTGTGTCATATCTTTAGGCATGTAACCTTTATTTCTATATAACGCAGTGGTTCTTTGATTTCTGGAGGCTTCTCCATCGAGAAGCTTGACGTTTTGGACTGTTTCAGGGTGTTTCCAGGCCGTTCGGACCGAAAAATATATGAGGTAATTTTTTTTTTTAACGGCCTGTCGGCCGGACTAACTAACCGTCCCGATATGGCATTTTCAAATCCTGGACCCCCCTTGGGCATTGGCAATCATTGCTTCAACTCGATTGGCGTACATTGTGCGTATTTTTGAATTTACTCGAGTATGAATCGTGCTGAATCTCTTATAATAATATATCAAATATATAGACAAAGGAAAATACGTCCAAGCCACAGTTGTCGACAAATGCATGGGATGTGGTCCGAATGACATTGATCTTTCTCCGTCCGCGTTCTCTGTACTCGCTCCTGAGTCCAAGGGTCGCATTCCAGTCACCTGGAACTACTTATAGATGACTCGGTTGATAAACGGACTTGCGTTACATTTGTTCTCCTGTTTGTCGAGTGTCCTGTGTACTGATAAAGAAGTATTTTGTCGTTATGAAGGGTGTCTGATGAGAAAGCGTTTTGACCCCATTCCAATTACGTAAGAGCAATGTTCTATATTTAAGAGTGACAGCTGGGTGTTTTGAGAAATAACTACAATACAAAAAATGTCCATGATTCATTATGGAAGGGTTTGGGAAGCTTCGAGACGAGCAACGAAGAACCAAGATAAAAGTACAGCGAGACGTGGCGCAGGGCAAGATGCTGCAGAACGCAACATCGATAACATGTAACCATAACGCATACAGGCATGACCGATAAACATATGCTGCTAGTTCTGCAAAACTCCGGACTCCTGTGCAAAGGGAAGCACTGAAAGCATGCCGACGAAACCGCCTTGGGCGTACCGTCGGGACGCTTAGAGCTTCCCAAGCGAAGCAGCGGTGGTACTCTGCCCAGCAGCCTTTGCGCGCTTCCTAAGCATCTGGGTAGACTTATTCCCACGAAGTCCACCACCCCACACACGGCGCTGCTCCTCATACTTGTCAGAGCTATCCAACAACCCCATCAGCAACGTTGAAAAAAAAGGAAGGGAGAGACAATCGGAACGACTTACAAGTTGGCCTTGGCAGCGCTCACGAGCGTAGCGAGCTCCCTCTGATCCTCGCTCTTCACTTCCTGAAGAGCGACAACGGCCGCTGTCTTCTTGTGCACGACAGTTCCGAGGCGAGCTTTACCCTTCACGATGACGTAGGGAACGCCCATCTTGCGGCACAAGGCGGGGAGGAAGACGACGAGCTCGATGGGATCGACGTCGTGCGCGATGACGACGAGAGCGGCTTTTTTGGCTTCGATGAGGGCGACGATGTGGTTGAGGCCGTATTTGACGAAGAGGGGTTTCTTGGTGTCCTATTCATAACAATGTCAGAAGTTAGCGAATGGAAATGAAATGACGAAAGGAGGGACCTTGGCATCCTTCTCCTTTTCTTCAGCGGCAGACGCAGCAGCAGCAGTCAAACGAGCCTTCTTCTCTTGCTTCGACTCTGGGCGGTATTTGTTCAACAGCTTGAACAATTGCGTCGCAGTGTTCTTGTCCAGAGTATGGGAGAACTGGGCGATCGCGGGTGGGACCTTGAGACGTTGATGCAGAATGACCTTTTGCCTTTGAAGGCGGACGTATTCGGGCCATTTGACGAAACGGGTGAGGTCGGTTTGGGGTCGGATGTCCTGGCCTAGGTCCAAACTAAGTTTCAGTAAAACATGAGAAAAGACGACGCGACAACGCACCGATACCAAAGTTCTTGGCGTTAGCCTCGAACAAAGGGTTCTTCTTAGCCTTGGTGGTTTTGCTCGCACCAAAAGGGGCCGCGGCGGGTTTCTTGCCAGTTCCGGATTTGGCTTTGGGCTGGTCATTGAGACGAAGTAAGCGATGTTTCCTTCAAGAGAAGAGAAGACGATCGCGCTTCGGAGCTCTAATGCCGTGAGCACTCACTCGTACCCGCAAGCAGAGGAGTAGAAGTAGGCACGGCCCAGCAAGTAGAGTAGGCTTCATAGCTCTGAGTAAGAGCTCAGCCGAGAACGAATCTCAACTACTATTTATGCAGTTCTATTAGGGAAAGGATGTTAGATGCGGAGACGTCATCCACTCAAAAGACTCACCATCCATCCCAAGTTCTCACTCATCCGACACAAAACGTGCGATGAAGAACTACTGCTGATCGAGCTCCTCCGCGCGAGAGTATCTGACATACCATTTTGATTTTGTTGTCTTGAGGAGGGCGTGAAGTTGGCGAGAAGCGGTGGGAATGGATCGGAGGAGGCTTGTTTGGATTTCAGCTCCGATCGGCGATAGCCGAGGGCAAGTTTCTCGCCCCCGACACTGTAAAATGTAAAGCACTTGACAAAAAAAAAATTCGACCCAAAGTTCAACCTTGCATCTTGACACTTTCAGTGCGCCCGATGACAATTTGGTGTGATTCTATCAATGGGAAGCTTTGGTATAATACTAATACTCCNCACGGCTGGCTACAGGGGTGTCGTANCGACAATGTGGTCGATCAAAGACCGCTATGCACCAGAAGGCAACTAGCTTTACAAACCGAAATGAACGTAGGGAACCCAAACAAGTAAGGAGTGTTCAATGTCTGACTTCTCAAGGGCGAGTTTCTGTCGAAGATTCTGCGCAGCATGATGGATCGCGTGGGCGGCACGTTCTCCGCTGAAGCTGTCCTCACCCTCGATTAAATTTTTGTAAAAATCCTGGGCAAATTCTGGTGCATAGCGGTCTTTGATCGACCACATTGTCGCTACGACACCCCTGTAGCCAGCCGCCAACATTCCTGCCGCTAGGTGAACAGCCTCTTCGGAAAGTCTTTCATCACCGGTACTTGTCTGACACGCCGATAAAAAGGCCAGGTCCACGCCCACCAGTCGTTTTTGAATGATCGAAGAAAGTTCCAATCGACCATCATGAAGAGAAAATCCACTCTTCAGTGGTTGAGCTGTGTTCTGCCTTGCATGACAGGCAAAATGAACGGAACTAAAGGCTTCCATTTCAATTGACGTGCGATCAACTGTAGCAGCTGTCCCTTCCAAACAGCAAACTCGGGGAATACACTCTTTTGTTAACGTCCGAATCACTTTCATCTCTTCTGTAGTTTTTGGGATTGATGGCAGCCCAGGTGTATCTGGCTGGCTGATCATCAAAAGACCCGATTTTTTGTTGTCAGTCGGTACCAGTCCGGTTTTCACCCTATCAAAAAGGACACGGATTGTGGGTGTATACGAAGAAATGGCGAAATCTGAAAGTTTTGATCCAAATCCTGTCCCAGGTCCGCTGTAGATTCCTGCAGCATGGATGGGGAGGAATGCCAGTGGGCCAGTTACGCACCACCATATACGCTTTGGATCGGATAGAGGTTCCTATGAATGTGTGTATCAGCTTTAATTTCTCCGCACATATATAGCCTGATACATGCCAAATATCCCAGTGCGTCCAGGATAGGTTTTACAACCCAGACCCACAATTGGTGCAAAATTTCTCCAAGACCCACACTTCTTTTCAAAAACGGACGCATCCCACGAGTTGATGGTTCCGCTTCACGCATCCTTGTCCCAGAGGCAAGCAAATCGGCTCGCAAATGGTCACGAAGAGCGACTGATTTTTTATGAGTAAACTCTGGGAGTGGAATGTGGATTGGCCGATTTGTACCAGGAACAAGAGCCAGTGCATCACAGCGATCTCCATGAACATTGATCAGAATGACGGGTCCTGATTTGGGGAGATGCTCGGATATGACGGAGTAGGATAGAGGTTGAATGAAGTTTTCGAAATCTGGCAAAGCGCGAACTTTTGCCAGTAGCTGATCCCATTCCTTTGCAAGTTTGGAATGATGCTCTCGTGGGTTCGTTTTATCTGCCGTGCTATCTGTTGTGAGATTGGCATCCTCTGGATATCCGGAGCCAGACATCTCTAGACCGTTAGACACTCTAACAATATTATCAGCTAGGTCAGGATGCTTGTTTCGAAGGACGTCGATGGGAGTGCGAAGATCGTTAAGTTGACCCCACACGACACAACGGCCTTGTTCAAGCCATTCCAAAGCCAAATCAAATTTCCCAAGCTTGAAAGCACAAGCAGCAGCCATTGTCGACACATCAGAGATATGTTGGAGGTTGCTGAGACGCATTTCGATCGTTTCATGCAAACCTGCAAGGTGGGATGCAAGCCGAATGGCTGTGGAATATGCATTGATAGACTGTAATGGATAAAGTTCTTCAGAAATTTTAGCCAACCGCTTGTTAGCAAGAAGCTTGAAGCTGGGAATTCCTGAAGAGCGAGTAATTGCCATGGAATAATTAGATACAGCTTTGTCAAGATCGCTTTGATGTCCCAGGAGTTGGAAGCGTTCGTCGTATGTGCATGCAAGGTTATAATGCGTTACAGTGATGCCCGGGTATCCATTTGGAGTGAGTTGAATAGCCTTCTCCCGTAATAAAATTGCTTCGGAAATGTCGTCCATATTGCGTGTTTTTCTGAAGCGAGAGTTATACGACGATCCCAGGTTATCCAACCACTTGTGCATTTCGCAATCTCCCTTTTCCGTGATCTGAATGCATTTTTTGATGAAAGCTATTGCCTCAGAAATGTCGGCCACATTTCCTGTGCAATCAAACCGAGATGTATAGTATCTTCCAAGGGTATTCAGCTCTACAGGCATATCCAAATCCTCTGGGGCAAGGTTAACAGCCTTCTCCAGGCAAAATATTGCCAGAGAGATGTCGGCCTTATTCCCTGTGCGTTGCCAGCGTTCAAAATACAAATCTCCAAGATCATCCAGCTCCGTGGCCGTGGTGGTATGTTCCTCCTGAATGGCTTGCTGCTTGGATGATATCGCTACGGAAAGGTCAGACATATTACTGATGAAATTGGAGCGAGATCGATATGGTTTTCCACGGTTGGTCGGATACGTAGGTGGGTCTTCATGTAGCTCTGGAGTGGTCTGACCCCCCACTTTCTCTCCCGATGTCATTTCCTCATTAAGGGCCGCCATTTTGACTGAAAGCGGGATTCGTAAAAGTGCTTTTTGGATGATAATCTTACGCACTCTCAAATTTCATACATAGCTGCATCGGCTCCTAATTTCAAATTGGGCGCTATATGCTCGTCCAACGGACCTTCGCGAACTGCAAATGTCGGATTGAGCTCAAGGCCATCCCCTTCAATCGGAGATGATTGGTTGATCTCTGATCGTTCGGAAACGAGCACCGAGTCAGTCACTCCTGGAGTGCTATTTAACGGCAATTTAAAGCATGCCTATCAGAAAGTGGAAGAAACAAACTTGGGTACAGTATCAGACATAGAGTGATTACAAGTAGTTTCGTCGGGGTAGTCAAGTGTGCAAGAGAAACAGAAGGTTGGAAACGCGTTGTGACCCGGAATGGCACAGCCGCATAGCCACAGGCGCGTCACTGACATGTTTACACTTGCTTGTATCTGAGGTTGCTGACGCAAACAATTCATATCAACTTCCCCGCGTTCCGTCGAGGGGCCGTCGTCCAGAGAAGGAGAAGTCATACGCTGGCTCGCGTTGGGCCTTATATCACTTTCCATGTTAGCGTTGGTCTCTAGGCGTCCGTGACCCCCTTGTAAATGAACAGTGGCACAGGGACAGGGCTATGGACATGGCGGGTACCCAGATACGGTAGAGTGACCACGTCGACAATACGGCATACGCGACACCATCCTCAACCTCAACCTCAAAAGGAACTGGGGAAAGACAAAGGATAAACTAAGGGCGGGGTTCGTGCATGCTATGAAGGGATATAGGACGCATGATGACATCATGAGCTGTTGCGTGTTTCCGGGCGGTTTTTCGGACCTGTACGTTTTTTTGGCGATGAATTTTCCTTCCCCCTCCCGTCCTTTCGTATTCCATCCTCCTACTTCAACGGATAGATCCCTCCCTTCTCTTCCCACAAACCCACTTACCCAACACAAATAGATTCAACGGATGGGGCGTAACGCTTTCCGACTCCCTCGATACGATGTACATAATGGGGCTACATGACGATTTCAAAGACGCCATTGGGTCTATGTGGGATCTTACCCTTTTTATGCCGTCCGTATGTCTTTCCCACCCTCTCGCTTTGTCCCTCCTTCCTTTTCACTTCTCCCTTTCCTCCCTTCTTCCCTCTTCATCTTCCCCCCTCCCGTCCTCTCACTTCTTACACCTCCCTGACTTCAACTCACCCCCCGTCCCCAGCCAATCTCCTACACCCACTTCTTCGAAACAGTCTCCGCGAGGTAGCGGCCTCCTCTCGGCACACACACACACACTGTCGTCCCCGACCCTCCGCTCAAAAGCTGACGATCTTGGGAGGCTTCTCTTGCCTATGTTCAATACCTTTCTGGGGTTGCCTTTGTATGCGGTCAATATTGGTACGTGAGCGAACTTGTTCTACTATCATCTTTGTTTTCTTTCATCCTCTGTTTCGCGTAATGGTCGGGGTATTCGTACAGTCTCTGTATCCGTTTTCATGGCGGATGAGACTAGGTTTACTCCACTCCTCCGTCATCGTTCACTCATCTTGGCTTTTTCCCTTTTTCATACCCTCCTTCATTGATTCCGAGTCGTTCAATAGCGACGCGAGCTCCTTTCTCTCGCCGGTTGATTCATTTTCTCCCCTTCCCCACCCTTTCATGTCCTTTGTCATCTTGAGGACGTCCTGATGGTCCTTATCCACATTGGCGTTGGGGTGGGTTGGGTCTTGCGTTGAGCGACATTGCAAGACTTCGGGTTGGGCTATATAGTCGAACCTTGCGCTGGGCTGCACGGTCCTTCTCAGACCTTGTGCTACGTTCAAGTTGTCGAACCTCGTGTCTGGTTACGCACTCGAACCTCGCATCGGGCTACACTTTGACTCTAGACATCTGCCGAAAAGATTCGTTCATACATCAGTTGGACGCGACTCCCGGGCTTCAACCTTAGTGGCATTTTGGTTCTTCCTCCGCCTTGATTTTATTCAAATTTTCTTCTTTCCCTGGATTTTGTGCGTGATCAGTAACCCTGGTATGATGTGCGGAGAGGCCTTAGTGGGAAGACTGGCTGGCTTTTCTTGTGTTTCCCTTGTTGGTTGCGTGATGCGCGGGTACCAAGACATATTCTCATTCATTGAAATTCGTGGCGTTCAAGAGATATATACAGGACAAGGATCGATTGATGGTGCGAACCTCCTCCTTGGCATTCCCAAGTTCGCTATCAACGTGAGATGGATCATGGTGGTGCGTGATTTTATGTTGGCCCTTGATACGCTTCCTCCCCCTTGATGTTCCCTTGAGCAATTCCTCGCACACCTGGATGATGTTAGCTGATGATTTAAGTATGACAAGACGAGAACCGAATTGTATTTGTACTGTAAGAATCACTCCACCGAAAGCTTGACGGAATCGTGCCCTAATTTAATACTAGTATGTCTCTTGAAGGTCTGAAGGGAGAGAACGTTCCGAGCGTTTGTCCCATTGTTTTCAAGATAAAAAGAAAAATCCGACTGGAAACATCGAATGTAAAATCATCATTGAAGGTGTATCAGCGAAAGGCGTCGGTAGGATGCCAAGACGAGTCTGCTTTTCCGAGACAACCTGCAGGATAAGTCAGGTTCTCAGGTTTTTAAATGTTTGAATGAGATCGTCGAATTCGCCGAATTTGAAAACCGGCTTTAGATAGAATGCATAAACCAACAAAGGAAAGCTACGTCTCCATGCTTGATCGGCTGCAGGCATGCATCATTACCCATGCTTATTTTAAAGGGCCCCATGAACATGGAAAAAACAACTCTGGAATCTGGTGAGCCACGACAAATCCTGCCGATACGTCCTTCTGTCTGCCTAGTTCGCCCCGTAATTGTGTTATTGCCGCAAAGTTGGAAATTATCACATGAATCACTGTTCGATACGTCCAAAGAAATCGGACCCAGCAAATAAGCGAGTTGCGATCCTCGTTTCTTTAGCTCAAAAATAAATATACCGGACGCAGGGCCATCGATTTTTTGGGGAGCTGATCCAACACAGCCAGGAGTCGTTCAGGTTTCTGAGAATATAGTTATAAACATAAGTGGTTAGCCCAAGGGTGAGCCAAAACCACCCGACAGATTGAGTCACAAGAGCGAACCCTGAAATCCGAAGGGTCGAATGAATAGGTACCGTACCTTTTTTTTAGTTGCAGCCCATAAATTTTCGCGCTTGACAAAGTGCATGTAAAGAGGTTTCAAATCCAAAGTCAAACGTCAGAATGGGTCATCATTATCCTTATCCTTTCGTCATAATCTACATCGAAATCAGAGTACTTAGAGGTTCTTGACCTAAGCAAACTTTGTGTGAAAGATCAGCGGTTCTCGGCTCTATCCGAGATACTTATATCTCCCTTGATGGCAGGCATCATCCAGATCAGACCGCACCTGAGTGGGCGAAGTCTCCCCAAGAACCACCGAAAAACTAATCATGCGGCCGAAAATATAAAAGCTCAAGCTTAATTCCCCAGCATTCTTCCGTTCGGTTCGATCGCGTTCCCTCAACGTTCTCGTTGATATGGCAGACTCCGCTCCGTTATCACAAATCGTGCTCAACGATACGTGCGTACCAATTTGAATCGAGCTAATAACATCAAGACGTCTGATCTCTCTCTCGACACAGTTTGGGTGCAGCTTATATCGGGGTTGTCGTTTCTGGATGGTGAGTGTCTATGGTATCCATTTATAACCGTTCTGCTGACTGCTCAACAGCCTTTTTGGGGGTCTGAATCTCTTTTTCCCTTCGCTGTTTCTCAAAGTTCTGACGGGATTGTCTCAGTTTCTTGTGTTCAAGCCTGGTACTACTTTACCCACCAAAGCGATCGGTGGCACTTGAAAGCCCTGGTAAGTATCAACGTTGAGATTTCCCTCTCCCTTGAAGTGATGGTTCTGCATAGGTTGGGGCTGTGATGCTGACGGACACCATACACCAAGGTCTCATCACTCACACTGGTAGAATCATCCCCACTGTATCGCCGTATGATAAGTTGACGATTCCTCGCAGTTTACACGTATACCATCACGAACTGGGGTAATGTGTCTTTTCTTGGCGAGCTCGTTCAGTACGTGATGATGCTTCTGTCTCTTATACTCACTTTTCGACCTTTGAATACAGAACACTGTTGGTCGAGGTCTTGTTTAATGTGCGTCTCCCAATTATTTGCACTTGTAGGTGAATTGAATCGCAGTTTGTTGGTAGGGACTCACCACGGTCATGGTGCAATGGCGAGCCCCTACGCCCCCTGTTCTAAAGTTCCTTTTTGATTGACTTCTGTTACGTTATAGCTTCCTTGCAACGCGTATCTGGCGATGTCAGTTTCCTTTCACTGTAATTTCTTTACCATTAAATCTCATTAAATTTACAGTGAGCGATCGAAAAGTGTGGCTCATCGTCATCGTTGTATGTGCTTAATTTTGAGCTGTGGACTGCGGCTAACAGTGGCACAGGTTTTACTTATCTTCGGGGAGTTTGGTTCGTCACCATCGGTTGCTCATCTCAATTACCACTTTACTCAATTGCGCAACAGGAGTCAACTTAGGTCCTCAACGATGCTGTATTCTCATGTAAAATTACTGACTTGATTTACTCAATTAGCTTATACGATCATATCGTAGGTGAACCCACCTCCCGACCTGCCTCAATTGTAGTAACTAGCAAACACAGGCTACGATATAAAACCGTCGCTGAACTCGCTCACCTGGAGGTGAAGAGTAATCATTAGACTTCATATTCCTCTAACATCAATTTCTCTGCCAATGAATAGGGACTATCGCTCGCAACCAACGCTCTAGCAGCGGCGGGCGACGTCGTCATCGCCGCCTCATTGTGCACAATCTTACACCGCTCTCGCACCGGCTTCCACAGGTACTGTCAAATTTTCCGTTCCCCTCTTGGCATGACCAACTCTTTCACCCAGATCGGATACGATCATTACTAAACTCGTACGTGCATATTCTTTCCTTTGTCTCAGTTTGAATGAACATTGCGCAGATAGTCTTCTCCGTCAATACCGGACTTCTCACCAGGTAGACCCAAGTCACCAAATTCATTCGTGAAGCAGTCTCATAAATTCATTTCATACAGCCTTTGCGCCTTAGCTTCCCTCGTTTCGGTAAGTTTTCCTTTCTTAGTCTTATAATATATGATGTATGATAAGCATTCATCGCCAGATCCTCGCGTGGCCGACGACGTATATTTACATCGCTTTTTTCTTCTGCATAGGACGCCGTAAGATTTGCCTTCTCTTCTCGCTGCAGACAATCATTTAATACTAAATATAGTCTATACAAACTCTCTACTCGCAACACTCAATGCGCGGAAGAAGATTCGTGAGCTCTCCGATGGCATTGAAAGCACCAGTGGAAATAATCTGTCATTGAACTCGATGGGAAAGAGCAAGACCGGAAAGATTTCATCCAGTCGAGTAAGTTTCGTCGTCTTGAGTCTTCCTATTCAAGTAATGTTTCAGCAGCAGCAGAATATCTCAATCAAGATTGATACACAGAAAGAATTCGCCACGGATTCTGGGAACGATATGACAAAGGGTTCGGCTATAAAAGTGGCAAGTCATGCATCCCTCTCCGGCATGTGACAGCTCATTTTTCTACAGGGTTCTGGATATATTGGAGCGGAGCCTGGATATGATTCAGCTTGAAGCGTGCTTCGAAATTGCTTCGAAAGTTGGAGCGCGGTGGACGGATTTTGATCGAAAAAATTATATCTCATTTATAAAAAAAGAGAATACCCTCCAATAATTCGTTGCTAAAGACGCAGACCGCACAGCTGCGCTAATATTGCACTACTATATCTATTTAGTATTGCATCCACGACTCAAACGCAACGCGGTTGTTTGTCTATCGTTTTTAATCGTCTTCCAAAGTTCGGCGTGAGCTCTGAGTCGGAGTTTGGAATTACATCAGCAAGACGTTGTTGCTATAGCATTTCTTCCGCCTGGCCCAGGTTTTGGGAATGCATAGTCCATGCAGCTGTGCAGTCCGAAGTGAAACAATTTCTGTTGATTTCTGCATCTTCGCTTCGTAGAGCTCCCGGACGACACTGGACGCTCTTGGACGGCACAGCTCCCGGACGACACCGCACACATCTTTTCCACACTCATACCCACGACTTCACATCCCTACATTCAAGAATGACAGTGGCGAGACTGCTGCCATGGTTTGGCCATGGTGTGGCGCTGAGGCAACGACGACGAGAGTCGCTGTAACAGAGGATAGCTGTGCTGAGCTCTGAGGAGGGTCAAAAGCTGACGAGGACTGAAGGTCAGTAACCGGTATGCACGCTCAGAGAACTAAATGTTTGACAGCGTGTCTAAGCAGGGAATTTGGCTGACTCGCCGCCGGAAGTAACCACTGGATGGATCAGTACCTCTTCAAACTTCAACGAGCCTAACATTCCAGGTATAACAAGCCACCTTCAGTCCTCATGACCTCCTAATTGTAACGGGTTGCACTCGAAAACCTTCGAGACCAATCGAAAAAAGCCCACCACTGTGACTGTCGACAATTTCTTCCGGCAAGTGGCCATCTTATACTATCACAGATGCGGATTTCAGTCGTCTCGAGCCGTCGAGCCCATCACTGACCCAATGAGGGAAACGCTTAGAGTTCCTCAGCGTCCGTGTCGTGCCACAAAAACGACAGCGGCGGCAGGATTTTCCGTGAAGAGAAGTAGAATAAGGAGCGTGTGCGCTGACGTTGCAAGGAATGCGTGAAATAACGGCGGGAAGGAACAACCGGGTCCCGATACACAACTGTAGCGTCTAAATAAGGTACTACATTTTGTGGGACTAACTAGCTGTTCTGGTGCATTGAAGAACCTCAAAAAACCTTACAATTTAAATAATTACCCCAAAGTCAGCCAACTGCACAATGCCTTCACAACTTGGTTTTGACTACGACAGGGGGGGTTCGGAATGACTGACGGCGGTTGCCGGTCCGACTCAACCAAACACAACTCAAACACGAGTGTGACTCACCTGAGTCCTGACCAGTACTTGACCAGTACTTATGAACAACCCTGCCTCGCCTTGCATTGGTATGTACCCACGCCTCGCAGTGTGAAAGACAAGGGTTCGGGATGACTCAGAGTGAGTCCCAAATTAGTAATCCCGCTAGGAAATATCTGACCATGACTCTGATTGTCCTAGAACCCTGCCTCGTGGTTGTGTGGTTATAAACTCTTGGAAAACGTTTTGGTGCTCATCCGCCACTTCAGCCACCTCGCAACATGTCCACCGTCCTCTCTGAGCTTTCCGCTGTTCGTGACGCTATCAAAAAGGAGCAACCCTTCTGCACTAGTACCTACCCTTTGACCGACAACGGTGGACCGCTTTTTTTTCTCACTGACGGCGGCGAGGGGTAAGACGATCCCTCCGACCCATTCGGCTTATCCGATTTAAACTCTCGTTTTTCCTTTTGATAGCGCGCAATATATAGATCTCGCCAACGCGGATGATCTCAAACTCCAAACTCTGGTAGGAGCCTGCGAGCGAGCCGCTTTCGGCCTCGACAACAAAGACGTTTTGGATGAAACCTATCGAAAAGCATGGAAGATGGATAGTTCAAATTTCTTGACGCGTCTTGATGTCGTCAACGCAGGGATCATGGACCACGTTTGCGCCAAGCTCGTGCAAAATACGGAAAGGAAAGTTCGGTCGGAGATCTATAAACTGAACGTCTACGGTGAGTACCATGAGAAAAATTCACGAAATACAGAACTTACAACCGCGTCTGCAGGTCCCGGATCGTTCTTCAAAGCGCACAAGGACACGCCACGCAGTGAGAACATGTTTGCCTCCCTGGTTGTCGTTTTCCCCACTCGCCACGAAGGAGGAGCCCTTCATTTTCGTCACAAGGGTGAGGAATGGACCTTTGATTCTGCAACCATAACTTCTGCCCAAGAAATTCCGTCGATCGCCTATGTTGCGTTTTATAGCGATGTCGAGCACGAAGTTTCCATGGTCACCTCTGGCCATCGTGTCACCTTGACTTACAACCTCTATTACGACGACACCACATCTGTTACCTCCAACGATTGGATTAAAGAAGACGAAGCGGCTCTCCGCGAGTCTCTATCCTCCTTGCTACAGAATCCCGATGTACTCCCACGTGGCGGTTATCTCGGTTTTGGACTCGACTTTATGTACCCGACTGCAGCGGAAACTAAACTAAAGGACCTCATAAACTCCCTCAAAGGCAGCGACGCCATGATCAAACGCGTTTTGGAACAGCTCAGTCTCAATCCCAAGCTGACGGTCATATATAAAGCGTCAGAAAAAGGATACGAGACGGTTGAGGAGGACGGGCGCACAAAGTATCGGCGTACGATCACAATCACTCATGTCATGTTGGACGAGATGGATCGGTTTCCGGATTGGCAGATCGAGGAAGGAATTGTGGACGCGTTATTGGGTGTGGGCGGGGTAGCGATCTGTGATGCAGATGAAGAAAGTACATCCAGCGACGACGGCAATCGTAGGAGCCGCATCAAAGCCAAGAAAGTTTTGTGGATCACACCTCTTACATCGTTCTCCCGCGTCAAAACGTCCTACATCGCCTATGGCAATCAGGCATCGCTCGGTTACAGTTATGGAAACCTTTGCCTCGTCGTGAAGAAAGCGGGGCCGGATTTTGATGAGAAGAAGCAGGCGGGCAAAAGAAGGCGGGTGATTTGAATATTTTTTCATCTCTCCACCCGCAAGGTGACTAAGTACATCTACTTTTTGAAGAACGTCGTTTGATTTTCTGTTAAGAGGTGGTCTACATTTAGCTTGAGGGTTTATTTCAAACATTGAAATAAATTTTGGAATAAACTCCGAACTTCTCATGAAAGCCTCGTGCGCGTTGCAGGGTTCGGGATGACTCCAAGTCGCCTGTAGGGTGTGGGCGACAACCCGTGACAAGAATATGACTCAAATTTGTATGCGGGGAATTGGAATAACGACCCCATCTCAATATTTTAATGACACTTGCATCAGTTGGTTAGCCTTCAGCCAACAGCTTTTAGGGCTTTTGGTGTGGAGAATAAAGACCTTCTGAACGATACCGGAAATATATGAATTGAGCTCTATGGTGAGGTATGAATTAGGCTCTATGGTGAGCGTGGTCAATAATGCGCGTCTTAAAATCGCGTTCTTCAAAGTCTACAAAGACCCCGCGACCCCGCGGTGAGAACATCTTTGGTTCACTTGTCGTCGTTGTCCCCATTTTACAGTGACGTCGAAGATGAAGTTTCCTTTGGAGTGTCTAATTTTCAACCTCTATTTTTAGATTGACCATTCCGCGCCTTGTTATTAGCCGGGACCGGCTCAAAGCTGCACCCACTCTAACACGATTCAACTCCGAAGCATCTACATGGAGCTGTTTCTGTCGAGTAGGTGTTGAAAAGATCGTGTGCGAAACAGTAGTGGGAAAGAACATAAAACGTCTATTACGTAACCCCTCTGGTCCTTGGCATCGCTCATGTGCATGGGGTCTCATCTTGGCCAATGGCAACTTGAACCACCCATAGATGTTACCCTCTCACCACACACCGCCCACCCTTGACTCCTCCTTTTACGGGCGACGGCCCCTCGTACGCTGGCTCGCGTTGGGCGCTGTATTACTCTCAGCCTTCACGTTGGTCTCTAGGCGTCCTTGGTTACCTTCGCCGCCACCGCTTTTTGAGCATGAAGGTGGACTTGAAGCTGAACAGGGACAGGGATCTGGACATGGCGAGTACCCACATACCAGATACTACGATGGGAGGAGTGACCACGTCGACAACCACGGCGTACGCAACACCACCCCCAACCTCAACCCCAACCGGACCCATTGACTGGGGAAAGAGAAGGGATGAAGTAAAGGCGGGGTTCGTGCATGCTATGAAGGAGTATAAAACGCATGCGTTCCCACATGATAAGCTGTTGGCGGTTTCGGGGAAGTTTTCGGACAAGTACGTTTTCTTTCCATTCGTCTTCCATCCGCTCACCCAAAACAAATAGATTCAACGGATGGGGTGTAACGCTTCTTGACTCCCTCGATACAATGTACATAATGGGTTTACACGACGATTTCGAAGATGCCCTTGGGTTTGTGGGGAACCTTACTTTTTCTATGCCGTATGTCTTTCCCACTTTCTCACTTTGTCCCTCCTTCCTTTTCACTTCTCCACTTTCCCGTCTTCCTCCCTCCTTCTCTCTACATCTTCTCTCATTCCTTCCTCTCACTTCTTACGCCTCCCTGACCTCAACTCACCCCCGTCCCCAGCCAACCTCCTACGCCCACTTCTTCGACACGGTCATCCGCTACCTCGGCGGCTTCGTCTCAGCACACACACACTCCTCCCCCATCCTATGCTCAGAGGCTGACTTGGGAGGCTGCTCTTGTCTATGTTTAATACATTCTTGGGATTGCCTTTGTTTGCGGTCAATACTGATACGTGAGTGGGCTTGTTTTATCCTTTTGTTTTCTTTTATTCTCTGTTTCGCGTGATGGTCGAGGTACTTGTCCAAATTCCACCCATATAGTGTCTGTGTCCTTTCTCATGGCAGATGAGACTAGGTTTATTCCACTCCCATTATCGTTCACCCACACTTGGCTTTTTCCTTGTTTTTCATACCCTCCTTCCTTGATTCCGAGTCGTTCAGTAGCGACGCGATCTCCTTTCGGTCGCCGATTGATTCATTTTCTCACCTTCCCCGCCCTTTCATGTCGTTCGTCATTTTGCGGAAGTGCTGATGATTCTTACCCGCGTCGGCGTTGGGGTGGGTCGGGTCTTGCGTTGAGCAACATAGCAAGACTTCGCGTTGGGCTACTGCGTTGGGTGCACTCGGTCCATCTCAGGCCTTGTTCTACGTTCAAGTTGTCGAACCTCGTGTCTGGTTACGCACTCGAACCTCGCATCGGGTTACAATCTGACTCTTGACATCTACCGAAAGCCATCCATCGCTCAAGATTCGTTCATACATCAGTTTGACGTGACTCCTGGGCTTCATTGTCTTCTTCTCTGACCCTGCGTCAGTGGCATTTTGGTTCTTCCTCCACATTGATTGTAGCATTCTTTTCTCCCTGGATTTTGTGCGTGATCGATCACGTCACCCTGGTATGATATGCGGAGAGGCCTTACGGACCTTGAACGGGAAGACTGGCTGGCTGTTCTCGTGTCTTCGCTTGTTGGTGGCGTGATGTGCGGATACCAAGTTGATTCTTGATCCACACCCTGTTTTGAGCTCTTCATCCTCATCTGGTGGATGATTGCTTTTCGATTTCGATTTCGCTGTCGCAGCGGTGGATTGGATTCATTGGTTGCACCCAAATATATTTTGATGACTTGGGATTTGTTGAAGCGTCTGGGGGTGGGCCACCATCTAACGTTCAATTCGTCATGCGCGCTTTTACGCCATCGAAGCACATCCTCTATCTCCTTCACCTTCTAAGTCGGTCTCGACATGTTTCAGGAGTTGTGTATGGCTTTCTATTTTGATTGTCTCGCAATTCTTCACGGATGGTTCTATCTTCCCTGTTGCTTCCTGCCGTACCTCGGTTGTTCTAACTTGCTATTAATTCGCAGGGGAGCTACAAGGTACCCTCTTCGCCGAAGCGACGAGTTGCCAGTTAAAATACAAGTGTCTCGCCAAAGTGACGGGGAGGGCGGAGTATTTCGCAAAGGTGTGGCTTCCATTCTTATTCCGCATACCATCAATTATGGGCGCATGTATGCAGGTCGAGGGGGGTTATTCAAATTCGGCATTGTACCTACTCCGTCCAGAGGTGATTATGAAATTTTGAATCAGTGATAGGCTTTGACGCTAATGGTGTGCACCGGAATGATTGGCGTTAGGAAGTTGCATATTTGCGAGAATACAGAGCGCTTGGGTCTTTCGCACCCGGCGAATGAGTTATATAGGTACTGTGTGCATCAGTCCGTGTTCTAGATGTTAAAAAGTGCAACCGTGCGACGACGACCGGGCTCAGCTGAGAAAGGTTAGTAGATTTTAAATGGTTTGGTGGCCTTACTATTGAACCCTTTCGCGATCGACAGACAGCGAGTTTCCCTACGATCCACATTTTCAGTCCGTTGCCTATTCATTTCATTGAGAGTTTAAGCTTCCAAGCGGGATAGTGCAGGCCTAGGTGTCTGATCGTCAATCTGTTCGGTTTCATGATAGCATACCACATTAACTGCTGCGACTTTCCGTAGATGAAGGCAAGGCTCAAACTGAGCTCAACGATGACGACGAATTTCACATTCACAGAAGTTGCAATGGGTCGTAGATGGTCTAGGGAGGCTGCTACCCGTGTTCAATATCCGGGGTTGCCTTCTGTTTCTCTCTGTAAGTGATTTCGTTTTACTTGTATTGTTATACCCGAATCTTCTCCATTTTCCCTCTTTGCTTTTTCCGCCCCCTTGGTAGATGCCGTGGTTGGAACGCAAGTACATTACCTGACTAACGTCTGCGCATACTAAGGTTACCCATGCCTGAATGTTGGAATGCTCTTCGTTCCTCTCTTTGATTTACCGCGCCCTTGGTAAATGCGGTGGCTGGGGTGCAAATATGCTATTGACTAACGTCTGTGCAAACGCGAACCTCTCTGTTGTGATCACGATTGAGGCTGGCCATGGTAGGGTTCTTCTTCCCTTGTTCTACTCCACCTCGCCAAAGCCAAAATCTTGTCATACCTATAACACAACTTATACGAAATTTATTCCACCTAAATTACAATTTCATCATCTCTACATTTAAAAATGAGAGTTGGCAGCCGTCCATTTAGGCTGCACTCTTCCTGGAAAGGAAGATAATATGCTTCCCGAAGGTTGAGAATGAGACGACTGCCTAAAACTCTCGAGAATAATTGGACCAAGACAGCTGCGACCAGTGTGGTAGACCTCTGCAAAAAAAAAATAAGAAAGAAATTTGAGGGCCGAATCAACTTCCAAACCCTTACCATCGACTTTGACCAGCCCAAGACATTGGAGACGCCTACTATGAAAGCTCTTCATGAAAAGTAGTGAGCAACATTCCTGGATAAAATTGTTACGTACATGATAGGATACAATATGCTGTCACGCAGCAGAATGGAACGTAGTGACTGTTTTCCAAAATTTGAGGGGAGCATTCTTGCTTCCTTGAAGAATAATATTCCAGCTCGTATTCCAAGTATGAGGATCAAGAGTTCATAACCAAATATTGGAATCCAGGACACAAAATACCAATTCGTGGGATATGATATGCACATGTGGACACCAGGGAGGGGTTCAATGCCCACTGAAAAAAAATGAGGGATGATTATGATCAAATTACTTTTGGGCTATGATGAACTGCTCACTAATGATGTGGCGCAAATATAAGAAGTCAATTACTAGCATTGCGAGGATTTCAGCAGTAAATGCGATGACCACCAAAATGACAATTTTTCTTGAGTAATTGTACATACAACAGATTCGGTATTGCATGATAGCTAGATGGGGGCAAGTCAGTATGCAGTTGATACATAGGTCTTGCAGCAAACCTTGCATTGACCAGATCATGACATGACATCCCCATTGTTCCACTTTGAATGCGGGACTACCTAGAAAAGTGCCTGTAGCTTGGACCATCACGTTGAGTTGAAAGATATATTATAATTACATCTAGACAAATATTTACTTGAGCTAAACCAAGTTGATACAGTTGCAGAGAAAAAACTCACTTCTGATTTCAGATAATACAGAAAACAGATTTTTTTATCAGGAGGATCAAGGGGCATAAAAGAAATATGACTGAACCCCATTTTTCCCCTCAGATGAATGTTTTAGGACTAGCTCTTTAAACAAAATGAATTAGTTTAGCAATGTCCTCACTGATCATTAATCATCTTCCATACCGCTTGTCAGATATCTGGGCAGTGCACTGTGAATACTAGGAGTGATAACCGTAGAATTCTATGCGCACATGGGAAGCACTTCGCCAACATATCGATTCTAGAAATCTAGTGGTTAGCGAGATCATTTCAAGGCATAAAAATATATGAAGGACACACAATCACAAAGAGGACAGTCACAATGGTCCACTTTTTCTTCTATGATCACAATTAGTGTTGACCTTTAGTGTGGGATATAGTGTTATAGCTGTACCCATACAAGCTCAACCTGGTGTGACGGATTGAGATCTCATCAGTGAGCGGGACGTCATAATTGTAGTACTAACTTCTAAGTCCCAGGTAGTGACTTGCAACCCGAGAATGTGAGCAGTTGTAAGATAGGGAAAAATCAGAATAACTGACAGTGATCATAAATAACCGCCGCAGTAACCGCGACTGAGGATATACAGTGAGCACTAGGAACAATATTTTGTGATGAATTTACGCACCTTGTATGTATCCTACAGATTGGATCTGATGTAAGAGTTCAACTGGATTCGATTTAAGAAGTGCCTCCATTCTGGGGAAGCTGAAGGAGAATGAGTGAGAAGATGAAAGTCTCCCAACGTTATTGGAAAAGGATCCTGACAAGCTATTTAATGGTTTCACACAGCGGTGCAAGGAGCAGGAGGACCCCTAACATTCCATAATTCTAGGATTTTGGGATTTTTGTGCACACTAAGAGTTTCTAGCGCTATCATGTCCTGAAATTGAATATTTCACGACAGTCATGTATCAAAAATCTTTTTTTGACACCAAACTTTTGGCCAATCTTGTCCGTTTTCGGAGATTCATCCTCCAGCAGATACGCCCGGGGTCCTGGAGAGCGCTTGCACAACCTGAATGATGTTTATGACAGAACCTAAAGATCGATTGGGCTTATTTGCATACATGCATAAACGTTCAGGAGTCGGAAGTCGGGAAGCAGATAAATGTCTACAACTTCGGAACGGAGTGACACAGGTTTTCTTAGGATGATCACAGGTTGAGAAAGATCATACACTGCGTGTTCAGTTAGTTGTGCGACCTGATGGGTGTGAACCACAGTTGGCAGTGTATCAATATGCTCGTGATTGATATTGAACCTACCATTCCACGGCCTCCCAAACTGCCTATTAGCTGAGACCCCGGCTCAAAGCTGCACCGACTCTAACGCAATTCAAATCCAGAGAATCTCCATGGAGCTTTCTTTTGTCAAAGGTGCATTGTGTTTCTGTCGAGTAGTCGTTGAATAGATCGTAAGCGAAACAGTGGGAAAGCAATGGGAATAAAACGTCTATTACGTAACCCCACTGGTCCTTGGCATCGCGGGCCACTGGGGTCTCATCTTGGCCAATGGCAACTTGAACCAACCATAGATGTTACCGTCTCACCACACCCCGCCTACTCTTGACTCCTCCTTCTGCGGGCGACGGCCCCTCGTACGCTGGCTCGTGTTGGGCGTTGTATTACTGTCAGCGTTCACGTTGGTCACTAGGCGACCTTGGTTACCTTCGCCGCCACCGCTTTTTGAGCATGGGGGTGGACTTGGAACTGAACAGGGACAAGGTTATGAACATGGTGAGCACGCCCATACGAGGACGAAGGGCCCCCCTGGACTAGATACTACGATGGGAGGAGTGACCACGTCGACAACCACGGCGTACGCAACACCACCCCCAACCCCAACCCCAACCGGACCCATTGACTGGGGAAAGAGAAGGGATGAAGTAAAGGCGGGGTTCGTGCATGCTATGCAGGGGTATAAAACGCATGCGTTCCCACATGATGAGCTGTTGGCTGTTTCGGGGAGGTTTTCGGACAAGTACGTTTTCTTCCCTTTCGTCTCTTCCGTCCACTTACCCAAAACGAATAGATTTAATGGATGGGGCGTAACGCTTCTCGACTCTCTCGATACGATGTACATAATGGGTTTACACGACGATTTCGAAGACGCCCTTGGGTTTGTGGGGAACCTTACTTTTTCTATGCCGTCCGTATGTCCTTCCTACTTTCTCTTTATCTCCCTCCTTCCCTCTTCATCTTCTTCCTTCCTTCCTCTCTTCTTTGACCTCAACTCACCCACTCGTCCCCAGCCAACCTCCTACGCCCACTTCTTCGAAACAGTCATCCGCTACCTCGGCGGCCTCCTCTCAGCACATGCACTCTCCTCCTCCCCGATCCTCCGCTCAAAAGCTGACGATCTTGGGAGGCTGCTGTTCCCTGTGTTTAATACCTCCCTCGGGTTGCCTTTATTTGCTGTTAATACTGATACGTGAGTGGGTTTGTTTCCTCTTTTTCTTCTCCTCTGTTTCGCGTGATGGTCGAGGTATTCGCCCAAATTCCACGCATATAGTGCCTGTGTCCGTTCTCATCGCGGATGAGACTATGTTTACTCAACTCCTCCATTATCTTTCACCCTTTTTCCCCTGTTTTTCATACCCTCTTTCCTTGATTCCGAGTCGTTCACTCCACCGCAACGTAGCGACGCGAGTTCTTTTAGGTCGTGCGTCGATTGATGCCTCCCTATTTCTTTCATGGCCTTTGTCATTTTGCGGTTACCCACGTTGGCGTTGGGGTGGGTCCGGGCAACGTAGCACGGCCTCGCGTTGGGCTACGTAGTCGACCTTCGCGTCGGGTTGTACTCGGCCCTTCTCCGGCCTTGTGCTACGTTCAAGTTGTCGAACCTCGCATCTGGTTACGCAGTACTACAATCCGACTCTAGACATGGGCCGAAAGCCGTCCATCGTTCATGATCAGTCCATACATCGTTTGGACGCAACTGGGCATCCTTGTCATCTCCTTCCTCTCTGATCCTACGTCAGCGGCGTTTTGGTTCTTCCTCCACCAAGTTCTTTTCTTGAATCATCGGGATTTTGAGCGTGATCACGTGCGGACGTTGAATGGTTGCGTGACGCGCGGATGCCCAAGTTGATTCTTGATCCACACACACTTTTGAGCTCTTCATCTTCGTCTTGGTGGCTGATGGCTTTTCGATTTCGCTTTCGCTTTCGTAGGGGTGGAATGGATTCACTGGTTGCACCCAAATTCATTTCTTTGATATGGGTTTGTGGGTCATGCTTTTGCTTTTCCTTCGTTACGTTGGGATCTGGTGGGCCACCACCCGAGGTTCGATCCGTGAAGCGCGCCTCCGCCATCGACGCATATTCCGCCTTCTGAGTGGGTCTCAACGTGTTTTGGTAGTTATTTCTGGCTTTTCTTTTGATTGTTTCGCAATCTCCTCACCAATGCTTCTATCCTCCCCTTCGCTTCCTGTTGTACCTCGGTTGTTCTGACTCGCTGTTACTTCGCAGGGGAGCCACAAGGTGGGGCGATCTTGGCATAACCACCCTCTTCGCCGAAGCGACGAGTTGCCAGTTAGAATATAAGTATCTTGCCAAATTGACGGGGAGGGCGGGGTTTTACGAAAAGGTGCAGCTTCCATTCTCATTTCCATACCGGCAATTCTGGATGCATGTATGCAGGTCGAGAGGATAATGGATGTATTTTATGCAGTTAATGCGACGGATGGTTTGTTTGCCAATAGGTGGTTCGATAATGGAACTCCACTGGGTGGTACGCTTCTCTCCTCCTTTCTGACTCTATCCCACTCACGAATCCCAGCTCATTTTACTGTTGGCGCGACCGCAGATAGCGGGTACGAGTACTTTTTGAAGCAATACCTCTTAACGGGGGACCAACGTGCTAAAACCCAATGTACGTCTTCTTCCTTTCTTTGTGGTACAACTCTTGAATGGGCGCCCAGATCTGATATCGATGGAGGGGATCATCAACAACCTCCTGTTCGTCACACCAAAACGATATTTGCTCTACGTGACCGATATGTCGCATGGTTACGCATCACACAAATTCGAGCATCTATCCTGCTTCCTCTCTGGGCTATTCGCGCTCGGTGCGCACACGATACCGGAGGATGACATGTCTCCTCGGACGAGGGAGCTGCACCAATGGGCCGCGCGTGGGCTTGGCTATACGTGTTATGTGCTTTACGCGGACCAAAAGACTGAGTTGGGCCCGGACACTGTGACGATGGCCAAAGGGCAAAAGTGGGTCGATGTGTTGCAGGAGTGGGAGGAGCGAGGACGGGGAGAGGGTGGTGCCGATGATGGTCCGGGTGCGTGGAGGAAGGGTAATGCTGATTCGAATGGCGGTGCGGTTGCTGGGAAGGGATATACGGGAGCCCTGCCTCCTGGATTACATGAACCCCCGCCGGTGAAGGATGTGCTGAAGAGGGATTATGCAAATTCATGGCCGGCGGTGTACCTGCTCCGTCCAGAGGTGATTTTGAAATTTTGGATCAGTGATATGCTTTGATGCTGAAGGTGTGCGGCTAACGCTTTTTTCAGACTGTCGAGAGCTTGTATATTCTTTGGAAGACGACGGGTGAGGTACAGTGGCGTGAGAAGGGATATGCGATCTTTCAAGCTCTCGAACGACACTCTAGGACAAATTTTGGGTATGCGAGCGTGCGGGGCGTGGATATGATGATGTCTGAGAAGGTTGATGATATGCCCAGGTACGCTAAATTTACTCTCCCCCTCCCTCTTGCAGGTTGACGGTTCTTTCGAATAGCTACTTCCTCGCGGAAACGCTCAAATACCTTTACCTCCTGTTTGACGATACCGACTCGATTGATCTGAAGAAATGGGTGTTTAATACGGAAGCTCATCCGTTGCCCGCGTTTGAGTGGACAGAAGGAGAGAGGAAAGCTTTTAACATCTCGTCTTCTTCCTGAGTGAGGTTCTGTTGGTATGATGATTGGGAAAAGGAAGGCTTTTTATGTCTCGTCCTTTTCCGTTGGGACGGTTTTAATTTACATAATTTTGGAATATTGATAGATTATACCTTAAGGCCTTACATATTTATTATAGTCGTTGGTTGGGGACATTGCATGTTGAACGTAAATTCATAGGTCACCGACTTGGGCTCAGCTTAGCGTCGGCTTTACCGCCCAAATCAAATGATTTTGAAGCCGATAAGCCAAGCTAAGCCGACGGCTTCCAAATTGCTTCATTTTGCGTGGAGGCTGATGAGAAGACCGGGGCCCGAACTGGCCCTCTGCCACAGTGTCTCCCCTGGTCCCATGCTAAGTTGCAGCAGGTTGCAGCTTCAGTCTTTCACACCGGCTGGCGCCTGATGAGGAAATCTAGGTACTATAGTATTTATTCGTCCGTTTTTGGGTATAGAAAGGGCAACCGTGCAGCGACGACCGGGCCCGTAGAGTCAAAAAGATTTTGTGGCGTTAGCCATTGCCAACCCCATGACGGATTTTTACGGCCAACAAGCTACAAACCGCAAGGAAGGGTATTGCCTTATGTGGATCGTTCCCTCCATCAAACGACAGACGGAGGCAGGCGAGCAGAACTCAGGGCTAGAAGGAAGGCGTATTCAAGCTGGAAAGACTCGTGAACGAGAAGCTATCCGTGAGGCTTTGAAGCTTCTTTGCGTCAATCCATACTATTGTTTGATCGGTTCTCAGGGTAGTAGTTTTGAATCTTTGATGCGCACGAGGAAAGTCATCATGATCAGACGACAAGTGTATCCGAGTCGTGAGGCCCAACATTTATAGTTCTCATCATAGTCTCTGTTCTCTCCTCTTGCAGAATGCTCGACTGATCCTGATCCTGGTATCTCCCAGCTAGATAAGTACAAATATCTTCTTCTTAGAGTTCTTGTTGAGTTCTGTCGCGTTGATGGCCAGGGGACTCAAAGTTCGGGCGCTGCGCCCGCCGTGAGATAATAAAAATGGTACTTTGAGGTCTCACAGTGCCAGTCGATGAGAGCAATTAAAATCCGACTGATCAGTCGGGTTTAGCGATTAGGTTATGTCAGAAAGAATGAGTAACAAACATTAAGCGGAGCATCTTCACAAGCCACCGACGAGCCCGTTTGCAAGTGCCACCTCGCTCAACAGAATGAAGGCGACTCACTTCGTCGAGGCTCGAATCCCTGATTTACTTACCCCAATCCTAGGTGCGGAACTGGCCCTTTGTGGCTGTGAGAGTCTGGATCACCAAGTTGTTTCCTTTCTGGCACCCTGCCAAACAAGACGGCCTGGATCTAGTCCGAGTCGTCCATGTGTCCAACAACCAACCAGCAACAGTTACAACACCCTTCATCTCGGTCAACAGGGATCATTAGGGATCATTTGATCAGTGCCAAATCCGAAAAGATAAACTTCCCCAAACCCCCTTGAAGCATCGCAAGGGATCCTGGCCCTGAAAAAGCAGTAATCATGCGCTAACAACTGGAAGATTGGCCAGTCTGGCCGCCTTTCATCAGGAGGACTGCTGCGCCATGCGGAAATCTCCATGGGTATCCTCTTGCCTCATCCGATGGTGGGTGAGTGACGTGATGGCTTGGAGTCGATGGAAATGTCGGTTTTTCACTTTGTTCAATTCCACAGCCTTGGATTCACAAACTATCTCAGCGATAAGTGAATTGACATAGCCAGTCGCTATTTTCAGACACGAGCGCTCCACTCTATGCCCAAAATTAAAGGTTTCAAGGTAACCTTGTTGTCTCCTTCTCCCGCCTTGGCGCCTGTGGGCCTCCGACGTCAGATGATTAGTTCTTACAGGTTCCATGCTTGGTATATATATAGGACAGGAAATTCTGAAGGCTGTACACCCACCTTCTCCTCCCTATCTTCCGGTTATCAGCCTCTCTATGCCGCCGTTCGACATTACCGCAGCCCAAATTGTTGGGCTGTTCATGGAGTCGGTATTCTATGGTAAAATCTTGCTGAATCTTCCTCATTGCATGACCATTCTTCCCTACTTGCTTAGGAATTTACCTCGTCACGTTCTTTTCAACCATGCGAGTTCTTCTCTGGAAAGATGGCGCCGTCAAACCGTTCAAAATTATCAACAAGCCCATGGTCGTCGCAGCGCTTTTTATGCTGTTGTTTGGGACGATGGACGTTGGATTTGGACTGCGCCATAATTTAGACGCTTTCGTGTACAGCGTTGGAAAGCAAACCCCGGCGGCTCAGTTTGCCCACATTTCATACTGGGTCAATGTCATGAAGTTTGCAGATTACAGTGCGCAGACGTTCATTGGAGATGGTATTCTAGTAGGTTTATGTCCCATTATTTTGTGATTTACTCAGTTCTTTCGCAGTTGTACCGCTGCTACATCATTTACAACCGCCGATGGTTCGTTATAGTCGGACCTGCGTTGATGTGGATCGGAACTGCTGGTAGGAGGATAATCTCTCTTGATGCCGTTCTCTTGCACTGACAATATTCAGTTTGCTCTAGCTTCACTATTTACATCGAAGCTAGACTGGATACTGGAGTCCTGAGCCAATCTCAACTGAAACCGTTCATTACATCAACTCTCGTCCTCACGCTAGCAACAAATGTTATAACCACATGTAGGTTGTAACTCGTGATTCCCTTACAAATTACCGAGATTTACGCTTGAAAGCTCTTATCGTGTATCGTATATGGACGGTGAAAAGGCGCACATCAAAAGAGCGGACAAGCATAGGGCCATACTCCCGCATCCTACGGGTTTTGATTGAATGTGGAGCGATATACACAACCTCCATCGTCATCCTCTTTGTGTGTTATTTGGCGAATAATAATGCGATTCTTGGTGTCTCTGATTCGGTATGTGAAAAATTCTTGTCCGAACCTTCCATACTGACAGATATTTTGGTCCTTAGGTCGTTCAAATTATCGTTCGTCCTACCCTCTCTTTTTACATTCCCAAGGATGTGACGTTTCCCTTCTAGGGTATAACTTTCAATCTGCTCATTCTCAGCGTCGATCGCGGAACAATCACTTATGCTCAATCAAACCAGGCTTCCTATTCCAATTACGTTAACACCGTCCGTTCGGAGATTGATACTAGACAGCATTCTGTGCCTCTTCATCTCATCTCTGTCAAGACCATGACCGTGCGAGATCCGCCAGAGACCGATTCAGTTGAAAAAGAAGGTCAAGAAAACGAGTTAGATAGGGAGCCGGGGCGTAGTAAGCTAGGAGAATGGGCTGTTTGTTGATCGTCTTGGGACGCTGTATTGAATTTCAAAAAGGTGTGATTTTAGGCGTGGGTGGGGTATTTAAGTATGTTCCAACTTCTAATATCGGAGGATAGAACTATTGAGAAATCCCCCTTTCTGCGAAAACCCGAACGGTTTCCTCAGCAACCCTAAACCTTCACATGACCTCCGGCTGCCATTATAGTCTCTCCTAGACAGACTTCGATATATGTGAAGTCGTACGTTGGTTCACGATATACGAACTGCCATTACGTGAACTACATCTACATCTACCTACGCGTACAGAGTCGTCTTGCATACCTCAATTAAGCAAACGATCGATGCAGAGCTGGGGATCACCAAGTTCGCTTCGATAAGTCTCAAAGCTCAATATATTCTCAACTTACAGTGATCTTTTCTAGCTACCAACTAGCTACGCCTACAGGCTTCACCTCGTGGCGATTTGGTGTGTGTTTGACCTGTTCAAGTCAACGCATCGGCTTTGGTGATCGAGAAGTCCTTGGCCATTCGTTGGTGATTTTCATCGGTGGTTTCTCAACAAGGACAACGTTGATGCATCACCAGAAGAGCTCGAGTCTGAAGATGTCTGGCGGTAAATTCTGTTTTGGGCAAGTAACTACGCAAAAGGGTGAACTTACGACCCCCTTCGAAACTTCATTGTTCTGTACCTACACTTCGGCGCATCGACTGAGCAGTCTGCAATGCAGGGCTACGGCGTTGATGCATTTTGATGTGCGGGAAAGTGTTTTTTTTATGGTTGTGACCGTAATGTCATTGGGGCGATCCACATCTCGGTCAGTTTTCAAAACGAGGGGATGGCTAAATTTTGCCAACGCGACGCCTGTAAATACATGACGAAATTCTATGCGCAAAGCTAAACATATACCCCAATTTATGCACTTTGTGGACACCGCTATAAAGCCATGTTTTTCGTCGGAAGATCTTCGTCGCTTCTTCCAGTTTCTGTATTGGTTGTCATACTCTAACCAAAAAATTAACCAACTTCAATGATTAAAGCGGGATTATACCTTATCATTCACCTCGTCTCGAAGGGCTTCTTTGGTTGTTTCTATTCGTATTGAGATATTCTGCTGTGCCGTCCTGCTGCCGGTTGTCATGTTGCCAGTCAGTACGGTGGGTGGGAGAGACACCATCATGTGGCTAGTTTCATCAACGTCGCTCGAAATTCTCTTGCGTGCGTTCAGCGTTGCCAGGAACGAGTTCGTGTAGACTAAAAACGGGAATGTTAGTCAGGGTTAAGTGGAGAGGCAAAACCTAGACGTACATCGTCCAATGCAAAAGTAAAATGAGGCGTAAATCAAGCTATGAGATGATGCTACCAACTGGTCGTAAACGCATCAGAAGGTTGAGTGCGACAAGAGGAAAGGGACTCACCGCGATCAGGGCGGCGATAGCACAGGTGCTAAAAGATATTGTTATTTTTCTATCCGATGGACGACATCAGTACGCACGTGGTTAAGCTGTTTAATAGCCCGAATCAGTCGTATTGAAGGAAGGAGGAGGTGGAAAACTGACACTCCGGTGTTGACTATGAAGATCATCTGAAAATAAATCGTCTGGTTCTAATCTCTACCGCAGCTGATAGCAGGGATACTGACCAATCTATTAATGATAGTATCCGATCTGAGAGAAGTTTATCGTCAATTCAAGGACGACTATCTCCAGCGAAACGCACTTTTTAAAACCAGTGCGAGCGTTGTGTAACATGATACATAAGCTTACTGCGATTAGGACGTCGGTAGCTGATGATAGGGCATTGATTGTTATGGTGAGCGGCTAGACAGGACTAAGCGGTGACTTTCGGCGGGGTATGGAAGGGCAAACCGTGATTTTCAACAGCTCTTCATATGTTGTCATTTGCATACTGTGCTAGGCGCATTAGATGACCGCGTGAGAGAGGAACAAAAATACATCACGTACGCTAGAATAACCCATGCTAAAAGGGAAGGAACGAGTGAGAATTGCGAAATATATTTGGTTAGTCTTGAACGCACCCGTACCGCACCCTAAAAACATTTGTAAGATGTTTTGTTCTTAAAAAAATTATTGTTGCTCACCAGTTGTCGCCATGATAAGACAAAGAATGAAGCCTGTCAGAAAATAATTCCTTTTACTCACTAACAGGCAAGATCAGTTCTTTGTTCCGGGATACGAGTGGGTAAAACTTACGACGCCATACGCGTTGAGTATAGAAGCTAATATGTATATATAATATTCAGCGGGCATGGCAGTTAGTAAGATATATAGAACTCACGTCTGAACAATTCCTCCATTAACTCCCTGAAGTTCCGTAAGACGCTGTCTGATGCAGGAGCAGCGGAGCAAACATACCGTAAAAAGGGCTTCCATCTACGCCAGATTGAGCCCCGTTATTCAATGACGCGAAATTGAAGACTCACCACAACCGACCTTTACAACCGCACGTCAGAAAGGGCAAAGCAAGCACTTGGGAGGAGGCTCACCATATAAGGATGCGGAGACGATCGGGGTTGCTACGGACATTAGCGCGAGAACGTCAATGAAATAGGGAGGCTTACTGATAGTTTGTTATAACATAATGGTAGACTTGCGAGTAGCTCAGAGCAAACACCAGGTACAAGGGAAGGGGATCTCACCAGTGTGTGAAATGAAGCAAAGATGAATTGCGTCGAAGACCACCGTTGTTATCACCTGTCAGGCGAACATCAGAACCACTGGGAAGGCTCGGGCGAGGTGCTGAATTATCGGCTCACGAGGGCTTTGATGTACCAAATGTCTTTCTTGTACTCTAAGGGGTGAAAAGGACATCTAGCTCTCAGAAATGTCGAGACGCAGCGGACACTCACTGGTGAAGTAAAAAAACGCCTGAACCAAACAAACTCCATGAAGAACAGCGCTGACAATGACGCCTATCATCATCGCTCCCATGCTGAAATAGCCAATGCGTGCCAATGTTTTCAGAAGTCTCGCTTGAGTGAGAAGAACGATACGAACGTGTTGTCAAGGGGAACATCGGGTTCGAGGGTGGCTGACGGTGACATCGTTGCAGACGGTTAACGAATGTCGAGAAAAGAGCAGGAACGAGTGTGAGGTTGCGAAGGTTCAAGCCAGGTAAGGTCAGCCCGGCACCATGTAATAAGTATCAACAGGAATGGTCCTAGTGGATGGGGTGAGAATCGATGTCAGGGAACCCTTATTTCCGATGGTAGATCTCGTCGTCTTCTGGAAATCGCGATCTGCCTCGTGCGTCAGTTCTACCCTGGCACCGTCCATTCACGTCCCGTTTAAACTTTGAAATGCTTCAAAATATAGCCCCTCTTCGCTTTGACTTTGCTTCATTCATTGACGTTCGGGTAGAAGTGCTCATACACCAAGTATGATATATGAACCTTCAGCGCAACTATTCAAAATTCAAGGAAAGTACGTAATCTTGGTTGCCTTACTTACGAAGTTACGATGAACGGATGGAGACGTATCGGGAATCTGCGATCTGAATTTGAAAATCTGGAGACATGTGGTGCTACAAAGATACCTGGAAGGAGCGGCGTCCTACGACGTCTGATTTCGATTCCAGCCTATTCCTATTCCAACGCGTGGACGTTGGGCTTCAAGAAAGTTTTTTTTTTACGGGAATTTCCACGAATGAATTAATCGGCTGAAGGTGCGCAACGGTCGGGCTTTGGGTGCGATATCACACCTATTGAAGTCGACGTCAGCCATGTACTTTGGTATTGATATTGAGCCTTACATGAAGCTAGGTAGCGAAGTTATGTATATCCATGAGAGGAAGCCCAAGTTCGGGATGATTGAGAACTTGTGAATACAAACGAGTACCCAAAAAAAACCTCGCGCTTGAGATGCCCGATGCCATCCGCTTCCGCGGATGCTTATGCGGGGCAGCAAAAATTCATCGCACAAGCTACATAGAGGTAGTCCTGAATCAGCTCCCCAAACTGAAATGAAGAAGAGATGAACGCAACGTGTAGATGTGGTTCAATGTATATTTTCGCCATTTGAGTTCGGACTCGATTTGCCCTGGGCCTGAACGACACTCGGAGGAACTCCTGACTTATCACGGGAACAAGCATACGTAGAGGATGCGAGAGTGCCGAGATTGTCGAGGAGATTCGAGAAAGCTTTGTCAACGCTTACGTCAGTCTTTTTTTTTTGCCATCACTCTTGGAAGCGCCCAAAGTCTAAGCCCATCAGAAACCAGGAACAGGGTGCGTTTGGCCTAAATGTAAACTCCTGAACTGCCCCTGAGTTTGAACTCGTTTCTGCTCAAAGACACGACCACCTGGTGTCTCTTCATTTACACGTCCTTCATGTTGAAGAACATCACTGTGGTCGATCTCGGTCTTCTGGGCTTTGGTTTATATCTCCTCCGGGCGTATCTTCGTCAAGTCAATATGCCCGCACCGCTGCCCCCTGGCCCTCGAGGACTTCCCGTTGTTGGAGTAAGTTTTCAATTAACTCCAATGTATGTCTTCTCATTGTATCGTAACGTAGAATGTTGCCGACATGCCCGCCAAGAAGGAGTGGTTGACTTTCGCAGAATGGGGTCGCAAGTGGGGTAAGCCTTTGATAGCCAAAAAACCAAGTCTTCTAAGGGTTTATGTCTTTTCAAAGGCGGGATATGTTCAGTAACGCTTATGGGACAGCCCTTGGTCATCATCAATTCAGCTGACGTTATGGAAGAGCTTGACAAGAAAGGAGCCATCTACTCCGACCGACCTCGGCTGGAAATGGGTGGGGAGCTTGTGGGCTACAACGAAACACTTGTTCTCATTCCTTATGGTCCCCGCTTTCGCACTTACCGCAAACATTTTGCTCGCTATCTGGGAAACTCGGGTCCCATCGAGAAGTTGCATCCTTTAGTTGAAACAGAAACCCGTCGGTTTTTGAAGCTTACTTTAAAGGGGGATTGTGATCTCATGAGTTGTCTCCGAACGTACGCCGTTGTCTCCTAACTTATTGACTGCACTAGAAATTCAGCTTAGGCTTGCCGGTGGAATTATACTTGGTCTTACCTATGGATATCAGGTCCAGGAGCGGGACGACCCCTTCGTCAACTTGATAGAACATGCCAACGGGAACTTCAACGCCGCCTCGATCCCAGGGGCGTTCATAGTCGACTTCTTCCCCATTTTGCGGAGCCTTCCGGAATTTCTGCCTGGCATGAGCTTCATGGAGACAGCACGCCAGTGGCGCAAGGATACTCAACGAATGGTCGATGTTCCCTACAATTTTACCAAGGACCAAATGGTACGTCATCCCCTGAATGTGGAGCTTGCGTTGACTTGTCTCTTAGGCCGCTGGGACCGCACCTCCGTCATTCGTCTCCACATCGTTTGAAGCCGAATCATCCATGACTGAAGAGGAAATCCGGGACTTGAAGTTCACGGCGAGTTCCATGTATGGAGGTGCGCCTGCTTATATCCCTTTTCATAGCATTATAATAAATTCGATCTAGGCGGTGCTGATACCACCGTCTCTGCGGAATATGCCTTTTTCCTCGCCATGGTTTTGAATCCAGGCAAGGACATTTCACATCCTACTGGTCATGCGATGCTCACCTATTTACTGTTATCTCAGAGGTTCAAAAAAAAGCCCAAGCCGAGATTGACGCCGTCGTCGGCAACGACAGGCTACCCACACTTTCGGACCTTTCTCATCTTCCCTACATCAATGCAGTGGTTACCGAAGTCCTTCGTTGGAACAGCGTAGCTCCCTTAGGTATTTACTGGTATCTTCGGTTCAAAACATAGGACTCTTAAGAAAAGTTATATTTAGGCGTGCCCCACCGAGCCGTCGAGGATGACATCGTCAACGGGTTTTTCATCCCCAAGGGCACCATCATCATGGCCAACCTCTGGTGAAATGATCTCCGTCGTCAAACTTCCTCACTCTTGCTGAATTTCGATCTAGGAACATGCTCCATGATCCCGAAACCTATCCTGATCCATTCACCTTCGATCCAGAGCGGTACACGACCAAAGGTCAACGTGACCCGCGTAACGTGTGTTTCGGTTACGGTCGTCGTATCTGCCCCGGGAGGTATCTTGCTGAAGCTTCTCTTTTTTCAACGGTTTCGATGTCGCTTTCTGTCTTTAATATTGAGAAGGCCCTTGATGATCAAGGTACCCCCATCACTCCCGTCCACGAAAATACTAGTGGTACCATCAGGTAAAATACTTCTTCGCTTCTTCGACGTTCTGTTGATAAAAATCTGGTTTTAGTTATCCCGAGCCTTTCAAATGTATCATTAAACCTCGTTCGGCCAAAGCGATAGCCTTGGTTTCCGAAGAGCATTAAGTGGTCCTCTGATCAAACGCAGACCACAATCCCCCAGGCCGCGCTCTGCCACTTGTCTGCCACACTCTTTTACGGCTACTAATAGCCTGTCGCTTCGTAGTCGTAATTCCCATGTAATGATATACCCATGCATAACGGCAGTCGGGACGATAACGCTGACGTCGACGATATTATAATCATTCCTCGCAAGATATGATTTGGGAAGACGAATTTACGACAGGAACATGACAACGTCCTTAAACTTTTGAGAGACTTCGGCAGACTTTGGCCACTTTTCACTTTTGGCCAAGAGCTCTCATTGAATACCTTTTCACGTTCACCAGTACAAGCAAAGTACAAGCCAGTACCTGCCAGTACGCCATTCGGCTGAGAAAGCTGCAAAACTCTTGGGCAGCACGTTGTCAATGACAGGTTTGCACATTCCATTGACATTCCATGTGATCCCGAAATCACCCTCTAACGGCTTGGTCTCAGTTGGTCGGACTTACGGGCGTGATAACAACGGCTTCTGAGTCGAAACGTGAAAAGACAATAAGCAAGCGTCACAGAGCGTCACCTCAAAAGCTTCTGAGTCTAACCCCGAAGGCCATCGTATCCTCAGATTAGTACCCCCGATTCCGTTCATGACAGCAACGAGTGCTACCGTTTGAAGCACCTTGCACGATCTACGACCATGTTAGAGGCCCAGTCACTGAGATAGATGCACGAGGCGTCTAAGGTACAACGTGAAAATCTCCTGAGAACAAATAGAAAAAAAAAACTGCGAATGTGGGACCGTTCCGGAGATATGCTTAGCGATGCTTGGATATCACCATGCATATCTGTAGGCAGGCGATTATGACAATTCAGTTCGCCTGAAAAGTAGAGATGAGCAAGATCTGACATCCCCGATGGCGCCCTACCTTCTGTTTTTGTTATTTGAAGTCTCTGATTCGCAAGGTGAAAAATGAGGGGTAAGTCATTTGAGGGCCTCGAATGGTAGACGTCATTGCTCGCAAAGTGTGTAGGATTGATGGACAGGGAAGGGCAGCAGAGGCGAACTTGAGGCACGTACTTGTTGGGTTTGAGAAGAAATATTGCGGAGGAGCTGACGAGCAAGATAGAATTTGACGAACAAGTCCTATTGATCGGTCGCCCTACTTGGGAACTGTGTAATGGCAAGCGGGGAAGATTGTCGAGCAAGCCGCGTAAAGACTCGACAGAAGAAAAGCAGAGCTTGAAACACTTTTCTTTTATGCATTCGCGGTTGGATGATGCAGGACGACGCATGCCGAATAATCCCAATATCCGGACAGCCGAAGGTGACTACGAATTATGGACCCAAATGGGGGGATATCCTTGCTTCGTTGAGACGCTTAGATGATGTACAATTCATAGACGCGAAGAAGGAACGCAATCTAGAGGCTGAAATATGTCTAGCATCTATCCGCACCCAAAGTTCACCGAGGAAAGGCACGAGAACCAAATCTTTTGGAAGGATTGAATCGATGGAGGGACGCCGGGGGAGGAATCAAAAGTCGACGAGCCCACTCCACAATCAGACATCACCAGCATTCAAGATGTAAGGCTGAAGGTTCAAGCTCGCGTGTGGATATATTAAAGCAATCGTCGCCATCGTGTGAGACGTGAAGAGCCTCCAAAGCGACAGTTCAAGCTGCTTGAAAAATGCAGCCTATGAGGTAGACAATAGCGGAGAATGTAAATTTATTCTAAAACTCACTGACTGGTTGGGATGATAGCTCGTTCTCGGACAAGTGAAGAATTGCGTGCAAACGTGTAACAGCAACGGTGAACGGGCCGGAAGTCATAAGCCACAACCACTTGGCACGGGAAGAGTCCACCCGCCAGCTCCTCAGCAAGACTGGATGTTTTGCTTTTTCAGATTATGGATTCCGCGTTACGTCAGGATAGCCTCATGAACTAACCACGCAAATTCCTCGGTGTAGCTAAAAAAAGCGCTGATCGTGCATGGAGGCGGGGTGAAACTTGATCAATGTTGAGCGAGATAAAAAGCTTGAGAGGCAAGGCGGCGCTGCCTGACACACTTAGAGAGTTCCGTTAGACAATATGAGAAGGCGAGGCTACCTGTATGCAAGACATCAAAATAATCTGTCCAAGGGACGAAGACCCGCCCCATAGAATCAGTCACTCATGGTCAAAGGAGATACAAGAGACCTTTCCGAAGCCCAATCTGTATTTGGGATCGTAATGGGATAATACAAAGGATAAAAAAGCCCGTTAAATAATCCGAATCTGCGCAATCGTCAGCAATGGAGAGGATGGACGGCACGACTGGAACAACTAACCTACAAAGTCCAACTTCATTGCTACTACCACCCACCCCCTTGCGGGCTGCTAGGCGTCGGACTAGGAATGCTCTGGGGCATGACGGTACTCCTAGGGGCAGCATTGACCACCTCAGGATCCTTCCTCCATTCAATCTTCTCCACTCGGACCTCGCCTTCAATGAGTTGGTACACATACGTCACGACAACGGAGCCTTGGATGTCCATCAAAGCAAATGACGGTGTCGGGTCTCTGACGTGGGTGCATTAGACAGGAAGGGGTGGCGACGGGGTAGGGGTAAGAAGCAAACGAACCCGTTATAAGCTCCTGTCCATGCTCCTGTCGCTGATCCTGGGTTGACGAAGAATTTGTTATCGAATTCGATGGCTTGAAACCTGTGCGCGTGAATGTAAGATTCCGCACGACTGTCGCACCGCTTTGGGAGGAACTCACGTATGTGTATGACCCGAAATCAATACGTCCACATCCATCTGCCTTGCCAATGAGCTGAGCGAATCCAAGTCGCCAGTCGGTATACACTGGTGCCCATGCATCACGCCAATCTTAATCGGATTGTGCACGACCGTCACCGACAGCGGGAACCCCGACTCGTCATAGTCACCCTTGACGACGTGCACATCGGGCGATATGGTCCGCAGGTAGTCGTACGTCTCCTTGTCGCAGACGTTGCCCGTACAGAGAATTTGCTGGATTTTACCGGGAACGAGGAGTTTCTTGAATTTGAGGGGGAGGTCATGAACTCTGTGAGGGATGTGGAGGTCACCGATAACCAGGACAAGGACCATTGTGGTCGCTGGCAAACGTGTTTTGTTAGGCGGACGGAATCCTTGAAACTAAACAGGTGCAATTAGATGAAAACAGTGCCAAATTTGAACGATGCATCATGGTTGTAACCGCGGAACAATTGCTCTGCAAGAAAAAACTCTCCTTCTCTTATCAGAGTTGCGCTGCATGCCGAGCTCTAGCACATCTCAAACTTGAACAAATGCCCGCTTCTTTCGCTCCAAAATGAAAACTTGATGACTTGCTCGATGAAAACGTATATCAAACGTATATTCCCCCCTGTGTTTCGGCCCACAATTACCCTTTATTCTGGTGGCCTACGTTAGATTTAGTGGGTAAAAATCGGTATCATTTCGGGATGCCTCAGTCTTCACCGTTCTCTGGTACCTAATAACATTATTTCTACAGCATTTTTGGATGAAATTTATTTCAGCAGTGGCAGGAATTAGCTTGGAATTAGCATGCGACTGTGCGTATGTTAAGGTAGCGTCACCGTTGATGTCAAAACTTTCACTTCCGATTTTTCAAGGATATGAACTCTCGTCATCAACCACATGAAAAGGCATGAACAAGGCAATTTATGCAGGTTCGTCAACTTGGCAAGCCTGGTACTGGTGGAATGTGAACGTATGCGTCTAGAATCATGCTGCCCGCTCAGAATGAGAAGCGTCGGACGGGCATTCACTACGCCACAATTCGGGGAGATGGAAGGCTGGGTCAGAATTAGAGATCTGACGCACTTCGCGGGAGGGAAGAAATTCGAAGCATGAGATTTTCTCTATGCGTGTGTGGTGTGGATAGTGATCGCATCGTGCCCTCGGAATGACGAAGGATTGTCGAAGAGTTATACTAATCAGTACTAGCGAGCATGCGCGTTCGTCGTTTATAATCGACCTAGTGCGGGGAAGTGATACGCCTTTGGATGTAGTTCAGCGGTGCCGCAACTAGCATCGGTACGACTTCCGATCGCAGTGGCATATTATGCACTCACTGGGAATTTCCTTGCGCACGTCTCAAAATAAAGGAGCCAAATTAGGTTAGTTACTACTACAAGGCGCCTTGCATATTGACCCAAAGTCAACCGCTCGAGCTACCAACGTCTAAGGCGTTGATTCTTATCTACCTTGTTTTTTTCATTAGAAAACGTTTTCCATTGACTTGAGGTCAGCCTAGCTCGGGCTACGTGTCAAAGCACCGACTCATCTATCGTTCTTCCTAAAAAAATAATCAAAGTTTCTGCATTTCAAGTCTCTAAGAATGGATCCAACCTGCAATTTTCTATCCTACAGTTAAACGATCTCCCTAGTATATTTTGGTCCATTGATTCTTTGTGAGGTGTTAGCTCATTGAGGATTTTGGAAGAACGGCAGTTCGCTCCGCGTTGTGAAATCAAACGACGCATGACCTCTTTTTCATCTGAAGAGGCTAGCCCGGATTCTCGAAACTCATCCACTTGGAGAGCCTCAATCGCCGAAATTTATGGATGAGAAAGTGCTTGGTTCTTCACGTACCGCTATAAAAACGAAATAGATCATGAAGGACCTTCCTCAGAAGTGCAGTTCAGCTTTCTACTTTCCTCCAAAACTACAAAGATTCAACATGTTCTTCACTCAGCGCTTCTTGTCAATTCTCGCTCTCGTTGGAATGGCCAATGCTTTCAGTGGAGATGGTATGCATGTGTTCCATATCTTTTGGCGTATGGCTGACACTTTAATATGTTCTCCAGCAACCTATTACGCTCCGGGAGTAGGTGCAGAAAAATAAGATTCAAATTCCAGCGTACTTAATCCTCCTAGTTGGGTGCCTGTGGCAGGAACAATCAAGCCAGCGATCATGTCGTCGCGCTTTCAGTCGCGCAGTACGGCAATGGCGAAAATTGCTTCAAGTCAATTGGCGTGAATTGTGCGTATTTTTATATATGAAAAGCGCAGATTTCCTCATCAAATATACCCAATACTTAGACCAAGGAAAGTACGTGGAAGCCACAGTTGTCGACAAATGCGAAGGCTGTGGTCCGAATGACATTGATCTTTCTCCATCCGCGTTCACTGTACTCGCTTCCGAGGATGTGGGTCGCATTCAAGTGACCTGGGATTACTTATAGATAACCCGGCGGGAAACGTACTTGCGCTGAATTTTGTTCTCCTGTTCGTCAAGTGTTGTGTACTGATAAAGAACTATTTTGTGTTGTGTACTGACAAAGAACTATTTTGTGGTTGAAAAGCCTGGCGGTTTGATACCATTCCAATATTCTGTGGCGGTGTGTCACAAGTACGTTGATTATAGTTGTAATTCTGCGGCAAGCCATCTTGCTTTGTGACCACCATGAACACGATGTCATTGATAACCACCTGTTTGGGTTTTACAGAGAATGGCCGCTTGGAGATTAGCGGAGAAAGCGGAAATATTTGTATCTTACTCGTCAACTAAACCACCCCCATAGCCCTCAGCCCTGCGCACAACGATCACGCCTCGGACAATTATAGCCACCAGCAAGAATGTTAGGATAATCCTGACAACGATAAGGTGAGTGAAGAAAAAAAAAACTAGAAAATCGCACCATATCATCCAGGCGAAAGCTTCAAGAGCGTTCAGGTGACCGCAGTAAACGAACTCGTGCTGCGTCCTGAACGTGAATGAATGTACAGTGAGAAATGGTACAATGCGGAGACGCACTTGCAATTCAAGTTCCCTCCTACCGACTGCGTGATCGCAGCTGCTGCCGCTACCCATAAGACCCAGGCCATGAATACGCTTCATGAGAATTAATGAGCCTCGCCGTTACAGTGAGCGTTCTGCAACGAACTACTTACAAGATACCGTGAGCCGCCATGCTCGTCAAGATAAGCCCCGTTGGCGCCACCAGGAACGTGATAAGAAAGATCGTTCCAAACAGTGTGTATCGTACTCGAGTGCGGAGGGACCGGTGGGTGAAGTTATGATGCGCATTGTACTTTGCGCGGAGATGCTCAACTGAAGCAAGATTAGTTGGAATGGGAATTGCGTGACACAAAGGCGACCTAACCTCAATGATAGCAAAAACTACAATAACCCCAAAGAAAACTAGGATTTTTGATGAGTATGAGCTTAAAACGATATGAAGGATGCTTACGCGGGTGAGCCCATCGGAAGAAGTCCAGCATTGAAGTAAAACCCATCGTTGTCTCATGGCAGACTGACAAAAATATTCTTTCACAACGAAGCCAAACAAAGATGACACATCTTTGCCAGTGTCGACATCGAAAGGAGCCGGCCGACAAGCTTCTAGCACAACTTGAAGATTCGCATCTTCAGCGTCGGCCAAGTCTATACAATGTGCTCTGTCAACAAGAATCAGAACGACAACTCGACGAGAGGAATAGCCAGCACCTTGTACTGCCTCCGGTCCGACGAGGATGAGGTGGACGAGCACAGCCAAGGGGTCATCCCCAGTGAAAACCGGCTCTGCACCGTTCCGCAGATATCGATGGCGGAGGACAAAATCGGCGAGAATCCGCACCTGACTGTGATTTTCGGCATCAACCGAACACGGACTTCTTTCCACAGCGTTACTTACTTTTTTTCGACTCGACACCAACCTGTTTTACAACAAAATTCTTTCTTTCCATTCAAAACTCTGTTTGCAAGTCGACGCTGGGTGATTATATATATCAGATGCCCTCAAATGATTCCCATTTCTCTTTCCTTCCTTCCCCCACTTTCCCCTTCATTCTGTCTTCCAGGACTGCAGGACTTCCAACATCGCTCCGCGCTGCGCGCATCCCTCGGCAAGCCCCTTGTGGACGTATCAGAACAATGAGGGTACATCATCATGGGAGTTCGATGTGGTGGGAATCGTGCATTTGATTCGCCGTAAGTGCCTTGTTGTTCAAATGACTAAATCCTCACCTTCATGTAGACAAGCCGGCCGTACGCGTTCTCTCACACAATAACATCTCGGTGAGTAGTTTTTTGGCACAGTTAGATAAAGTTCTGACCATTTATCATGCATATATGCGCCCTATTTTTGCTCAATCCTGCTCGGCGGCGCCGCATTTACCAAGGTGCGTAACTTTTCAGTCCAGGTTAGCGCTAGCTCGCAAACTAATATCCTTCCTTCCGTGTTCCATCCCCATACACAGCCGCTTCGGGGTAGAGCCTTGTCAGTCGAAGGGACGGATGGTCGTGGATGAGAATTATGAGCCGTTCTGACTATCAGCGGCGCGGGGGTATGTGGATGGGGATGGTTTCAGTACTGGGAATCGCAGATAGTAACGGAATATAGCACATTTCTGAATCAATACAAAATATTCACCAGCTACAGACAACGACCGCGAAGTGCAGGTGCAGGCGGAAAGGAACCGATTTAAGCAGAAATTTCGGCCATTTGTATCAAAATGGTGACTTTCAAGGCGGAGCCTCGCGGAAAAAAATCCGCAAAAGGGACGAAATCCCAGTCTACCAGCGCCTTTCTGCTCTGCCGACGATCTCCGATATCTGCCGGGAATCCGCAGATACTTGCGGCTGAGAACAGAGCCGGTTTTCACTGGGGGTCATCGATCATCGATCATCGATGACCGGTGGACCCCTTGAGCACAGCCTCCTAAGGGCTTGCGTCATTTGCGATCACCCTTTCCTCAAACTGCTGAGTCATCCCAATTCCAGGGTAAGAAGATTTGATTGCCTTTTGTCTCATCACGACACAAACCTTACACAACGTCATTCGAGAGACTGCGCACTCTGCGACGACATCGCGCCAAGTCGACCTGCTCTGACAGGCATTTATCGCATCATGCCAGATTCTGTCGGACACAAAAACGAAAAGGCACAGCGCCATATCCACATCTCGGAGGAGCCCAAGAAGCCTAAACATGCCAAGCGCATTCGATTCAACTTCACGTCAAAGTACCTTGCCTGGATTCAACCCAGCTTAACGTGGCGCAAGTTCAAGCCTGTTATTCGATGTGCGGTTGCGGCCTGGTTGGCGTCGGTCTTGTTCGTTATTCCGCGTGTGATGGCGGTTATGGGTGGTCAGGCAAGTAGACTAGTTTCTCTTCATCTGCGAAAGTTCTTATCGGCGTACAGGCAACGTTCCTCATTTTAATTGGTAATTTTTTTTACATTCAATGTTTTAATTGGCACCCATTCTTTCAGCGTCATTCCTTTCTCCCCCAACCGATCCATTTCGTGCCGTTGTCGAACGCGAGGTTGTGATTATGATCATGATATCCCTCACCTGGTCGTATGTTGCTCCCTTTCTTCTTGAAATATCGGTATTGAATTTTCTCAAGCTACGTGTGTGTAGGTATCCGCTTCGCGGACATGGCGCGTACCGTGCATGACCCATCCGCTACGTTTGTCGAAGCAGTGAGCGGGAAATTCATTGAAGCTGGACCAACTGTTATTATGGGAGTGTTCGTTGGCGTCGGAAGCGCAGTCATCCTTTACATCAAAGCACGACAAGGCCCTGGTCCATTTACTTTTGCTTGCATTTTCTCGTGTATCTGCCTAGGTATTTTCTTCAATCTTTTCTAAGACCTTTGAACTCAATGCCTGGTAGATGTTTCGTTGACAACGGCTGTCTTGTTTCCCTTCCCATTCTATCTCGTAAGAATTTAGTTACTCATTTTATCTCGCTCAACCTTTCCCAGATAGGAAGAGCCGTAGTCCTTCCCCTCGTATTCCACAGCGCGCTCGCCATCCTTTGCTCCCTCACCATTTTCCCTAGCACCATTTCGGCCCAGTTCACACAAGGCCTGCAAGGTGTTCTCTCCCCCCTCATTACTGCTCTTGATATGCATCGCGCCCTCCTCAAAACGCCCACCGTCTCACATGAATTTCTCGAAAAGGTCGAAGCCATCAAGAATACCGTTGCCCGCGCTGAAGGCGCCGTCGTGGCGCTTGTACCCTCTGCACGGCTGCTTCCCAGTGACATCATCTACTGCCGGTTCGCGCCGGGTGATTTTATGACCTTCCAGGACTTCGCCCGGCGCATCGTTGGGAGGGCTCATGGGATGGGACTGTATTTTACGCTGATAGATCCAACGAGGGAGAGGTTTCCAGTCACCCCAGCTCCGTCCTTACCTGGTACACCTCGTCCCGGTACTCCGTCGTTGGAGCTGGCGGGTGGCGTGTCACCGTTACCATCTAGGTCGCACTCTCGTGCGCCGTCGGAGAATCATCCCCATCCCCATCATCATGTGCTTCATCAGTCGCTATCGAACTTGGCGAAGACGCGGTCGAAGAGGGAGCACGCGGTTGGGGTGTTTGAGTCGCATCGGTATTTGGATATTGAGGCTACGCGGCTGCATGACCCGAATTCTGAGGCGTGCACGGCGCGGACGACGGAGTTGTTGAGTGAGAGGTGGGTGGTCTGTAGGTTTCAGCGAGCGACGCTGACGTTGAGTCTAGCTGCGATAATCTTCTTGAAGTAAGCGGTGAAGGATTGAAAGGATTGAGGGACTGGTTTGGGGGCGTGAGGGATGGGCGGTTTGGTTTTTTTGGGAAGAAGAAAGCGGGCAAAGAGGAGTGGCAGGCGAAGTTGGAAAAATTGAAGGAGTTGCGAGAGAGGGTGTTTGTTGCGCTGCAAGAGTTTCGAGAGGAGCGCCGGTATGTTCCCTGCCTCCTCTTTTCGGCGAGCTCTCTTGACGGTTTCTATTTATCAGACACGCTGTTCTCGACTCTTATCTCCCCGCTTTCGACGACAGGAAACAAGAGATGCCGCCCCATCGGTACCTCTTCAATTGCTATGTGTACCAATATCACCTTACCCAAATGGCAGCTATTGTTCTTGAGCTGGTCTGCCCACTCCCCCCTTCTCCTGCGTATCAACGCTAACAATTAACATATAAAGCTGGACGAAGCCATCAAACTGGAGTCGTCACGCCTGGAAAACAAACTTTGGACACCCATACGCACATTGAAGCTGTGGTGGCCATGGGATATGTCCGAGCATGGACAGCAGGATGAATTGGATGACAACCCAAGTCTGTGTATTCTCTATTCACTTTCGTTCATGCTTACCTATTGGTGGATGTCGTAGATGTCGTGCAGGGTGCGGAGCCTATGCATGGAGATCTGGGGATAGCTAGACGGCGTGATCCTGACGCGCTGCCGCCGAGGAATGTGCTGGAGTGGTGTTCGAATTATCTTTATTTGTTCTTGACGAGAAGAGGTGGGAACCTTTTGTATGCGGTTAAAGCTGGATTGTTTACTGGTGCGCCTTCTCGTTAACTTTGTTTTGCTTCGAGAGTTCCTGATGTTAGCGGTAGTTATACTTTGTCTCCCGTCATTTTTGCCGTCGTCTGCGACTTTTGCGTTCAGTGAGCATGGTTCTTTGTCATGCGTTTTATTTTCTGATTCCTCTCTGCGTTTAGAAAACCGCTCGGTTTGGGCAATGTGCGTAACCTCTACTCGTTTCTCGTTTCTCACTCACAAAGTATAAAGCATTATGGGACAAGTCACGCTCTCCCGCTTCAGAGGCGATACGACATACAGTCTCATCGCTCGACTCGTAGCAACTTTTGGTGGTGGCGTGTCGGGCGCGGTGTTGTGGTACTTTGCTTTTCTCCGTCTTCTCCCCAACTCTCTCATCCTCTTAGGTACATATCCTGCGGCTCCGCACAAGGCAACGCATACGGGCTCGCAACGGTGTGCGCCGTGGCATTCCCCATTTTCTTCTTTGTCAAACTCAACTGTCCGATCCATCCTATGACGGTCACTGTCTATGCCGTCACTGTGTGCTTGGTGAGTTTTTCGTGTGTCGATTGAAGGTGGGGTCGATTAAGGGGCTGGTTAGGTAATTGGGTATTCGTACCAAGATATCCACATTCCAAATCCAGGATCTCCGGGATCAGGCATTTCTGTTGCTTGGGTGCGTCTTTAAGGCCGCGCGTGGAGGATTACTTTGACTGATGATCTTGTAGAAACGATTCGTTCTGGTAGCGATTGGCGTTGTGGCTGCGTTGTAAGATTCGTTGTCTTATATTTACGGTAACGTTCTCAACGCTCTCGTTTGATACAGCATTTTCTCTCTCCTCCCTCCATCAACAACCATTCGGCGGTACCAAAGGAATTCATTGGCCACTACGACGTCTGAGATCGGGGTCATTTATTGCTCGATCGTTTCTTTCGCGCATTCGAAAAATGAGAGCGAGGTGCAGGAAATTATCAAAAGCCTTTTGGCCGTTCGGTCCAAGCTGAAACGCTCCGCTGCGCTTAAAGCTAACGTTTCTTATGAGGTGGGGTTATTTTCGCCTTCGATCTTTGAGGCAGTTGCTCATGTTTTTTGTAGTTTTCATTCCGGGGGCGTTGGCCAGCAAAACGCTACCAGGATATTTTGGATCTCCAAATGTAGGTGAAACGGTTGGTTATCGGGACGAATGTTGGATGTGTGTTCCTAGATCGATTACATATTCCCTCTCCCACCTGATGTCCGTCGTCAAACACCTGGATTCAAACTGGACACGCGCGTTTCTCCGCCGGACGAGGCTTACCGATAGCGATTTCCAAGGAGACGTTCTTGCTGTTCTCAGTGCGTTTGATCTTACATTTGTAAAATTTGTTGTACTAATTTGTAAAAATAAAAGCAATGATATCCACCGCCCTTCGGACTGGCAGTCCATTGCCCCAAATCACGCCTTGTCCGCTACTTGATCGCTTCATGCTCCGCTACCACGGGATGAACGTCATCCATAAAGATGCGGAAGAGGATTATGGCTTGCCACGCTCTCTCACTCTGGAAACGTTGCAGAATGAACAATATCTGTCGGTTCAAGCTTCTCATTTGATTCTTACCCTAGTTGAAGCCATCTTTCAGAATGTTTTGCGTTGGTGTCTCCACGGCATATGGCATTGTCAACCGCCTTGATCGTTTGATGATTGCCGTAAAAGAGGTTGTTGGTGAGCAATATCACATTACGGGTGTTGGATTTATGGCTCGCGGAGGAAGTACTTTGGAGCTCGCGCCGAGTACGCTGCATTATCGCCCACCTAGGGACGTCTGAGTAGAAAAATTAGCAGCAAGGAGTTAGAACCCATTTGGATTGGAAAATTTAGGTTGCTCCCGTCGTTTCGGAGTTGGGTATACTTCGATTTCCTCTGAAGTATGAGTTGCGCTATGGTCGCTTCTATTTCACTCCTCCTTAGCTCAGTTGGTAGAGCGCGTCACTTGTATGTTGTACATATATATATGACGAGGTCAGTCGTTCAAGTCGGCTAGGTGGAATCGAGGCTGATTTTTTGGCAGACATCTCACAGAAAGCGTAGTGACTCATGAGTCCCCCCTGATTCCATAAAGCTTGAAAGGCTAGGATGGTGAGTCAAATACGTGGAGCACGGGATGGGGCAACTAGGATCGAAGACAACAAGCCGATTGGTCGAGTACACTTGAATGAACCAGTGCGACGTTGAGTTGAAGACACAAATCTCGTAATTCGCGTGAAGGCAGGCGGCGGGGCAGTTGGACGAGATAATACAGGACTGCATGAGAACAGCGAGTTAAGAGGGCCAGGGGATAGAAAAAGTTCAAGCGTCGGATTAGTAAAGGTTCGGGTACGGGGAATCGAACCCCGAGCTGCCGCGCATTAACACATCCATGGTTGTACACTGAGAGGCGGCAATGTTAACCGTTACACCATACCCGACCTATATACCTGATATCAACTGGTCTAACAAAAGGCTATCGTGATGTGGGTCAGCAAGAGTTTGAGCGTAGTTCAAGAACACCAAACGAAATGAATCCTGAGTTGTAGTGGCATACTTATGCTGAACTGATGGTTTGGAAATGAAATATAATGTTCTCTCGACCGTAGCGTAGAATTCTAGATATAAGTAAACGGAGAGAGCTCTGAAAAGGCTTCCATCATGGTGAATTATACTACCTTTCAAGACCAAAATTGCCTTACTTTGCTGGAGCGCATTCGGGGAATATGTAAGCACGCCATTCGATCAAAATGAACCGGAGCTAAATTCTGAATTTGAATTTCAAGCTTTCCCGGAAAACCTCGGACTCGGAATTGACTCGGAAGTGATCATCTGTGAATGAAATTCAAACCCCATGATACTTAAACTGAGATAATCCATAAATTTGGGCTTGCGCTGAACGACGGTAAAGTCAATTCTACCCGTTGAATTCTGTTCAGCTGGATTTGAAGGCGCATAGGCGTCACGGTGTGCAAGTACTTGCACATGATTGAAATGCCATACTCGTTCCCGACATCAAATAACCGCTTTCTATCCACATATATCAGTTGTCGGGTCGCAATGATTGACAGCCTTCCTGTTTTGAAGAGCCCATGTTCTTGATATTGATGGGCTATACGACTCTAGCTCGAATATCCGAGGAAATCTCTCGAAGTTCCGTCAAGGTATAAAGTACCCGCCTAGTACGATCTTACCAGCCCATCCATTTATCGCACTTTTGTTAGAAGAACTAAGAAATGCAGCATGTCTTTCCTCGTTGCACTTTTCATTTGCCTCTCACTGAAATTTGTCAGTATCGCATTACGCTACCTTGCCGATCCCCACCAACTCCTAACTACAATTCATCACAGAGGTCTTCTGTGCTCTCATTATTGGAGCTAGAGAGGTACCAGTCGTCGTTTCCAACTACAAAAACTTCGCCGTGGATGGTTGTTTCACGTATGCCCTACCCTCCGTCCGTTGATTCCACACTGATGACGTACCACACAGACCAACAACGCTTTCCTTCAACCAGTTCAGCACCTTCACAAGTACAACCGTTGAAAACTGCATCAACGTATGCTCGGCCGCCAATTACATTCGAGCAGGGCTCGTAGCAGGATCCCAATGCTGTTTGTCCACTCGTCGACACCCGCTTCTCGTGCTAACGTTGTCAAACCTTGTACTGCAGGGTGCGGGAACGTTATCAAACCAGGGAATTCCGGCGTCAGTGAGGGCCTTTGCTCTGCCGCTTGTACGGGGAACGCGACTGAGGTATGTGGAGGTTAGTACAAAATGATGCTGGAATATTCCGTTCGTCCGCCCGTCGTGCCGCAAGTGGTTGGTTGGTATGGGATTTGGAATGGGATGGACGAAGGAGATGCGATTTGTATTCCGTGAGGTTCCTTCAGTGACGATCTGGGTGTTCGCAGTTGCTCATGTTCGGCTATGTAGAGACATCCCCTCCGCTCGTACACTGCATCATTTGGAAGAACGCTCGGATTCAATGACGGTTCAACGTTGCCTCGACGCTTGCCTTGCGCAAGACTTTGCACTCGCTGGTTTGGAGTACGGCTCGGAATGCTGTTCGTCCCTCATCTTCTCCGAGTCTTCACCTCCAAGATACTAAATGACGTACAGGGTGCGGAAACGCAGACATGTATGGCCGTCACCGCATCACGCCAGCTTCCTCTGCCTGCAACTTCCCATGTGCAGGTAACCCCGTGCAGATCTGTGGTGGAGCGAACGGGTTGAATATATATGATCGGAGTGGGAAAGGTCTGACCGTTGGACCTCCCTCGCCGTTCACGTCCCCGTATAACAATACGTGGTTCTTCAACGCCTGTGTGAAGTACGTTTCACCTCCCTCGGCAAGATTCAAGTGAAATCAGCATGAGCTTACTTTTTATCCTCGCTGTAGAGACGACGCAGTTTTGTAAATCCTTTCACTTCAGCCGTCGTCTTGTTTTCACATACGCAACGATACAGATCAGGCGGCCCACGAACCCTCCCACACCCGCCAACCCAGCCAATCGGCACGGAAGACATGACATAGTTCTTGTGTATGAACAGATGCGCTGCGGACGGGTGGAAAGTCGCTGGAGTCGAGGACGGGCAAGAATGTTGTACGTGGTTTACTGTGTCTTCCGCCTTCTCGTTGTCTCTGATGACGATCATTGCAGGGTGTGGAAGTCCACCAGGCCGTTTACCAACTTCGATTTTGGCCCCTCTAAGTGACTGTAACCTTCCGTGCACTGATTACGCGGATTTCTCGTGTGGTGGTCCAAATCGACTTTTAACTTATTACAGGCGTTGAGGAAGGGGGTGTCGTTCTTGTCAGCGCTTTTCGGTTCAGAAAGCGTATGTTTTTTGGGAGGTTTGTGTGTAGATAAAAGTGGTACGGTGTAGGCTGAAAGCGAATGTGTCATTAAACGGTTTCTGAATGAAGGGTGAAGTGTACAATTACAATTATAACGGGTATCGCTTCTGATCTTGTCCCTTCGTCTAATATATAACGCGTATATCAACTCAGGACCTGGATCAACGCCAAAGCACTCGATCGATAGCAGAAGAGTGTTCCTTCGATTACACGAGATGATGTAGCTTTGAGCTCTCTTAGAAACTTGTGAGCGGGAATGATGGGTGAGACCTGTATGAATTAGGCTGACTCCCGGATTAACATGAAGGCTGCAAATAAAAGGACGGGACTGACGATAACGCAATAAATGACGACGACGATCGCAATGAATGACGACGGGCTCAACAATAAACGACGACGGGACTGGGAATGAATAGAAATCGCCCGCTGATTAGGTGTGATTCCTCGACGTCGGGATATTAAGGTCCATGTCATTAGTCATAGCGAAGGCTTCATAGAGATATATGACACCGAAGATGAGGAATAGAATGGAACCGCCGAACGTTACTATGAGGGTGTTAGTCTTGAAGAGTACGAAAGGAGGGCATACGTACCTCGTTTGACGGATATCTTCGTGGACACGTATCTCCCGCCTATGACTGCCAACGCGGTGCAACATGAGTGGCCCACTACCGTTCCGAGCGTAACTAGATACACATTCTAGACCCCGATTAGAGACGACGGGGTAAACATCAAAGGAAGGACGTACATGAGCAGCCCCAAGCGCAATCGTCGCAATCTGACTTCTATCGCCCCATTTACCCAAAAAGGTGAGGACAAATGCCTGCACAAACACTGGGCCCAGGAAGAAGCTACAGAGGTTCCTCGCGCCTTCCATAGTCGACAAACCCTTCGGCTTTGGCGAATGCACCGGCCTCCCGCCCTCCTCCATCTCTTCCAGCGGAATAATTCGGCCCCCCCGTCGCATCATGCTCAGCATCGTCATCCTCAATCTCCTCCTCCGTCTCCCGCATCTCCTCCTGTATCTTCTCGTTCCCTGACTTCATACCCCTCGCTTCTATAAACATCTTCGCGCAGAACACGAGAAACAGCACAGACGCTGCTATTTGTGTCCATTTCCGTGGTATGAGCGTGGAGAGCAGGTGGCTCATTGCTGCGGATAGGATGGACATGACGACGAGGGAACCAAATGCGCCTGCGAAGACCAGCATTCGCGAATGGCGCATGGCGAGGATGGCGGCAATGAGGAAGGTTTTGTCGCCGATTTCGGAGACGAGGATCATGGCAAAAGATTGGACGAGGGCTTGTACGAGCCCTTCCGGTAGGGCATTTTCGATCATCACTATGGGGATAATGAATTTTGAGAGATAGACAAAGTGGAACGCCTTTGTCACCATCGAAGAGCCTGCGGCGCTGGGAAAGGGGATTGTCGTGGTAAGTAACCGATAACTGTTTGCGCAAGTTGATTTTCCAACTACGGCTTGTACGCACGTGAAGCCACAACAATCATTATTGGTACGTCATACGCCTATTAGTGGTATTTGATCATCCCAGCATTCGTGCCGTGTGGTGATTGTGGCCAGATTTTAGCAAGCTTTTCCTCTTCCTTCATGCGCACGCATCGACCTCAACCAACTTTTGAGCTTGTCTTCCTCGGACCTCCTCATACTACCATTCTATTTATTCTTCCTCGCCTCCTCTCCGCAATGAAGAAGAGCGAAACGTTCACTCACCCCCTTTACTCCGTCGAATCTACTGCTGGGATGCAGTACCAAACGTCTAGTCGTGGTTCGCAAGGGCCGTTGCAGGCTACTTATCCTGCTTAGTACGTCTCTCCCTTTCTTCCTTTTCGAGTTCGCCCATATCACTGACATCTCCTCCACGCTAGCATGGTCCCAATAACGACCAACTGGCTCCCAACCCTCAACTCCGCTGGCATCAACATCTCCCCCGACCCATACAACGGCATCAACACAGGCGGGTTCTTCGCCACGTCCGCTATAAACCCTTCCAACTGGACCCGCTCTTCAGCCAAAGCGGCGTATTAAGTTCCTGCATCTGCGAGGCCGAATTTGAACGTTATGGTCAACGCTGCTGTAACCCGTATTACCTGGGCTTCTCAAGGGGCCAATGGAACGGTAACGGCGACAGGTGTAGAATTTTCGTGTAATGGACAAATAGGGACCGTCAGAGCGAAAAGGGAGGTGATTTTGTCGGGTGGATCGGTTGGGTCTCCACAGGTGTTGATGTTGAGTGGTGTTGGGCCCCGGGATGTTTTGGAGAGTGTGGGTGTTGATGTTGTTGTTGAGTTGCCCGGGGTGGGGCAGCATGCACAGGATCATTTGGTGAGTTTCGTTTCATTTTTATTTTTTTGCGATTTCGGTTTGTTGAAGGGGATATGTTGATGTAGGTTTCCTCGGTTACGTGGTCGACGACTGCGCAGACTCAGGGGACGATATATAATTCCTGCTCCGACTTTTCCGTGAGTTCCCTCGTCCATTGGAGTCCCTCCTCATCCCATTACCCCATCCAGAAATCCGCGCAATTCCTATCTTTCATCAACTCAGGAACAGCCTACCTCAACGGTTCCTATCTCTTCCAACAATTAATCACCACCGCACTCGACTCTTCCGCTTCCACCCTCGTCCCAAGTCAATATGCGGCTGTCGTGCAAGGGTACAAGGCGATTTACAGTGCACAGACGGAGAGTGTGCTTCCGACGGAGGGGTTGGTTGAGTTGTTACTTAGTTTAAATGCGCCCGGGCAGGTTATGGTTCAGGCTGCTCTGCAGATTCCGTTTAGGTTCGTGTTTTCGATTTTTTTCGTTGAGAAGGGAAACTGATGGACGTAAAAAAAAAGTCAGGCAGGGTTGTACGTCAACTCTACATCAGTATTCGGCCACCCTGTTATTGATCCGCAGTATTACTCGCATCCTGCAGGTGCGCTCGTTCTCTTTCGCCTCCCCCGCATTTCAACGAACGTTTCTTTAAAAAGACGTAACGGTGATTCGTCAAGGCCTCAAAATAGCTCGCACCATTGGACAAACTTCCCCCCTATCAAACATCCTCGGCAACGAGATCTCATCTGGTTTAAGCGTATCCACGGACGAGGAATGGGAGGAGTGGTTGAGGAGTAACAGTGTGACGGAGTATCACCCTTCGTCGACATGCGCGATGATGCCGTTTGAGATGGGGGGGTTTATGGGATTTGTGAGTGTTCCGTTTGACCTGTTAAGGAAGAATGAGGGAGAAGGCTGATAAATTGAAGCGAATATGAGAGTTGTGGATGCGTCGATTTTCCCGTTGGCTATGTCTAGTCATGTACGTCCTTCTCCTTTTTCTCCCCTCCCCTTTCACCTCTTCTCACTTGCTCTCTGGCGATGGATAGCTCATGGCGCCAACGTACGGCCTCGCAGAACAAGCTGCTATCATCATTCGGGCCGCTCAGAATCAGCCTGGTAGTACCGCTACGAATGGATCGTCTGTGGCTAGTAGTGCTACGCCGAGTGCAACGACGAAGACTACAACAAAGACGAGTGGCACTGAAAGTTTTTGGGGGAAAGGGAAAGGGATGTGGGCTGTTTGGATGGTTGTTGGGGTGTTGTGAGGAGGTAGGTGGCGTGAGGGGTAGTTGGAGGGAGGAGGAGAGAGCTGTAGGTGCTCAGACTTGAATATATGGACTTTAATTAGCCTGTTCAATCGGATGGACGTTTCTCCTCACTTAAATTATCGAGATGAACGAGGTTTACTCGAAAGCCGACTAGGGCTCATGCCATTGCGCGCGTACAGTCATAGTCGTTATGTCCGCAGACTCCGCCGCTCGACCACCTCTCTACATGTCGATCCACACTATATACTAGTCTAATACTATTTTTAGGTTTATTTCTCAAGACGGAAGAAGGCGGGGAATCGGCTGGAAAGAAACAATGACTTGATGACTGTGGTATTTCTTCGATTGACTCATCATAAGCTCGTGGCTTTCAATGATTTTTATTCCGTGGCGAGCAATAAATATACGTTGGAGTACAGGTCTTCTGCTTGTGTATGATGCAGTCCAAATCCCCCAAAACGCTCGAGTCATGGCTTGTGATCTACAGATTGGAGACGACCCAGTCATCGTATTGTTAGAGTATTATTGTACTTGGATTCGAGTCCTTCCTGGTATGAGGAAGAGGCTGGAAGACTTTGGTCGGTGAAATGAAGGCTGAAATTGTTACTTGTTTCTGCCAGTTGACGGCGAGCGCGCTTTCGGCCGTTGAGGACGCTGAGGAGGACGTTTGATCGGAATATCTGTTCCAGTAGGTCAGTAAAGAAATCTAGGCATGGCAGTTTTTTGGGTCGTAATACTACTAGTATCCTCGCATCGCGCGCGCTCTCCAGCCCGCCTTAGCACTCACTCATCGATCCAAATCGTGTTGTCATTCGTGGGCAATCCGCAGGAGGGTATACAGTCCTTGCTGCTCTTTCAATCAGCTCGGACACTCGGGCGTTCGCAGCAGCCACGTCGAGCTATGGGATTTCGAACTTCAAGATGCTCGCTGAATTTACTCATGAATTCGAATCTAAATATTTGGACGAGCTTATTGGTGGTTCATATGATGAGGCGCCGGAGGTATATGGAGAGAGGTCCCCTATTAACCACGCGGATATCCGTTATTGGTATGTCGTCTGTGCAAAATTGTTCGATGTTCTGCTCAATGAGTTGGGGGCGTAGATTTTACAGGGAGATATTGACAGGGTCGTACCAAATGTCGGAAAAAACTATTTGGCCTTATAGTAGTTTCTTGTTGATTGCCTGCATTACTTGCCTTATAAGGTTAAAATTTGGCTATTGCAAGGCCCTTATAAGGCAAGTAAGGCAGTTAATCAACAAGAAACTATTATAAGGCCAAATAGTTTTTTCCGACAAAGGAGCAATCCGAAGCTATTTATGAGAGCATCAAGTGTGACATGGTGTGGTGGAATTCAAATTGTATGAGGGTGAGTGGCATGGTTGGCGACAGGAGAAGAACATGTCCGATGCTTTGGAATGGGAGCTGGGCTTTTACGAGCGTATTTTTGAACTCTGCACGGCTACGTATCCAATGGGCAATCATCAACATTTTCAGTGCTTATTGGTGTACTGCACTGAACGGGGGAGCCAGTTATCTCGCTACCACAGACGGCGCGTAAACTATCTAGTGCTATGTCAGTAACCGCACCACCCACAAGCGCACCCGCCCGTAACCCAACCACCTTCCAGCAGCTCAAGTGGCGTCGCCCTATTCTCAATTTCGACAGTAAGGCACATCCTGAGGAACTTTGCAGTCGAGGCGAGATCTTTCTCTGCGATGTTCGCACTTTCAGCAAGGAGACTTTCGAGCTTGCCAAGCGTTTCTTGTGCGACTTTGACAGGCGATGCGACATACGATGCGTCAAATAGGGGCTTTCCAGTGAGGAGGAGGTATGTCTAGCATCATCGGTGAGCGCGGGTTCCAAAAAGGACGAAGGATGGGGGAGGGGATTAAACTCACCGCACACCCGAGCGCCCAGACATCCGATTTAAAATCGATTTTACCCCCTGTGAGGGCTTCGGGTGGTTGAACGTTTTTAGGTGTGTCGAGGGTTGTGGCGGTTGTCTGGCGAGCTAACGATGAGCCATTAGCAATAAGATGGTGAAACCAATAGAAAAGACAGGCATTACCGTGCGCGAAATTGGCAAGATAGAATGTCGCATAGGCAATATCGTCCGCTTGAGATTCCCATGTATAGTGGTTCGGACTCGGCTGAGACTTGACAGTAGGATACGAAATTCCATCTCTTCCTTGGACCGTGACAGGCTTGTCAGCGGGTACATTTGCAAAGGCTTCTCGGACGTCGACGCCCCGTTGGACGGACCAGAATAGGAAGTTGTCGGATGTTACAGCTGAAGCGGGAGCATGTGTTCAACTCGAATGCCCATGAAAAAGATAGTTGGACTTACCGCCATGAATGATGTTCTGAGTAGCAAGTTCGTCCAGACATTCCGCAATATCGCCAATAACCTTCTGGACGATATGAACAGGTAGATTCTGCCCATGATACATGTTCCCTCGCCTCAGGTCCTCAACAGACGATCCAAGAAGCCTGAACAACAGACAGAAGTGACTTCTCCCCCGCTCATCCTTTTCCTCGAACGTGTCAAGCAGCTCGGGAACACCACTTGTAATGGCTTCCATGGCCTTGTGGATGAAGTGACGCTCGTTTTTGGCAGTCGGGTCGGCGGTCGCAGTCGCGGTCAAGATTTTCAGGGCGCGATGTTGATCGTCCTCGCTGATGACGAGCCAGGTGGATGATCGCGGACCCCACCCGAGCTTGCGAGCTATTGTCCATGTGCCGTCTTTGAGCGTTTGGCCTGGTTGGGCGAGGAAGTAGCCCAAGGGAGAGTCGAGTTGCTCTTCAAGGAAAAGAGACATTGCGATGGTTGTGGAGAGGGAGTAGATAGGAGTGGTGTAAGCTTAAACTGCGGCGGGATTTGCCGCACTGTCATGACGTGACTCTTAACATGCTTGACAGCTCTTGACAATGAAACTAAGTACCACATTCTCATCAACAAGACGAAGATATGGCATGGCGGAACGAGAGATGCACGTCTGGACTATCGTCGCCGTTGCTTTCGCCGCCAATACCGAGCGGTCCTATTTGCACAACTGGTTCCATCATAGTTCATGTTGACTTCATGACTTTGCGATGTGGAGCTCCGAGTCGAGTGAGAATTGTTGCAGTAATGTCTCTCTGGCCGCCAGGTATGACCGCATTCTTCCGAAGGTGCTCTAGGAACACAATGTAGATCTAGACACTACCGTGACAAGGATTGCATGACCGGGAAACGACAACAGCCACCCGCGTTGTTAGTAAGTTACCAACAGTGTCCGCTTGAAAGAAAGATTTCGGATGGTACGTTTTATTTTCCCTCCTTCCTCAACTAGCCCCTCCTCTTCGGCGAGTTTAACCACACGAAGAACGCCAATTACGAAGGATGTGAACACATCTCTGTTACCACCCCTCACTACTTACGCAAGCGATCCTGGCATTTGGTTCTAATTTTTCATACTTTTCCCCCGGCATCCGCATTCACAGCTCTCAGGATTTGGAACGCTCAAGGGTACGTTTATGCTAGATCTTCATGATCAATTTACTTATGTGATCTGTCTCCATGAAGCTCAGCGTACGACGGCCACGCAGGGTTATGCTACTAGTACTCTCGCCTGTCATTCGGGA